CCCCCCCCCCCCCCCCCCATTTTGATGTTCACCACTTTCCTTTTCTTTGTAGTAAATCTTGAGGTTGTTGGCTCGACACCAAACGGTGTGTCAGCTGATAAAGATGCAACTCTTCCGGAATACTGTGATCAGGCCTCTGGACAAAGTACAGGTATCTCCATAACTTTCTCAAGCGCAACGCTGACATGAAAAAAAACTTCAAGTTGAGTTCAACGTTTGAACAATTAAGAGTGCATCGCCATTCATGAGTTCTTCTCCATTCTTTTAGTGAATGAAGCTCTGATGAGAACCCTGTCTTTACCGCCACCAAGACCTCAAGGTGAGCTGCTTTTTCTAATGATGAAAATATCAGGTTTTTGGTTTTGCAACACAGGTTGCATTTTCACATTGTATGCATCTAACCTGATCTCATCATCATGTCATATCCACAGCAGCGGAACCCTCAGGCCCCCGAGGCACCATGAGTCTTCGAGGTAAGGAAATTCTCATAGCAGCGCTTTAAAATTGTTTGACTTAAGGCGGACTTCATGGAGTTTAGATCCTGTGGTTCACTTTTCTGCTTTTTGCCACTCTCCTAATATCCGTCCATATGAAGCCTCGGCCCCCCCTCCTCCCCTACCTCCTCCTCGTCCTCAAGGTAAACACAAAGAAGTTGCTAGTTATTACCTACATTTCTCCTGAAATATGAAACTGGCCTTTGAATGGTGTGCTTCATGAGGTGGAAGCCCACTTGTCATGCAGCTTTTGAATTTGACGTCTGCCATAATTACCTAAATATTCTGAAACGGATTTGTTTTTTACTTTTTAAAATGTACTTATTCTTCAATTCCATTAGCATCAGGAACATCAACAGTTGGACTGGTGAACCCAGAGCCACAAACTAGAGAAGAAATGCTCAAATGTAAGCTTACTACACTCTTAAAAAAAAAAAGTTAAGCCAAATGTAGAGCAAAAGCCTTGGCTTTTGATTCAGAGAGACTCGACTAAAAGACCCCTTTTCATTTCAGTTCGCTTTGAACCTACAATGGACCCCAACACAGCGCATCACCACATGCTGTTGTCGGATGATGGTCTGAAGGCCACGATGCGAGCTGAGAACCTGAACCCACCAGATCACCCTGACCGCTTCAGCTACTGGAGACAAGTTCTCTGCAAAGAGTCTTTGGCAGGGAGCCCTTACTACTGGGAGGTGGAATGGAGTGGACACAAGGTGAATCCTTCTGACACTTTTTGCCATTCCTACAGCACATAAAAACCTGTGGGAAATGTTGAGAGGGGAATGACTGGCACTGCGCAGAAAGTGTGTCGCATGAATAGTTGGTCATAAACTTATTAATGACTTTAAGCTAAAAATGTAATGATATCACCATAAGATACATAAGTACTGATTCTCCATATCTGGTGATTTCTTTTGTTCTCTATTTATTTTAATTTCATATTGTGACTTGTGAGATTGCATATATGTGGGAATCATTGTTTTTTAATTATCCATCCATTATCTAATATTCCTAATGGAGTGCGAGGGGTGTTATTTTAGGTTTACTTGTCAAGTAAACCTCTCAGACTCCATTGGTATTATTTCTGATGTACACGAAAGCAGCATACAATGTATGCTTATTAGACTATCTTGGTATGGTTTGCTCACTTCCTAACAGTTTTTTTTTTTTTTTTTACTTTTCCAACATGCAGATCAGTATTGGTGTTGCTCAAAAAGAGATGGAACGTAAGAGTTCTGATGACAAAAGCCGTTTCGGCCATAATGATCTATCCTGGAGCCTGTATTGGTCCGGGACTGGCTTCACCTTCTGGCATGACGGGCAGCAAAAACTCCTGGGTTCACCCAAGGCCAGAAGAATCGGAATCTATCTGGACCAGCAAGTGGGTATTCTGAGCTTTCACAGCATCTCCAACAACCGGGCCACCCTTATCCATCGGCACCAGACCCAATTCACCGGCCCGGTCTACCCAGGGTTCAGGTTAGGGGCAGCAGTGGGGGAAAAACTGACCATTTGCCAGTTGGATTGAGTTTAACATAACTGTTGGGTTGTTTTTGTTTCTCTCATATGACCTGCTTGTGTTGATGATTTCACAAATATCTTGTTCTATGACACAAAAACAAAAAAATGTTAGAACAGCTTGTTCCCATATTGGTCTTTGCATGCCCCATGGTGTTCACATGACTTTTTGTTTTTTTAAACTTCAAAGAAAATTAAAGGAAATTAATCACGCAATCAGTTTGTCAAGTCTTTATGTGAAAGACTCTTCAATGAATGTTCGCACATTGTTTGTTGGGTGAGTTTGACTTGCTCAGGATTTATTGCACAGATTTCCTGATTTTATTTCTTTAACTTCCGTAAAAAAAGAAAAACTTGCAAATGTCACTAAGTGCAAGTGTCCGAAAATTAAAACCACCCATCTTTGAACTTGGATGGACCTCATTTTCATGATATTGGGCAATATTCAGTTCAAAGTCATCCTGAATAACAGTTTGAATTCAAAGGCTCCCAAAACTGCCTTTTTAGTGATGATACTAGTCCAGACTTTGCACACTGAGGCTACATAAATCCAGTGATTTATATATTCTTATAATTTTGTTTTTTAATGCGTATTAGTTCTGCTGAGAACAGGCCCTCCTCCAATAGTAATAATGTTCTTTGCCTTTTTTACAAATGTCCTACATCCTCATTATTTGATGTTTATTCACCCCTCTCACATTTCGCATAAACTTGCCAACAGCCACATTCCTCCGTCTGTCCTTGCCACAAAGGCGGAACGGTCAAAGGAAATTAAATTAATGACATCACCTTTATTTTTTAGTATTTTATTTTTATAGAGGTAACGCCATAATTTTTTACCACATCTTAGCGGCTTGTACACCATAACTCGCACAGTCCTGATCGTATCTTTAAGTCCTTGTTGCGAAAGCCTCCTCTCCATTCTCTCCTCATCACTGATATCTTAGTTCCCCCTGATATGATCTCGGAATAGTCTTTGTGATAAGTCTTCTATCCACCTGCTCCCATTCTGAGGACGATTTTCAGATGTCGTCAATCAACCGATAATAACGAGTCAAAGTCTGACTTTCTAACTGATAAGACTCTAGCACGAAATATCTGCCTTTTCTTTCTCATGCCAAACTTTCTTAAATGGTTTCTTGCTTTGTGCTACCTTGTAATCCAATACTATTCTACTGTAAGAGGGCAGTGGAACTCATTTTACAAGTGGTGGCAGCGGCTTGTTTCCTGCCCTGATTAAAGAGTCTTGACAAATGAGTGTATCACTATAGTGGTTTTGTTTTAGTATTTTGGGGTACAAAACAATTTGTGTGAATGAATGAGATTGAATTGGAAAGCCTACAGTGTTGTTAGTGCTCTTCCTGTATTGATGAAACTTATCAGCTCTGCAAATGTCTCCCTGGGAAATCCAGAATGCATGTTGTTGGTTTTTAAAACGTTGAAAGACGATGTCCATCCGCACTGATGGGAATGCAAAATCCCACACGGTCCCCGTCCCAAAGGATAAATGATACCTGACCTATATTGACAACACAAAGACACTAAGGGTGTGTTTGCGTGCTTTTAAACCTCCTCCGTAATGCTGAAATAAGTTAGTGTATGTATGAATGAAGGTATAGAGAGAAGGGCTATAGGGGAAACGAGGAGGAGCCATTTCAAGAAGAAAGGAACTGCTGGGTGATACATATATAGAAAGAGCTGACATCCTTTACAGTTTTAGTCAGTCACGTCCTCTGCCTTTGCTTTTGGAGACCGTCATCACTTAACAGCATCATCATGAGAGGTAAGACTGAAAGAAGTATTATAGCAACAAAGAAAGATGACTCAAGCACTTGAGACGATTTGACGATTTACATTTATGTATCGCTTGTTTTCTTCCACCAGTGTTTTTGTTCATGTGTCTTTTGGGGGTTACTTTGTCTGAGAATTTTGATTACCAGTGGGGTGGACCTGGAGGCAAGACTGAAAGTGAAGGCACAGACGGTGAGAGTTAAAGAACGCAATTTAACAAATCAACAGGCCAAACTCGTTTTTTTCCCTGGGTGCACGTGCTTTTGCAGCCCGTTTATTGTCTGTGTGCCTCCCTGCTCAGTTTGCCTAACGGACCAGACGTCGTGCGGCTGCTGCCTGATGCAGCAGCAGATTCACAGGATGAAGACTTTCTTCAACACGAGCCTCAACGAGCTGGAGAAGGAGTTGCTGAAAACGAAGAACGTCCTCAACAGCGTGAGAGGTGAGATCAGAGAATGAAGCCCCCCCCTTTTCCTTTACAGATCCGAGGAGCACGACCTCACCGCATCTCAATCTCTCTCACCCTGAACCCGCAGCCAGCCGCAGCGCCTTCTCCGTGGCCCTGACCAACGAGAACAGCTTGACCTGCCTGGGGCCCTACCGCGGCGAAGAGAGACTGATCGTCTACAAACACGTCTTCATCAACCTGGGAGGCGGTTACAGCGTGGACACCGGGGTCTTTACCGTTCCCCGCTCCGGCGTGTACAGCCTCGCCCTCACCGTCTACAGCGACGCCGGCTCTCCGGGCAACACCCTGGCCGCCTGCGCCACCCTGCTGGTCAACGGGCAGGTGGTGGCAGGACCCAGTGAGACAAACATGCAAGACCAAGAGGACAGTGCGACTATTGTCATAGCTCTTCACCTTAAGGCCGGGGACAAGGTGGCGGTCAACCTGCCCATTGGATGTTTCCTTTGTGACGATAGCAGCCATTATAACACCTTCACTGGCTTCCTGCTGTTTGCTACAGACTAAGCAAGACTGTTCTGGGTTTTAGACTGATTTCCATCCCGCTGATCATGGTGGTGACTTGTAGATCAATTTATTTTATTTTTTTTGCTTGATCCGTTTAACTATGTCTTGTTAGTAGTAATTTTTCTCAACTTAGGAATTCAATTTAAGTTTTTCTTTACCATCTATCTGCATTTTTGGCCATTCCGCTTACAAGTGAAATATGTATTTTTTTGGTCACTAACCCTGATTTAATGTGACGGAAATGTAAGGTCTGTAAAGCAAAAATACAAATAAATGAATATGGGAAAAATAAATCACACTGTAAGGTGTTTTGATTTAAACTCATTCGACTTCAGCTGATAATATCAAACCATCATTCATTCCTGGGGTGGGGTTTACTACTATTGAGCAAAAATGTAAGGTAAACCATCAAATCAAGGGGAGAAATATGTTTTACACTATCAAAACAATCACTTTTATTAGTGGTTGGATAGCATTCTGAGCCCATTGCCTTGGTTGTACCATAACATCTGGTTTCATCCCCCTCTTTTGCAGCATACCCTCATGCCAGATGTAAATAGGCTTGACACCCACGCATGTCGGCAAGTGCCCATCTTAAAAAATACAGAATAAATACTGCTTTTTGACTGACACCATGGTAATGCTAGTTTGGAGATAACACAAAACTTAGCAAACACAGATGTGCTCCATTCAGATGGATCAGCTGCAGGTATCAGTACATCAACCAGATTTACCAAATAATCTGTCAACACAAGCACTTTCTAATTTTAGCTTCCTAATACTGATCACCCCATCTCCATTTTTCATGTGACAGGGTCATTTTAGGGATTACTTAGAATTTGCTGGTATCCCAAGTTCATCAGCGTTTACACTAATCTGTCATGGGGTTTTTCATGTCGTTTGAAGTTTTTAATCTAGATTTATTTTTAATTAAGTATCAGGGTAGTTGGCCTTTATCTAGTTTTGAATTATGTTTTTGATCTTATATATTTGGACTTGGTTTTGCTTTCGGGGTTTTTTCAGTTTGTATAAGTTAAATATTTGGTTGTTAGTTTCCAAGTTATTATTCCTCTCATTGTTCCTCTCATTTAGCTTTGGGGTGTCTGGCTTCGCCACCATTTTAGTTTGGTAAATAAATCTATGTTTTGTTGACCTTCCATGCCTTTATTTATGTCTGCATTTGGGTCCTTCACAAACAAAAGACTCTCTTGGTGAATAGTTATAGAAAAGCATTACATAATGCAATGACTTACACTAAGCCGCCATAGAAAAACCCAGATAAGAACCAGTATACATTTACTTTGAAATGTGTTTGTTTTTTTGTTAGGGTTAGGGTTATTTTTTTTGTTATGGAATTAATCCATTCACTTAAAAAAAATACTTATGATATATATATTTATTCAAAGTTGTGCTACCCATGTCACAAGTATGCATGCCTGCTCTCATCTGCCCATCACTATCTCTTTTTTTAGGAGCCAGGAGTGACCACATTTGACCCAAAAGTGGAGCTGACAAAAAAAAAAAAAAAAAAAAAACTGTTGAGTTACTGACAGACCACCAGGACAAGTAATGGGAAAAATGGAATGTTCAAATTTGTTTGGAGTTCGTGAAGAGGGATCTTCCTGTGCTTTCCGATTCAGAATCAGGCTGGTTGTTGCCTAGAGGTTGTTTGCCTCAGCCCTGAATACCATCTCATGCCCTTTTGAGGATAGTCAGACCGCAGCATATTTGATGATGCCATCGGCTTTAGTTGGTTGGAGCGTAGTTGCAGGTATATTGGACATACAATATAGCACATAACAAGCTATTGCTGTTTTGAGATTGTAAGGTATTTGCAACTATATCCTTGTTATACATACACACAGATATATATATATATATGATATATGTATATTTGCACAGTCTACAAGTGTAAATTGTTTAGAATTACTAAACTAGTCTCTTTTTTTAAGGTAATCTTTGTATAATCTCTGTTACTAAGATTTAGAGCCAGAGACAACAACAATGATGTAGCTTGTAATCAAAAGCTTTACTGTCAATGATCTAACATTAAAGAGCATAATTTTACCGTGCAGAGGGTTGCAGGGGTGTTAGCAGGCTCAATCAAAGTTGATTGTGCACATGAAAACTGGTGTAGTATTACAAAGAGCTTTGTCTGACTAATAAAGGCTGCCACCATGGCCGGTGCTGTTGTCATAAAGGGATGTTGAGGTCTTGTTCCACATTGTGTAGGTGAGCAGTGGGTCTCAAATTTAGAAATAAATTCCTAAAATCACCCCAGAACAACTGAGCTAGAGACCTTACTTGTCATGGTTTTATTTTATGTTGAACAATACTGACAAGCAACATTCCAGAATTGACTGTTTTTCATTCCTGACGGGGAAAAATATTCCAATTTCATCTAGCCAAAGTGACTGAAACAGACACAACGGAGTTTCAAGGCTCATGTTTTCTGAGCTTATTCCAACTGATAGCTGATATCTGGGTGGCATCAACAAAGGCCTGATGCATTTTTTACCTGCTCATGCGTACTTGTTGGGAAATGAGAGCCTCTAGTGATGGAGAAAGATTTCCTTAATTTTGAAAGCAAACGTGGGGAATAAAAAAAAGACAAGAAGGGGCAGTGTTTGCAGCGGTGAAATTAAAAAAACGAAGTCACATAGGCGGAGCTCGGAGAAAAGTATAAATTCTCAGTTCATGTGTTCAGTCTGCACATTTTAATCCTCCAGAAGCATTTTCACCATCTGCCAGCATCACCATGAGAGGTGAGAGATGACTTTGGCATTATGCTTAGTCGGACCTTCAGTTGAACAGGGCAGGGAATTTCCCAACAGTTCCAATTTCAATAGTTTCATTCTTATGTTGCATTTTTGTGCCTTATTTGTGTTTTTAATGTCTCTGTCTGATCTTTCTGGCAGATATAATTCAGAGGTAACCAAGTAATTTAATTGTAATATGTATTCATACTATTTATTTTCCTCGCACCAGCAATTGTGCTGCTGTGTCTGCTACATGCGGTGTTTGGTCAGAATATGGACTTTTCCTGGAACGGACCTCTCCGGACAACACCAAGAGTTGAACCCGATCCAGAGCCTGGTGAGAGCCTGTCTCTGCATTATCCCAACAGTCAGTCACCAGTGAACTAAAAGGAGTCTTTTTAACTTTGCAGAGAAAGCGTGCAGCAGCAATCAGGAATCGTGCGGCTGCTGTGTCATGCAGACACACATGAACAGGGTAGAGAAGTTTTTTAACTTCAGCGTTGAAAAAATGAGCGAGCAGGTGATGAAAACTAGGTTGGAGTTGAACAACAGGAGAGGTTAGTGACTCCACTTGTTGGTATCTGACCACAAGCAAATGCAGAATGCACACGTCCCCCCCCTCTGTTTACCTGTTTCTTCTCTGCCTCCCCCAGCCTCCCGCAGCGCCTTCTCTGTGGCTCTGAACAATGACACAAACTATGGCTGCTTTCAAGACCTCGCTAGCGACGGGGTCGTCATCTACAAACACGTCTTTCTGAACCTGGGAGACGGCTACAACACGCAGACCGGGATCTTCACCGCTCCTCGCTCCGGTGTTTACAGCCTGGCTGCCACGGTCCACACTTCTGTCAGGTCCAACGTCAGCCAGGTCACCAGCGCCAGCCTCCTTGTCAACGGGAAACCGGTGGCCGTTCTCTTTGAAAGAAACGGCATGGACGCTGAGGACAGCAACACCGTGGTTGCAGCCGTGCAACTGAAAGCTGGGGACAAAGTCGCCGTCAGCCTGCTCAGGGGAAGCATCATCTGCGACGACTTCAAGCACTATAACACTTTCACTGGCTACCTGCTATTTGCTACTGATGAATAGTTAGGAGAATGTAGCTGGTAATGTCACGCTCATACATGGAAGATCTAAGTGAGCTAACGAGATATTTTTCTGTTGATTGGAGTTGTAGCCCCTCACCAACTGTCCCTGCTATTGCAATATTTCCCTTCATTGTTTTGCTAATCTGAAAAAACCCTCTTCTGTTCGCCTTAATGTTCTGTTCCATGAGCTCTTCTTATTTGGTTTTGAGGAATGCTTCATAATCATCTGATCGGATCATTAAAATGTATACTCGATTAAACATTTGTACTGTAGTCACTGATTTTTGCGAACTGAAACAATGTTGTGTCTTGTATGTGAAACCTCTCAAACTTTCCTCACAAAATAAACCAAACCTTTCAAACAACTGGCACGATGGTCAACTTTGTTTAAGTTTCCATTAAAACAAAGCTCCACAACTCTTTCAGTATGCCACATTGACAGAACTAAAGAGAATAAATTAGTCCATGTGTTTAGTAATTTCTTTCATTTTTCTCCCTCTTAATTTTCCCAGCTACTATTTAACCAGAAAATGGAAACTTTTGGAATTTATTTAAAATCTCTTGTCCGAGAATTCAGTTTGCCAATTGCCAAAAAGCTCCCAATTGAGATTGACTCCTCAAAATTCAAGCAGTTTTAGAACTACAATTTTCTTTTTCAAACAGGGAGAATTTTTTTTCTTTTTAATGTTAATTTAGTAAAGGCACTGGGGATGGAAAATAACAATTCTTTGGAACAAATATAATACCTTGTAGGAAGGAGGAAATCCTTTAAAAGGATTCTAAGAAAGTTGTAGCCAATGCAAGGACTTGCAAAGGTGTATGTACAGGGTGTGTTACACCCCAAAAAAGAAAAGGAAAACTTCCTTTTTTTGTTGTTGGTGTTGTTTTTACAGCTGCACATGACATTTAATAGCAGGCAAATGATTTATTGGGGTCAAAATTTATTCCTGCTCACATGGCTCATGGTGTCCCAGTTTGGAAGTCCGCACACTTGCAATCAAAGTGAGAGGCCTAAATTAGACATAATATTAAATATAACTGTGTGTTTTAGCCTTCCTAAGAGCTAATTCAATTGTCATTCTGCACTGAAAGAAGATAAATAGTAGTAAAGATACACATATCTATCACTCACACTGAAAACAGCAGCACCACAGCTGCCTGAGCCATATCATCTGTGACTTTCTGCAGTCAAAAAAGTCATCACCGTGTATTGCTTTTCAACAGCTCACCTCTCCCTTTCTGCTGAAGCGACAGCACAGACACCATTTTCTAGGCGACAGTTGATACCCTGCATCACAAACAAAGGCCTCAGGGGGGGGTGTCTGCCCCTGTCTGGTTTTAGAAAGTGAGAGTGCCAACAGATGCCATTAAAACATTCCAAATTTTTTCAAGTTTAATGGCAAATAGGTTGGACGAATTCAAAAGAACAAAGCCACGTGGTGCAATGTCACAGGAGGTGGAATGAAATTGAGATAATAAGGGAGGAGCACTCAGATAGCTATATATCCTTTGCTCTTCCTGGACAGATCAGTCACATCACATCCTCAATCCCTCCTAAGCTGTTATGGCTAGAGTCAATATGAGAGGTGAGACTTCATAGATATGGCCACAAAAAAGCCACGTGGCACTGAACTCCTGTGAGTTTAATGTTTTTCAAATGTTTTTTTCCACAGCGATTGTGTTGCTGTGTCTGCTGCATACAGCCTCAACGAATAACCTGTTCAGCTGGGACGGACCGGGCCGCGCTGCACCCGAACCAGGTTCTGATGCGGGCAGTGGTGAGGAATTCTGTCTGCTCACTCAGCATTTCTGCGTGCACTCGCCTGTGCGTTAATGTGCTTTTGTGCTCAGCATGCAGCACGGACAAGTCGTCTTGCGGTTGCTGCCTGATGGTGCGAAAAACTAACCAGATGAAGACGTACTTCGACACCACCCTGACTGAGCTGGAGAATGAATTCATGAAGGCAAACCAAAGCCTTCACACTATGAAAGGTACGTGGTCCCTCAGAGGAGATGATTCGGGGCTTGTAACATTTAGGGTTTTTCGTGATTTACTTTTTGTATTCCCAGAGAGCCGCGTCGCCTTCACTGTTTCCCTGTACGGTCGCGAGACTATCATGTGTCACGGCCCCTTCAGGGACAACCGCATTGTCACCTACAAAGACGTCCTCCTGAACTATGGTGGGGCCTACAATACAAGCAGTGGTATCTTCACTGTACCCCACTCCGGTGTCTACAGTCTGACCGTCACCATCTACAGTGATGCTGGTTCTCCTGGGAACATGCTGGCCGCTTGCGCCACCCTGCAGGTCAACGGGAAAGCAGTGGCCGGGGCCAGAGACTTCAATCCAAACGACCAAGAGGACAGCGCCACGATTGTGCTGGCCCTTCACCTAAAAGCGGGAGACAAAGTGTCTGTCGAGTTGACCAAAGGCTGCTTCCTTTGTGATGACTCCAGCCACTACAACACATTCAGTGCCTTTCTGCTCTATCTAACTGAATGAGTTAAAGAGGTGGTTCCCATACCAACTGAGTCCAATCTAAACTCAGTGCCATCATATGTGGTATCAGCTAGAGCAATTTGAATGCATATCAACCTCAAAATCTGTCTCTTTACGCTGTAACAGCCTCACTTTGTAGTTAAAATCCACACAGCTGTAACATTTGATCAAATCAAAGATTGCAGACACAGTATGTGACTTTTTTTTTGCCATGTTGAGGAGATATGTTACGTCTAAACTGGATGAACTGATGACAAAAATCCAAAGTGTTGTCTCATGAAAATGTCTGATGGATGATACATTTATTGTATTTCTTGAATAAAGCATGCCTTTTACAGTTTTGACTGTGCTGTTAACGAAGACGAGATTCAAAATAAACCATGACAAAACATTTCACGAGGGACGTTTTTATTTCCATACAGTTGGTTTTTTAAGAGAATCATTTTAGAATCCTCAAAGTAAAAAAAATAAATAAATAAAATTATGAAAATAAAACAAGGAAACAACTTTAGGTGAATTCTGAATACATCATTTGCACAGAATTTTGCATTTCCATACGAATTACAAGGCCTGTGTGGGTTTTCTCATGCTTTTTGTCCATGTTTACTTTGTCCAATATAGTTTTAAATAGATGGTGATATCATGCAGAGCTGCAGCATTCTATAATTTCCTGCTACAACAGTTAAAGCCAATCCTGAATATAATTAATCCCTTCAAATTACTCTTGTGATCCCTAACAAGCAATCTGTAGAACTCTGATAGGGTATCTCAAACTCCTGGCCTTTAAGGCCACTGCAAATGTATGACAATGGCGCAATGATTTGAATCAGGTGTAGCAGGGAGACATAAATCCCACTAGACAAACAGCAATCATATAGAGATACTTGGACTACATGATACCCCTTCAGCTTCAGGTACTATGGTTGCCAGGATTTGTCCTATAGCTAACTGTTAGACAACTATTTTTTTCACCTTTGCAAACATTTCTATGCAATATTTTATGAATTAGGGACATCCTGACTCAAAATTCTGCATAAAAACTAATGTTTCATTCATTCTTTAAAGGCTGGACTACTGTAATTCTTCATTATTGAGATTTTCCAAAAATGTTTCTGAAAAGCTGCTGATCCAAACTGCGACAGCCAGAGTAGAAATTAGAAAGTGGTATATTTTTGTAAGTGGTATATTTTTCTACTTATGCCTTCTCTTCACTGGCTTGCTGGTAAGCTTTTAATATAAATTCAAATTCTGTTCTTTACCTATGATGTAAAGGGAATATTCTTTATGGTTAAGCTCAATCATATTTCAAAAATCTCACATGAAACCTTTTCCAAACAGAGCACTTGGCACTCAGACCACAGGGGTTGTGATTGTTCTTAAAGTTTCTGAAAGTGGAATGGGTTATGTTAAGATATACTGGATTTTAATTGGGGGCAGTATGGTGGTTTGGTGGTTTGCACCATTGTCTCACAACAAGGTTCCCAGTTCCCGAGGTTCTGGGGGCCTGTCTCCCTCTGGCTGCACTGATTCTTTCCAGGCACTCCTCCCAGCGCCCAAAAACATTCATGTTAGATTAACTGGACACTCTGTGTGTGGTTGTTTGACTCTGTGTGGCCCTGCGATGGACTGGTTACCTGTCCAAGGTGTACCCTGCATCTTACCCCTTGTCAACTTAGATAGACTCCAGCCCACCTTTGACCTACGATAAATGAATACCATTTAATTGAATTGACACAGTGTGAGTACCTCTGAAAAGGAAAATTTAATAGGATTTTCATAACACGTTATTTTTTGTATTTTGATACTGGTCTGTTCACACAATGCCATGGAAGAAAGACATCAGCAAAAAAAAGCCATAGATTCTGCCTTTCAACCTTAGAACGGTTACACTGAATTTTGAAAAATCTGCCATATTTTATACCGTGAAAGACTGGAATAAAGGTGCCATCAATTTCCCTTTAAGGTCAGACTGTGCAACACGTTTCACCCCAGACTCTATAGGCTTCAGTTGTTATGTTAAATGCTAAATGTTCACAGCAGTGCAATTAGAAACAGACCAAAGAGATTTGGCTTGTTTGGAAATGTTGACGCTCCTTTGACTGATGAGTTTAAAGGGGAGATGTTTGGGAGTAATGCCCAACACTGTCTCGTGAAAATTAAACACACTATGTAAAGCAAACGCTGGTCAAAGCACGGCAGTTCAAGTGTGATGATTTGGGCTTGTTTTGTACTAACAATACACAGGTACTTTGTGCTTATTAAGTGAAATATTAAGTTTTGCGCACGCAATAGAATACCTGAAAATAAAAAATAAATTGAGATGATGGAAATATCCAAAGCTCAAAACTGGACCTGATTAAAATATAGTTGTGGGACTTCTGGTGTGTGTGCATAAATGAAAGGATCAAAGGAATAGGACAAAATTATTCCACTGCAATGTGAAACTAAGAGGCTTATACAGAAAACAACCTCTGTCAGTTCTTCAAGCTATTGAATCATGAGTTGTTTTAATCTATTAGTGCATTTTATTCATACAAGATAGGTACTATGATGATGTGCCAAGGGGTCGAGAAAGGGGAGATTGCGTTGTGATCCAAAGACAGGCCAGAGTAATAGTGATCTCAGAGACCCCAACCTGAGAATTTACTTTAAAAAAGATACAGCAGGATGCATGGCAAGGCACAAAAATTATAACTATCAGCAAAACTGAATTAATCTTAAGGGAATTAAAAACCAAAAACTAGAGGAAGACAAAACCTAGACAAGGAGAGTCCAGGATAAGGACAAACTTGAAGACATTATGGGAATACACCAGTAACAGACAGTTAAACGTGACAACATTTTCCCTGTGATTTTATTATCCTTACACAAGCGGAATTAGTTATTAGCTTCTGCTTTTAAACAAATACAAACTGGCAAGAATCTTACACTATTTTGCCACCATATCCAGCCATCTCAAGCAGAACATTATGTGGTAATTCAACTCACTAGGTTGAAATCTCATCTGAGTAAGAAAGCTGCACAAGTCACGTCAGTATTATCGCACGCTGTTATGTGATTTATTCATTTAGAGAGGACATGTACAAAGCAGACATGAGCACCTAATACACCTAGGTCTCCATGTAGCCGATAAGATGAGAAGAACATGACACAGTGTAAAATGAACCAGGTCAGCTGATGTGGGACTCCATACACACCTGAACAATGCACAGCCCCGAGAGAGTCCGGAACTTTAAAAGCAGCTTTCATAACAGGAAACACCCAGTTTTTCTACAAAAGAACTGCATAAATACCAAGCAAAATAACAAATGACTGCATTCCTTCAGGTCACAAATTTTAATTAGAGCTGCAGTATAAATTATTGACTTTCTGCTGGAAGTGCAGGAATGTGTTTCTCCTGAGACTTTGCTCAGGTATTATTAGGTAGGCTAGCATCGCCAAATACAAGAGGAAAAAAAAACAACATAAAAATCTCGGCATGGTCTGGCCTGTGGTTATCCATCTTAAACACAAGACTGATTATCAATTTATCACCGGAAAGCAAAGCTCTTTAAGAGGGATAACAACTTTGTTTTCTCTGCCTTTTGTTTCTTTTTTTGTAACCACACATGTTTCTGGTCGGCCTAAAAATAAGTGGTGGCACGGTTAATTGTTTGCTCACACAGTTGTTTCTGTGGGCAGTGATAAGAAGGCATTTCCAAAATGCCAAAAAATAGCAATCACTATTTTGTTTCCACTCTCAATTTACTGGCAAAGACCAATGAAGATAGATGGCCCTGCCTTTTAAAAAGAAACATAAAGAAACATTGTCTTCTGTCAGTGCAGACAATTAAATCTAGACCAACCAAAAGCTCCCCGAGGCAGAAAATGAATGAATAAGGTTTAAGGTGCCTCTCAAGTGTGTGTTTTGCGCAAACTGAGATGTACTTTCTCTGAGATGTAGGTTTTCCTTGAATCAGTTAATGAAAGGCAAGATGAAAGATACCAACACCTGGTTGTTGAAAGCAGTTTTTTGTGACTTTTTCCTCAATAAAACGCCCCCTACAAGACCAGACCGTATCATATCATCATATTGTAAAGTATCTAGGTGAGTCAATGTGACAAGTTCTGAAAAAAAATCAGAGGAGAAAGTGGGAATGGGAACATGGACTAGGCTATCCTGAAGCATGAGAACCAGATAATGGCATACTGGTGTCAGATTCAGGCCTTTATTGATGGGCAGATAAAACTTTCCTATCAGGCTCTTTTGTGTTCCTCACTGCTTTATTTCCATGGGTTCTCAATATTGAAGTTTCTAAGCTGCGTCTTCCAGGAGGACGGCAACCAGACACCACTGTCCCCATAAGGGTATTATAATGCAAACAATGGAGCACTGAAAGGTGCCATGTGATGACCTGTTGTTCTTTCACACCGAAGGAGACAATCTACTGTCACTACTGTATTACCGGTGACATATTTGGTGTCATTGTGAGAGGATGCCTGTGTTTTGAAGCATGTGTGTGTCGGCTTGCATGTTGGGAGGTGGAGCTTCTGTTCATTTACCATTTTTTAGGGTGGATCTCCCAAAGTCCATCAATAAGAGGCTACATCCGTCCCCTGCTTCAAACTCCTGAGTTTCACAAACTTACCAAAGCTCGACTTTATCTCTCAGAGCACAGAAGGGAAGGAGCGAGAAACGGTAAGTTTTATTTCAGTTTAAAAACAATAACATAAAAAATGTATTACTTTTGCCAGGTGTCTTATCAATAAAAACCTCTGTTACTGTTTTGATAAAATTGTTTTTGAGCCATAAGTAGAGCAACTTGACGAGAGAAAATTTATCTGAGTCAATTATGAAGATTTTCATCATTTAATCACACATTCTACAAACATGTAGCTTGAAGGATTATCAATGTATGAAAAAATATCTTTATCAGTCAACTGTGTTATGCCCACTTAATTTGTCACTGGCTTTTATCCAGCATTTAACACTACGCTTTGGTTAAATGTATTTGAAAGCAAAGCTTTGTTTTCTCTTAGGAATACTTAGCTTAACACTTAACATACCTTTATCATTTTTTAGTACATTAATATAACTTTCATAGGACCATTTAGGTATCTACATGTTAAGGTGAACAGCTGAGTTTGGATCCAAAGTAAGTTATATCCATTTTTATTCAGATATTAATGAATTCTCATTAATTGAATTAAAGCGGCAATATTTGAACACTCTTAATTTCAGAGACCCCCATGCCAGTAAACATATTCAAAAGAAAATATGGTACATTTTAACAGATTTAAACTCTATCAATTATTATTTTAGAAAAATGTTTCAGCACATAAAATAAAAGACACGACAAACTCTTTTTGAATGAGACAAATCAATTAATTTTTTTTTTTTTTTCAGATGGATGCATTGCCACTCCTGCTCCTGTCAGGGTCGCTGTTTCTCTGTGGTCATGTAGAAGCCCAGCCTTCAACTGTTGAAACGCTTAAAGAAGCTGCGCGTATGCCACACAAACTTTTTCATTTAGTTCCTTTGGTCTACCGCTCATCACTGCAACATGTGCCATTACAAATGCCATAGGGACTTGTTGTTTTTGCAGCAAAGCACAAGATGTTATATCTTAAACCCTGTGTATTTCCCCACCGGATTTAGCTTAAACTCATTGGCAGGAACTTCCTGCGTCATACAGATGCACATCTTTTTCCCCTCTCACCACTTCTGTGTCTCATTCCAGTCCAGTGGGAGGGACCTTTGACCTGTGACAAGTGGGACTGCAATTGCACTTTCAACCGCCAGCGCGGCTGCTGCTGCGCAGCCAACGAGATGTATCAAATAGAAGAGGAGACTTTCACGAGGCTTAAATATTTGTGGTCCAACATCATGACACTGAATGAGAAAGTAAAGGCTCACACGGGTAAACACCAATTCCAGATCCCCAAACATTTACGAAGGATGCTGAGCAAAGCTGTGCAATAAATCTTTACTTTTATTCTCAGATGAAGTCAAGGTTGCCTTCATGGCCTCCATGGACCCATCCATTGCCACAGTAATTCCTGGATACACAAAGCCTTGCTTTGGTCCTTTCAATACTAATGTGCCAATCCCGTTTAAATCTGTTACTCTCAACGCTGGCAAGAGGTACAACCCAGCACTGGGTAAGAAGAAATGCATAATAAAAGTGCCCTATAGTCCCTCTTATCCTACATCATTTGATAAACAAATCATTCATTAATACCCACACTTTCCAGGTGTCTTCACTGCCCCTAAATCTGGCGTTTACGTGTTTTCCTTCACAATTTACTCAGCCGTGGAACCGAATGGACGCCTCTACCATAAAGTAAACTCAGATTTCAGAATGCTTTAAAGAGAGCTGACGAGTTTGTGTTTTAATTGTGTGCTTTCCTGTGTTTGTGTAGGTCCAGCTCATGAAGAATGGAATAGTGGGGGTCAGCGTGTGGGAGAACAATCGAGAGGACAGTGAGGATAGCGCCACTCAGGTAGGACGTGAAAAGAATCACCAAAGACATTTGTCTGCATGGATTTTGTAAAAGTAGTGGGGAACTTGACTCTTTACTCTCCACACTTGTTTTTAGGTTGTGGCCCTGGAGCTGCTCCGAGGCGATCAGGTCTACCTAGAGCTGATATCTGGGAGGAAACTCTGTGCGGATCTGCAATACAATATCTTTACTGGTTACATTGTGTACCCCTATGCTGATGAGTGATGCACCAGCTTGAAAGCAACGCTGCCCTCTCTAAATCAACTCATCTACAGTTCCACGTACAACAGAGAACAGAAGATTCTTAAAAAGGAATTTTCTCTGTCCCAGGTTTTCTTTCCTGGCATAGCTCTGTGAACTAAACCCTTTCCCCCTCAGTAGTCCTGAACAGCATAGACAGTGAGTTGTACACAAATAATGATACACAGTGAAATGCACGTTTCCAACGTAGCATGAAAGCAACGATTGTTTTTTTTGGGAGTATATTTAATTATAAATCTCAGTTTTGATCACGTCTGCACTGGCATTTGCTAAGAAATCTTAAAATGGACATTGACTTGATCTGGATTAAATAAAAGTTTATCTGACTTATCTGCTGTTGGACCTTTGTTTTCAATCCTCTACACACACATGTGCAGCGTTGATGAATGGATATAGGTGGCAATACATTTGTCATCAGGGCCAAAAAATGATATAATTTGGGACCGATAGCAGTGGCTTGAAACATTGCTGATGCAGACCTTTCATGGAGGTTCACTGCATTTGAACATAAACCAATAATAGACCACCTACTCCAGTCAGCTGAACAAATAAATGCTGTGGAATCTTTTACACGCACACAGTACGTGTAGAAATGTAATTCATTCCAGCATATGGCCTTTCTGTGAAAGCAGGAAGTACTGCCCAGTAGGCCCATTTAGCTTCTTTCATGTTATAGTTCCATATCATTCAAATAATCTTAATCTTCTTGTTTAACCTTCTGGTCTGACACTTAATAAAGTTAGTTTGTGAACATAAAACCTCTAGTAACTGGGAAATAATTGCTAGGGGATTCATTCTCAGATATCCAGCACTTTGTCATCATTCATTGACTCCAGCAACCCTTTTATTTATCCTTCCTTTCATCTTCTAATTCCAACATCAATTCTATCATCTCCCCTCCTTAAGTCACCTTCCGTGGGTTTGGCCAGATCAATGGCCAGTTTTCTTCTGGATTTCGTACTAGTAATAAGGAAACCTTCACATACAGCTATACCTTAACCCTCGGTTTGTTATATCATTTGACCTATAAATTCCCACTATTTCAAATACATACTTTGCAAGTTAAAATAATTTAAAAAGAAAAGTCCCAAGAGTAGGGGGCACGGTGGTGTGGTGGTTAGCACTGTCGCCTCCCAGCAAGAGGGTTCTGGGTTCGAATCCCGGGGGAACCAGGACCTTTCTGGGTGGAGTTTGCATGTTCTCCCTGTGTCTGCGTGGGTTCTCTCTGGGTTCTCCGGCTTCCTCCCACAGTCCAAAAACCTGCATGTTAGGCTGATTGGAGATTGGGGAAATTGCCCTTAGGAGTGAATGTGAGTGTGAGTGGTTGTTGGTCCTTGTGTGTCTCTGTGTGTCCCTGCGATGGACTGGCGGACTGTCCAGGGTGTACCCTGCCTCTCGCCCATTGGCTACTGGGATAGGCTCCAGTTCCCCCCGCGACCCCATCAGGGAATAAGCGGTATTGATAATGGATGGATGGATGGAAGTCCCAAGAGTTTGAAGTTCAGCATGAGACGTGACACATTTTCAGGGCCCTTATTTAAGGTTCTTATTTAATCTCAGGAGATTACTGTGACCTTGATGACTGTGAATCCACATTAGCAGCAACAAAAAAACAAACAAAAAGAGACAATATGTGTCTAAAATATTGACATCCTGCAGGGATCAAGGATGTATTTTCATATCTAAGAAAAAAAGGGAAAAGACGGCTGGATTGGAAGTCTTTTGATATGATTCATGATATAGAAACTGCTACACGTTAGCACTCAAACCCCACCAAAACTATCACAAGTACTGTTTGGATACAACATGGTACGTATTTAACAGACTCCAGTGTTCTAGAGTGCAACTTTTATGACGATTGACGATAAATGTGTGAACATAATAATGATTTGTCACATAAAAGTTTGAGCTTTATCAGGATTTTGGACTGCTATTCTGGTGGCCAGACCGTTGTTTAAACACACGTTCTGTCAGAGTTTAGATCTCCTGCTTTTCGTCCTCTGCTTGCCAACAGTGTAGAAATGTCTTCGTGTACTTTGTTTTCAAGTGCTCATTAAAGTCAACAAATGTTAATCGTTGCCGTGCACTCATCCACATTCTTCATCCAAGCCAGCTGTCTCAGAGAAAAACCCTTCACACATATACACGCCCAGCAAAATGCAGGAGATGTGTAGGCCAGATGCTAGCGCTACAGCTACATCTGGCCCTGATCCTCTTCCAGCTGATGGGAGCAGGATTAAAAAAGGGGCTACAGAATGAAAAACCTGAACTTCACAGAGCAAAGACGGTTCGAATCGGACTGAGTTGTTCATTTTTGCCGTTGTTCGAGTCCGAACATCAGCGTGCCACTGCCAAGGAGTTAATGAATCTCCTTCTGAAGACTGAAATCTGATCCTTCTTTGTCCTTACAGAGCCAATGTGGAGTAGTAGTAAAATGGGTTATAAATGGAGTTCCTCTGAAAGGATCTGTACACTTTCAAAGTTTACACTACCAAAAGCAAACGTGTTCAGGTCGGTGGTGTTGTGCCAAAAGGTGTTCACGATGGAACAGACGAGATGGAAATGTCACGAGTGGCCATAGGGAAGCCACACACACGCAGACGCTGTTTGTAGACAGCAGCCAGGACTTAAATGGAGTTTTCTGTCTAAATGATGAGTATTTCTCCACCTCACTCCCCACCTCATCGTGCTCTCTGTACAATGGGACAAGATGAGAACAGCAACTCATTTATCTCCCCCACGTCCAGCTAGTTTTAATTCTTTTAGTTTTCTCCCCCTCCACACCCCGTCCGCGTCTAACCATCCTGCAGCCACTTTGAATGAGAGGCGATGTGGTGAAAGTATTTCGAGAATTCCCTCTGACCAAACCAAATCTGCCTGGCTGCCGTCTTTCTTTCGCAGAGAGAGAAGCTCTACCCAAATAAGGCTGGGCAATTTTAACTCGAAGCGAGGGTAAGAGACGCAACAGGCAGCGAGAGGGAGCTGCCGAAAGGCCGTGGCCTTATAAGGATAAGGTTTCCTTTTTTCCTTCCCCTCTCTCCCTCCTATTTCTCCTTTGTGCGCCCTCCTTCCTCCACCCTCCCTCTGTCTCTCGACAGACTAGTGAAGTCATCTTTCCCTTTCTGCTCCCTTTTAAGCCAGCGTTTTCAGGAGGGACATCCTCGTTAAGCGTATACAAACGTTCAGTCAAGCATCCTCACTCATCCACCCTGCACCAGCACCCAGCAGAGAACTAACCCCTTCTTTCACACAGTGAGTATGCCTCTCATTTTTTCCCTCCATGACAGAATTATTATCTCCCCGTTCTCTAATTACTCTTTCCACAACTGGATTTTGAGTTGATGAATGATTATGTTATCTGTTTCCTTCTAATCCGGGCCTGCTTTGGGGCTTTCCCAAATTCTTATTGTTTAATGTCTCTTTAAATTGTTTACATTTGAATATTAGGCGGAACGGCTGGATTTTATATGAACAAAGTTATGAACTCTGCAGGTTTACACAAAGGAACAATGTCCCATGTCTCACCTTCATGAAACCCAGTTGTTTAAGGGGATAGTAACAGTTCTTTAAAAGCCATTGCTTTCGTAATGTGTAGTTGTGTAGTTGAACAAGATCAAACTGGTTTGACTTTTTTTTTTGTTTCACATTGACTCTCTCACACAGAATAAGCCTTGTGGCGAGTAGCCCATAACAGTTAAGTCTATTTCTGATTTGGATGTAATTTGAGGGATAACTGAAAAATGTCCATGCAAAGTGAGGACGGAAAACTTCAGAGAAATAAGAGCCACACTATGCTACATATCTCTTCCAGAGCAAGGGGAAAATGTAGGCCTCCGCAGTGTTTGCACAAGCAAATGACCCATTTCCATACAAGGTGTTTTGAAAGCAAATGGGTGAGTTGTGTACACACTTCCTAATGAGAATGCAGATGGACAGTGGCGGACCAATGGTCATTTAAAGACTAATAATTCATTCTGGTAACATTTTTGAGGCCACGACTGAAGGCAAATGGCTTTCTGTGGCATTTAAATGAGAGATGATGAGCTAATCATTAAACATGGCAGCACACCCATCTCTCCGGTAAAAAACAGAGCAGCAGCAGTAGACGTTAAGTACCAGTGTGGATCTGAGTTTCTAAACGGCAGCAACAGGAGCAGATAACATTATCTGCTGTGCCAATCCTGCGGTAGCACAAAAACGGACCAGAGGCACGGCTGATTACAAACCCAGGAACTAACCACATCTGTGCGAGAGTGCTCCGAATCATCAAAGCCAGAGGCAATACATCAGCTCTGACAAACAGCAGTTCCACAGTTTGTCAGAACTAACGGAACCGTGAAAGACCTTGGCAGCGTTTCAACGGACTGCTTTCTGTGCTCACGAAAGCCTGGCAGCTCAGGGGGAAAGCAGCTTTCAGGAACCAGAGCAGTCCGTCTTCTGCGTGGGACAGCTTCCTTTTTAGCAGATGACTCCTCTGATACTGCTGAAGCGATAAGATCAAGTGTATCTTCAGCCCCGTTGCAAACAACACACAGCGCTGCACTTTTACAAACTCGTTCCGAGGAATCAGATGTTTACAGTGACCTCGACTGACCCAGAACAGTTTATTCATGTCAAATCATTATTTGGTGGTTTGCTAGTTAACTGTGGAGGAGACAAGCCTGCATGACGCCACGTCCCCACAGGCTGCCACAGCTGCCACAGCCCTCATTCTGGTTTCCTGTTCTGGCATTAGGCGTATTACCATGGTAATAGACAAACAGAAAGGGAATAACACTAGAAGGGGGAAGTGTATGAATCTGGGGTTGAAAATGATGTGGCCATATTGTGGCATTTAGTACTTCAGGACTTCTAATAAAAAGGAACTTTTCATTATAAGTCATTTTTAGTATAAGTTCTTTTTTCATATAAGGAACTTTAAATAGCCTTTTCTTCAAATATGATATCTTTTCATCTAGATTTGTTGCACAATTTTTTTTAATCAAATTACTTTGCAAAATTAGGACATTATGTGGCAACAAGAGAGCATGTACATCACTGCAACAGTAACAACAGTATTTGATGAGCTATGATTGGCCAAATACATAAGATGGTTAATATATAATAGATTGTTTAGAAGTATTTGCTTCATTTCTTTTTAAAGGTTCGGGCTGAATTGTGTTGGTTAAAAAAAAGCAGATGAAAAGAAGCAGCAAGGCAGAACAGAAGCTTGTTCAGTATATAATCCTGACTTACTGGATCCTTGGCAGCATCCCAAACATAGCAACGGGCCTCTGGATACTCATAAATATCAGTCAAAGATACCAGGCACAAACGGACTTGCTTCACCTCTAAAAATATTATGTGATCTTTGTATGGTTGTCATGCAGCAAACATTTTTTCCTCCTTTCTTCTCTTTCCCTCTCTTCTCTTTCCTTGTCAAGACACGGCACTGAGTGAGCAATGTGGAAAGCATAACTTTTATTGCTTTTCCCCCCACAAAGATGGTATTGTATGTTATTTGCAATTGTGGTTCCCAGAGTAGTTTATGAGCCTAACAACTGGAGGCCAGTAAAAAAAAAAAAGAGAGAGACCATTTTGGAGCATACCAGAAAAACGTTACTCTGTAATAATGATTGCATAATCATTCCTGTCAGTGGGAAAAGCATGGTGTGTCAAGAGCTGTGTCCGGATACCATGATAGAGTATCTAAACTTGTGGCTGTATCTTAGTGTGTTGCCCAGCATGTGTGTTTAGTTTCTGGTGGTCTGGAAAAGCGCTGCAGGGAATGCAGAAAGTATTAAACATGGTTAGTGGTAACATACTGTTGGCACTCCAGGCAGGACTCCATTAACATCATTGGAAATCTCAGACATTCGGTGATCTTTATACCTGGCATGCCTGAAACTTAGCAAAAATAACTTCAAACTCACATGTAACCAACCGCCATATGGAATTTACCCAAGGTAATATTTGAGAAATTACCTGAGGATTTATGGAAACAGACAAACAAACTCCAAATAGTGTCTGAATAGACAGTAAAACAGTGAAAAATTGTTTTACAATTTTTCACTGTTTGGTCATCGGGTCAAATCGGGTCAAATCCATGGCTTTGACATTACAGCGTAAAGGCAGATTTGTTTTAGGTGATGTAAACACTGAGTGACAGCCAAAGCTAATTACTTATGACAAAACTTTGCTCAGCATTTTGGCTTAGCCAGCTAGCTTACTTCTGTTCTGTTTCGTTTGCTCATAGATGGTAACACATTTTTTTCACTTCGTCCCTTCAGGACTAAAAACAAATTTACTTTGTCTTAGTGGACACATTTTAGCAGCCATTGAGTGATAAGAAAATCCTCAGTTTCATTAGACGTTACAAATAGCAATTCGTTTTACATTTTAGGACATTGATTCCATTAGCATTAGCATGTTTACAGATGCTAAAATATTACTGTGTCTGTTGTTAGCCCGATTCTTTAGTTGGGAACCTCAGAATAAACCAGAGTAGATCAAAAGTATAAAAACTACATTTATTAGGTCACAGGCAAAGTACATCAGTGTAGGGCTCTTGACAGACAAAAGCTCTCTCAGGGTCTCAGTCGGCAACGAGATCCGAGATCTGGGTGTAATAGGCATTAATCTCCTTGGCTCGATCCATCTCTTCAAAGGAAGGCTGGACATAACCAAGTCCTATTGGCTAGTTACCTCTGGGCATAAACAGGCCAGGTCTTAATTCATGCCGATAACATTGGAATGTGGTAACAAATGTTGTGTGTATGTGTTGACCTAAAGGTGTGGATCTAATGCAACAGAAAAGAAAAAGAGAGAAAGAAAAAGGGAGAGGAGAGACACTTTAACACAAAAATATAGTTCAATAAGGAATCAGTACTTTATATAGATAATGTGATAGCATACAATGCTAAAGTGAGTAAATGTAGCCAAATTCTAACACTGTTTTGATAACTGGTACAATTAAGTTCAGTTTCAAAACAGGAAATCCACAAATCAATTTCAAAATATGTGGGTCTGAGGTTTGAAAACTTTCCTCAAGTTTCTGTGAGCCACGTTTGCAAACTTGGCTTGCACAACCAAATCAAGAAATGACCTGCAAAGGAAGAGTTTTTCCTATCATATACCGTTACCACGCATGCTTTGCAGTGACGTCTTGAAATCTAAATATAATGAAACAACAAATAAGAAGTTTTAGTTATGTTGATGTTGTTTTTAATATCATCTAAAGCCCTGGTGTCTTATAAAACAAATGTATCTGAAACATGAGCTCATTCGAATTTGTATTATGTCGATTGATTCAACTGAAACCACAGGCAGCTGGAAAAATGATCTGACGCACAGGAAAAAGATTTTGCAGTGCTCATAAACAGACATGCATTCGTCATCAAGACTCCTCCAGTCAGATCCTCAGTTAACCTTTCCCAAATTTCTTAACTGTGAACCTCCCCAGGACACAGGACGTTGACGTGAGCTGACATCAAGATGGCAACAAAGGTTGGACGGTGCTGACAGCACTTTGATATGGGTTTTGCACTTGGCTGTTGGCCCAAAGCCAAAAAAGAAGCATAAGTCTGAAAAAAAAATCTTTTAAGAAGCCTGGCAGTCTGTATGCGATAAAAAAGGGAAAGATTTATATACATATATATGCATATATATATGTTTGTGTGTATATGTTAGAGGATAAAAACACAGCTGGCTGATACAGAGCTCCCACTGTACACCATTTAGCTTCAGATACATTCTAACAGGGCTAAATGGAGTACATTAGGAGATTCAACACTTTGCAAATAATCTGAGAAAGGTACTCAGACCGGGTGCTGAGCATTTACGCTTACATACACGCTTCTGATGTGCATGTCGTCAGTGTTTGTGTAGGTTTGGCGCAAGTAAGTATGCCTTCCTTTTTTGATTCTTCACTCAAATGCACTGTTTGGCAAGCGTGCTTGCTGCAGGCTGCGTCTGAATAATACTGCGTGAAGTACAAATGTTGTTTAATTGTACGAAAGCAACCACTTGAGCCCTGATCTCCCAGTGATCATACTTATACACGAGTTCAAATAGCATCAAGGATTCACAAATTGAGTTGTTTCTTCTTTTTTTAACTTTGTCTGGTTTTTGTTTTATCCCCACTCTTCTTGCCTTGCAGAGCGTCGGCATGGCTAACAAAGGTCCATCCTATGGCATGAGCCGACAGGTTCAGGACAAGATTGACAGCAAATACGACCCGGAGCTGGAGCAGATTCTGGTGGAGTGGATCAGCCGTCAGTGTGGTTCTGGCGTGGGAAGGCCGGAATCCGGCAAAATGGGCTTCCAGGCTTGGTTGAAAGATGGATGTGTGAGTGTGCTGAGTCGTCAGTGGAATGTGCCTCAAGATTGAAAAAAAAAGGTTATTTTCTTTTTCAAGTGCTTCACCTTCATTCTCCTTATGTTCAATGTTGTATTTGCAGGTACTGGGCGAACTTATAAATAGCTTGTTCGCTGCCGATAAACCTATAAAGAAGATCCAGAGCTCCCCAATGGCTTTCAAGCAGATGGAACAGATCTCACAGTTCCTCAATGCCGCCGAGAAGTATGGCGTCACCAAAACTGACATGTTCCAGACCGTGGACCTCTGGGAAGGTCAGAGTGACGTCACATTGCTACGGTGTCTTTCTTTGCTGTCAAAATCCAATGGTGAGTGATAATAATTCAGTATTTAAATTGGACAGGAAAGGACCTGGCCGCAGTGCAGAGGACCCTGTCGGCCCTGGGCAGCTTGGCTGTCACCAAGGATGAAGGCACATACAACGGTGACCCTAACTGGTTCTTCAAGTAAGGGCACCAAGTCATACTGGGCACATTCCAGCCATTGAAATTGCAACAGAGCTAGAAACTGTATAGATAAAAGATTTTTGTGATATTATGACTGTGACAATTTTAATGTTGTGATGCAGGAAAGCGCAGGAGAACAAGCGAGATTTCAGCGACGAGCAGCTGAAGGCAGGCAAAAGCGTGATTGGCTTACAGATGGGCTCCAACAAGGGAGCCAGTCAGGAAGGCATGAGCTACGGAAGACCCCGGCAGATCCTGTAAAATTCACTGAGCCACAAATATCCGACACCTCTTTTGCGTCCTTTTCATACCAAATTTTCAGATTCCCTTTTGTGCCCTCCCAGAGCCTATAAACATCTACCCGGCTCACTGCAACTTCCCTTTTATTTTTTTTGCTTTAGATTTAAGGGCTTTCTAATGTTAACACACATTTCTTGTATAGGTGACCGCTGCAGCACTCACCTTGCTATGTCCACCAGTACAACTAAATACCTTACAGTGCAATAATAATATCAAAAAGTGACCAAAAAAAGTTATTAGAAACCAAATCAGTGTGAATCTTAAACCAAGCTATTTTTGTCCTTGTACAAAGTTTGATATACAGCTCTGACGGAGTAGTTAAGTGACCTTTAACCACCAATTTGTAACCGATGTTTGAATTGTGGTATTTACTTCCCATTTTTTTTAAGCATTGGAGCTTGGAATCTGACAAAAAATGATCAGTTTGTTTACAAAACTTGCAGAGGAGACATTCATGCAAAAGTGACAAGCGCAACCATGCTGTGCCAATTCACCCTTTTACAGCTGTGGTAGCCCACCACTTGCCACATTGCTAAGCCTGCTTTGTCAGTGCCAATATTTTTGTACGTTGTCTAATTAAATAATGCTTTTGACATAGATTTATGAACTGTCCTGTGATTTTGGCTGTTTCGGTCCATGGAAAAGTTTATGGAAAATATTGGAGTTACAAAACTGAACTGCCTCATAACTGAAAACAATTATTTTCACATCACATGTCCTTTACAAACAAATACATGCTGATGCTATCAAAAAGCATGTTTCATAACCTAGTATGTTTGGCATCAGTGAACGAATAAATGCAAGGCAAAAGGCCATCTGAGTAAAGCTAGTTTAAGTAGTTTACAACCTATAACAGGTTGTAAAAGTTAGTATGATAGCACAAGTCAGTCTGGACTTAAAATAATCATCCCATCTCTATCATCTTGGCTAATTTTCTTTAGCTCTGAGATATGTAGAAACTTATAACCCATATTTAATCATGTTAGTTTGATTTTAACATGTAGCTCAAAGCTCACATTAATTCGTTTTTAAGACGTTACATGTGATTTTACGCCTCAGAGAATGGTAGTGGTATATCAACACTCTCTCTTTCAGATTGTATTCATACAATCTGACAAAAAAAGATGTTTACATTTTGTGTCTTGAGTGTTTGTGTTGTGGGGAGGAAAGGCACCAACAAGGTATATTAACAAAGCTTCCATTTTTATTGAAGAGCTGTTATTTTCTTTTTAAAATGACCTGTGACTTGCACAGCAAAGCACAGTTTCCAGTTGCACTTCAAACACTTACTGACCTTAAAAACACTTTATATAACGGTAGATCTGTACAGCAGGCACACATTATATATTATACTTTATAAAAAATACGCTTTGAAAATCCCCCACTTGAAAAACCCTCTTCAAGTTTATACCAGTAGTTGCTTAATGATCCACAGATGATAACCCAAGAATTAAAGTTTGAACTCAGAAAATACCCATAGAAAATTATTTTCCTTATAAAAAAAAAAAAAAAAAAAAAAAAAAAAAAAACATCAGTACTTTCATGAAATCATAAATGACTTCTCAGTGGAAGACCCAATGTGTTAGAAGCACACATGTCTATTTAAAAATGAATCCATATGAGCTGTTGAGCCACATATTTCTTTGGACACGTTTTACAAAAGAGCATGTGTGAACTTCAACACCCTCACCTGTGCAATTATATTGGAAAATTAACCTCTATCCAGTCCCTGTGCTGGTATACCCAATACCCACCACTCTACACAAAGCGAACAGTTATAAAAAGTTTACACCCACAACAGAAAGGAACATCCTCACCATGTCCTCGTTATTACTCTGATTTTTTTTTTTTGTAGTTGAGGATATTTCTTCTGAATAAAAGTGTACACATACATACAAGGCCACTTGTCTGGGAATCAAAGAGAAGGACTCAGAGTCCCCTCTTCATTCAGGTTCACCTGCTAGCACCACAGTCTGGATTAAGGTGGGCTAAAAAGCAGTCCAGAAGAGAAGAGAAGAGAAGAGGAGAGAAAAAGCCTGAGGAGTACCATGGGTGTAGTGAATGAGAAGGTTTTGACTCATTTACAGGCTCTGTGCTACGTTGCTAGCAGTTCTCCAGTGATAAGGGGCACTTTGGTGTCAGAGTCCAGCACTGCCTGCAGTTCCACCCCTGAATCCTGCTCCTCTTCCTCCCCGTACTCCTCCGCCTCCTCCCCAATCAAGGCCTCCTCCACTCCTCTCCCTCGGCGTTCCCTCCTGCTTCGACGGCTCGCTCGTCTCTTGGGCAAGCAGAGCAGGCTCCTAAAGTCCACGTGGGCCAGCGTGACCTCAAGTGTGTAGTAGAAAGACCAGAAAAGGGCGAAGCATCCAAGCAGCAGCAGGAACTGATGGAGAGAAGAGAAAATAAGGGGGAAAAAAAAGAAAACGGTACATGAGCAGGATAAATCAAGACTTTTTTGGAGGAGCACTGAGCAAGCTTTCACAGTTAATGTATTCCTGCCATTTAATTAAATTATTCAGCCTGAAATAAAGTCTTGTCTCTCAGGGTTACCATACAGTAAGGATAAAAGTAAAACATTAGAATAAAAGATCCCTGTAGAGGTGAAGTCAGTCATTGTGGGGCCAAAACCTTTGTGCAAAATAAATTAAGCCACTAGCATGACCAATGCTCAGTCACATGTACCTTGAGGCTGTTTGACGTGAAAGGGCTAATGATTTCTGGAGGGATTTCCAAGCCTGGGGGGCAGGGTAGAGAGAAGCTGCTGTCCAGGTATTTACCACTCATAGCCTCCTCCACCAGCCTGTCAGAGAGCAGCCAGTCAACTTGCGGAACAACCGTTCACGATTGAGAAACTAACTGAAAAACCGTGTGGTCGGCTCCTTACTTCTGTCTCTCCTTCACTTCGTTGAAAGTCATGGATGAGCCGTAGAGGGTCAGTTTCCTCTGCTGAAGCACTCCCACTCCTGCGCACTGGTCTGACACAGCGTCTTCTGCAAAACAAACAGAAACCGCCCGTATGAACTCATGCTTTGCATCCGTTTAAGGTCTAGTTAGCATGTGTGCGGCTGCCTCTTACTGTGGTCGGATATCCTGAGTGTGTATTGGCCTTCGGCCTGCTCTCCCCAGCAGCGCACAGTGGAAAAAGTCCAGTCCTGGTATCCTGCAGCGTCTCTGTGGGGATGTCACAGGGTGGGCAGCCATTGTCAACGCCGCTTTCGTGTCTTTGCGTGGAACAGAGCAACGGGAAAGCGGATCGGTGCGTACCTGTCGATGGCTCGGCGAGCCCCGATGACTGATGCCATCCCACTGGGGCAGACCAACACTACCTCCACGTTGCCGCGGCAAGGGTGGGTTATCGTCACGGTAACGGCCACATGCTCGAGTGTCACCATTCCGGATGCTTTCAGGTCAGCGGCAGTTACTGGAAGAGAAGGAGAAGAAACCACTTGTCAAATAAGCATCAAGAATGAAGTATCAACAGAATAAAGGCTTTTTCTTCTCTTTAAGACACAAGTAATATTCGATGGATATTATAAAATATCTTAAAATTCAGAGTTCATTCACACTAATGCCTATGTGTAAAATATTTTAACAATTTTGTACATCTGGAACCATAGTTTAATCAAAGTTAAATAAGGCTTTCATCTGATGCAGAAGATGGTTGCCATAGTAATACTGGCATATTCTGCATTTTACTAAATATTGTCTTTAGTTGGCATTTTAAGTTATGTAATAGAGAAAGGCGCAGCAGGGACAGCCATTTTCATCTTCCATAAGCTTGTGGGCCTTGCCTTGAAACTGTTATCAGTGAGTTCTTTAACATCCGCCTGCCTCTAAGTGCGAAGGTCTGGTAATTTTTCTCTGCATTTCCTCGTCTCTGGCTGCTAATGAGCTGCAGTGCTTCCCTGACCATCTAGGGCTGTACATATCCTCAGGGCAGGGAGAGGCACAGAGAAACCAGGGGGAAGAGAGAGTGTAAATAGCTGAAAGGGAGAAAAGATGGAGGGCAGGAAAGTTGAGGGGAAAACGCAAAACAGGAATTAGCAAAAACAGAGACTAATTATGAAATAAAGGGAAAAATTTACAAAGCAAGGGAAGGACGATAAATAGGACATGTGGGCACAATTTTCCCAATGAGAACTGCGTCCGAAGGCAGAGATTCTATGAATAACCTCAATTAGATGAACTCTTAGCTGGCTTTAAAAACCTTTCTGATTCTGGTCAACCACATGGTGACCTGGAAGTGTGGAAAAAGGTGTATATAACAGTATAAATTATACCTTTATTGATTTTTTAATATCAAATTTATCTTCATAATGCCAAAGAAAGCATATTTACAAATGACAGCACTTCCAAAAGTTGACAAATTGTGACTTTTTCTGATTATGTATATGTGTGTGTGTGTCTTACCACAGTGTCACTGAAATGTCTGGAAACACCAGCCTGTTCTAAACTATGTGTTGGTGCTGTAAGTCTGCTTTATACGTGCAGTAATACGTGTCTTTGTCCAGCTTTTCCGTCTACTTTTTAAAATGTCCTTAAATAATTATTGTTCAATACTTTTGTATTCTGTATTACGCACATGAACAGACCTGGACTTAAAATCCCTTTAGTTTTAAACAAAAATGAACGATTTGATTAAGGAAATTGCTGAAGTAATCTACCAGTGTACTTTATAACCAAAAATAAATAAATAAATAAAAGAATCTGGGTTTTTGCACTTATGTTTGCTGTCTATTCAGTTAAAGCCAACTTCTCTTCTTCACGTCCTCCGGAAAGACTGGAGTCTAAGATTTCTACAAGCATGAGAATCAAATGTCTCTACAGATGGGAAGCAGCTCACTTGGGAAACAGAGTATCTGAGATGCTTTGGAGGCCGTGTGTTAGCCGAAGGGGCAGCCAAGACACATAGAAACTATAACAAACACTGAGCAGGGTGCCAAGCCAATCTAAAACACTATCAGTTATAAAAAGCCCCCAAGAGGTCTGACAAAGACAGGCTGAGGATAGATTTAAAGGAGAAAAAGTCAACTACAGACGCCCGATGTGATTTCCCATCCTGAAAATAAATCCAGACGCACTTCGGGAGACTGATCTGTGGCTATCAGAGGATTTGCCCTTGACAAACTCGCTCCATGAGACCAAACATGAGCATGAAAACACAAACACACTCCTAACTGCAAAGAGGCCATGAAGAAGGGAAGATACAGATCGAAGGAAGAGAGCAAAAGAGATGGAGAAGAAGGAAATGTTTTGGCTAGTATGAGGTCATTATTATCAGTGTGTGGGAGGGACGGACTCAACTCTGCAAGAAAACAGGGAGTGCTGAGCAGCAAATGAAAAAAAAAAAAGAACAGAAAAGAATTGTTAAGTGACAGGGCCTAGGAGAAAACTAAAGTTACACTTAGCAAGTAATTAGAAAAAGACATTTCAGCAAAGAAGCTCCCAAACAAGTGAACATTCCCTAATATGGACAAGCAGACTGAGGGAGCAGGGAGGGTGGGAGGGGATGGATTTATAGTCCAATGAGTAACCTTGACTAGAAAGTATCTGTTTCAGAGGTGGGAGGGCGAGGGAACAGAAAGCATTACCATTCCAGGTACGGACCAGCTCGTTGGAATACGTTAGGATGGGCGTGTCCTCCTTTATCACCGAGCTCTGATAGGACACGAGGAAAGGCACTGACTCCCACACCTGAGGCACGACGGAGAAATGCAAATCGACTCATTCAGGGGATGATTTAGCGGTTTAGGAATACAAAACAAAACAAAAAACAGAACAATGTACCTTGGCTGCATTAACAAGCCTCCATGCATTGAGCAAACCGAAGCCGTGCTGGTGGCTGTGATTGAAACCCGCTCCGTTTGCTCTCCAGTCGGCACTACTGTCACACTGTTAAACAAAAGGAAAAGAAAGAAAAAAAACAACCAAGTTTACGGCCAAGTTTTCTTTTACGTTCCTGTCTAGCAATGCAAATGAACTAATAACAGTCTATTACAGCCCCCTAACCTCCTGGCTGTTAAGGAAATAAACTGGGGAAACTCGGAGTTCATTATGTGGCTGTAAAGGCGATGACGGGCTCATTTTGGAAGCTGTTTTCCTTCTTGATTTATTATAGTTTAAATAAAATGCTTTAGTTCATTACACATTGTCAGAATGAAGGAAATAAACCGACATCTTTAAGGAGAGGAGAGTCCCAGATGAGCTAAAACGCCCGTTTATCACAATATGAGTTCCAATCGTCCCTTTTACTGCTTTTGAAAATTTTGGTTTTAATAATCACAAAAGGATACCACGTAAAGTTAATCAATAGCAATGGACGGTTTACATTGCACTGCATCAAAAAAAAAAAAAAAAAAAAAAAAAAAAAAAAGAAATGACAATGCTAAACTGAGGCAGAAAATAATCACTTCCCATCAATGACCGTGTCAACAAACCATACAGTTATATAAAGCCATCTTGGGTGCATTCAAATGAATTTTTTGGGTGAAATATGATAAAAAGGAGGTGCCGGCTACACAGTAAGAAACAAAAAACCCCAATCTGGTCTGTCTGGTGGAGACTGATGTTCCGTCAGGCTCACCTTAGTGGCGGTGAAGGTGATGATGTGTTGAACGTCCCTCCAGCTGAGACAGGGCCGGACCTGCAGCATAAGGGCCACCATCCCTGCGGCCAGGGGGGCTGCGGCGGACGTGCCGGTGTGGCCCTCCGTACAACCCGTCCCCTGCTGCATGGACCAGTCTGATGTCACCTACAGGAGGGAGGAGACGGCGCTGAAAAAATACTGCTGAAGTGCAAACGCAGCTAATGACTGTGCAGGAGTCCTAGTGTAAACTGACACATTTCCCAAAAACCTTTACTGAATGAAGCCCAAAAGAAAGGATCCACCTCGAGCCTGTGACCGATTTGGCACAGAGGACAGAGTTCAGGGCTGTTTGTGTGCATTTTGTGTGCTACGCTCTCTGGGTTAGGGCCCTGTGGGGACTAAGCTTTTGGAAAACATAGAGGGAAAAAAAAAAAGAGTCAAAGCAGCTAAGACAAAAAAAAAAGAGAAGAAGAAAACCAGATAACTTAAATGCTCAGACATTGAGCAAATTATGTTGACAGATTTATTAGAAATATGAAAACACCCCAAGTGCAATGATTTTCTGTTGGATTTGGATCCAACTATCAAGTCCTACACCTATGGGCAAACATGCAAACTCCACACAGAAAGGACACCCAGGATTCAAACCAGACGTCCATTTGCGTGTAAGGCAAACTAACCACCACACCACTCCATGCTACTAGACATCTGAACCAGACATCACTTTCTCCACAACTACAGTAAAGTTGATCAGCTGCAATAGTTTCAAGGAGTTTTGCCTGTGTTGTTTTAAGAGTCACATGCAGAGTGGTTTTATGAGATATACAATGATTAAACAATCAGATTGTGTTTTCTTTTTAAAGATAACAAAAAGAAACAGAAATAGAACTCAACTACTGACTTTTTAAACATTTACTGGGTTTTTTTTTCTTCTAAACTCGACTTCTTTAGCAACAGTCACTTTAATCCTGGCTTCTCTTTAGTCATCTCTGATGTATCCAGCAGCCTCTATGGGGATGGATGGAAGGCTGAATTTCTGCTTTTCACATCACTCCCTCAGATGTTACACATGTCCACTTTCAATGAACAGACACCCCAACCGGCAGCGAGTGGCTAGTCCTTAGTCAGGGAGTGTGCTGTGTTTGGTGTTGGTTCAGTGGCCCAGGTCCTGACTCAGCTACTCTCCCGCAGGCGATGACATACACGAAACAAACTGTGTTACCATGGCGACACCCTCAGACACTTGCAAATAAAGGCTAGTGCCTTCAACAGGCATTTGCCTTTGTCATCATCAGCCATTTTTTTCCAAATGAAAATGGCTTCCATTCTCCTCATTTAGGGTTTAGCCACTGAAAGGCTTCTAACCACTTCGGTTTTCACAACAGGAAAATTAAGTAAAAGACATCAAGTTTATTTTCACATTACTCATAAGCATTCACAGAGGAACACTAGGCAGTTGTAACTCGCTGTAAAAAACAAAAACTACCACTTCGTCAGCTGGAGTTTCCAAACAGATGCTAAATACATCTGTATTCTCGGACCCCCCCACTCCTTGCCCAGAAATTGTGCACAAATGGAACACCATACATAAGTACAGTATGCTTTACGTTAATCAGAGCAGAATTGTCCATACAGATTACTTTCGTGCCATTTGACAAAACAGCAGACAATTTTTCCGGCTATTAATCCTTTTAATGCTGCCATTACATTCATTCATTTAACCAGCAATTCTGTGGCTGGCTTACCTGCTTCAACCTGACAAATAGCACCAGTTTGCTGGAAGGTCTTCAAGCCCCCCCAACCAAAATACGACAACCCTGAATTTAACTTAATTTCTAGGATGTGTTGATTGAGAATGGTTGATGTTTTGCACCTCATGACATCATTCTATGAACTTCTTCTCTGCTCTCGTTGTCGAGTTCCCTTTTGCCAAAGTTCCCATGTTTGTTATGGTTACACTCACAATGCTCCTCAGCTTGTTGCCCCCGCTGCTGAATGTCACGGCCAACATGGAGGCACACTCTTCTGCGTAGAAGGGCATTCGTCCGTTCTCATCCACAGCTCCTTCAGCACACACAAAAGCTTTCCATTAATGTCCCTGCGAACCAAAGCACACCTTTCCCCTCCTCTTACCGATTGTGATCGTGTAGATGGAATTGGCGTAGCCGTCGTAGTTGCAGTTGTCGTTGTATTGGCCTCCGTTTCCGCTGGCGACCACGAAGATGCTCCCGAAGCCTCTCCTGCCTGCGATCACACCATGCTGCAGTGCTGCCTGTGAGGAAAAGAAAGGAATCAAAAGAGGAGAGACAGGCTGAAAACCCTGGCACACGCTGCAACGTGCTGCCCTCCGCAGGAAAAAGACAGACTCACCTTGCCCAATGGATGAGGTCCATCCACAGTGTGTCCATCATCATCTGGACCCCAACTAAAGGACATAACGTTGAAATAAGAATCTCGAATAGGGATACGTTTTCAGTGATATTTTACTGCTATAGAAGCCGTGTTTCAAATGGAAATAGCAACCCGAATCAGGCAAAGGGACTTCTGTTACCTGCAGCTGTAGATGTCGTTGACTTGGTAGTGCTTGTTGAAGGCTATGGCCTCCAGGCTGTCGGTCAGTGGGCCGTCCAGGACCCTGATGCCTGAGCAAAAAAGCAGTGAGAGATGTTTCACCACATGTGAACTTTAGAACACAATCGACCTTTATATCCAAAGTTTCGTACAAAACTATGGCCAAACATATGGCCAGTAGAAGAAAAAACAAAAAGATGAAATTAAGAAAAATATTTAAAAATTTTTTTTAACTAATAAGAATGTCACACACACACTAACACAGAATTTCATACTTGGGGAAAAAAACTGGAACATTGGAAGTTTGAATACAAATATTAAAATACTTAAACTATTACATAAAATAAGATAAATAAAAACACAAAAACGTGTTGAATATAAAATAATTAATAGTTAATGGGTACCTTTTTTTAATGGTAAAATAATTAAATAAAGATTAAACGGAAGAGAATGAGAAGGAAATGAATGTAAAATTTAGATAATGGATACTAATAAACACTATTCAACTAAAAGTTTTACTAAAAAAAGGTCAGTCAAGCCTTTTTTTTTCCTTTTTAAAGATAACACTCCCTTGGGTATCTTCCATACGGGAGACCACGAAACCTAAAAGATCTTATTTCTTATATTTTAGTTACTGGCTTAGGAAAAGAGTTGTAGACCAGCTCCTGATGACCTGAGGGCTTTGGGAGGCTCATAGACCAAAGGCATAAAATCATGGGACAAAAACCATTGAGAGCTTTGAAAATTAAAAAAAAAAAAAAAAAGAATCTGGAAAAACAAAGGAAAGCATTTGCAGACATTTTAAAACTAGAGCCATGCGAGTTGTCTGTTACCTGCCACCTTGCTGCCATAGGCCACGCCCACGGCACAGAAGCTGTTGTTGGGCACAGCCGCTATCTCGCCTGCACATCGAGTACCATGGTGGTTGTCGCTGTGCACATCTGGATGAGGCATGGGGTCCGGGTCGTTGGAGTTGAGATCGTAACTGCCCTCTGGACTCTATAAAAGAGGAGCATTACAGCAGTTGTTGTGTGGTTTAGTCCACCCAATGTGTTGCATCTATTTAAGCTTGAAGTCGTGGGGAGAATTACTGGGAGAGTTTCTGAGCTTGCTCACTGTGCTCATTATGGGATTTGAGCATAAATACACTGAAGCTCTGCGCGTCTGCCTTCTCCTTTTTATGCCTGTCTATTGTCATTTTAACTGGTCTAACCACCCATAGATAAAAATCTGTCTTTTTTTTTATGCGTGTGACTTTCTCTGTACTCTCCAGTGTGCTACAATGTTCACAGCAGAGGAAGCCAGGGCAGTTTTCTTTCCCCAATCACAGATAGTGATTAAAGCTAGATTATGATCTGGAGAACACACGGTCAAAGAATGAATGCGACTAAAATCATCCAGGGAAGAATAGGCACTTTCTTTTTTGAAAACACTGGCTTGCTCTCAGTTAGGACTTACATAGTTGAGCTGAATGTCTTGGTGGGTGTGCTGCACTCCGTCATCCACAACTACAACAGTGACGCCCTGGCCAGTGATGTTATGCTCCCACACCCCCGTCACGTTGATGTCCATTCCTCTATTGATGTTATTATGCTGTGGGAATAAATTGAGTGAGACAATAAACAGTATAATAAAGAGTATAGCATAAAAGGAAGATGATATAGAGTAAAGCTGATAAACAAACAAAAAAAACACGCTTGTCAACATGACATGCACATTTGAAGTATGAGAAGTTTTTGTTTGTTTATTTAATCCACAGGACATTTTGTGCTTTAAGCTTTGAATTAATGTTGCCAAAATATGATACAACATCAATGGCAAAATGTAAATGGAATTAAGATGAGTCCCTGCTTAAAGACATCATAAGCAGGATTTTGTGGTCTTTGCTTGAAGGTAAAATACAAAGTTAAACAAATGTATCTTTGATGATTATTCGGGTGAAATTTAGTTGTGAGACTCCATAAATAAAAACAATTCAAAAAAAGGTTTTAGAGTGTGTCAACCGAATTTTAAGGTCAGTTTCGTAAGATCCAACAAACACAATGCATGCATTTTATTTATTTTTGGTCACTGTGACACAATTTTTTTCCAAAGTCATGTAAACATAGTAACTGTTGAATCAGTCGGAAATATTGACTGATAAACTGGCCCTCAACTAGATTTCAGGGCAGATAAATAAAAAAAGTGGAGAAACGGCTTCACTACAAGTGCCTTTTTACTTTTAAAAAATCTTTATATTTACGTTCAGTAGGATTAGCTTTCTTATTTTTTGTTGATAGAAGCAATAGATTAGTGTATTAAAAACATTTAAACAGAGATGGAACACTAAAAGTCTGGTAAAAACGCTGCACAACAACAGATGGTCACTATGCGGTCAATAAACAAGCAAAAGCATAGAAACATTTTAAAAAGAATGTGGACTTGAGCTATCGTTATAATTCAGAGATTAGTGCCAAGTTATTGTTTGTTTTAAAAGGAAAACACATGAGAAATAAAGTGACCCTGATAATTTAAAGTACTCTTCAGAAACTCGGACCAACGAAAGGTTGCAAGTTTATGTTCTCACCAAATGCCATTGCTTTGGATAGTTGGGGTCGTTGAAGGCCACTGATCTCTTTGAGCGGCTCAGGACTCTTTCCTTTGAGTACCACAAAACGTAAGGGTGGGCTGCTAGGACATCCTTTGGCTGGACACTTCTTTTCCATAAACTTCCTGAATTGGCTTTGACGGAGCACAGGAGGTAATGGCCTTCCAGCTGTCCAATCTGACCCTGGTTCTGCAGCCCAGCCTGTTGTGCTACCTGTAATTGAGATAATACTGACAACTGGACTTTGAAGGAGAATCACTTCTCTGAATATGGCCGACTACCATTCTTCCCTCAAACATGAGCACATTCAAAACATATACGATTAAACTCTTATAACATCAATATTGTAAATGCATTTACTTTAAAATAAAAAAGTGGACTAACAATGAACATTAAACATGAAGTAAAATGCCATGTCAATAGAAAAATCTCATATCCCTTGAAAACATCTTTTAAAGAACTTTTTTGTCCAGAAAGAAAGGAGCAGAAAGGAGGGATTCCCAAAGGAACTTTGATTTTATTATACAGTATGAAAAAATATATATACCATGGTCCAAATGTTTGTGCAAAAACATAAGAAAACAGTTAAGACAAACCAGGAAAAAAGGATAAATTAAAGTGCACCTTGTTTGCTATCGTATCCAGGTGTTCAGAGCTTCCTTCCCCATCTTCATGGTACACGCCAGTGTGGAGCCGGACCGCCCAGGACTGACCGGGAGAGCAGGAGGAGCGTGTCGGCCAAGGTGAGAATTGAGACGAGGGTGCCACCGGATCAGAGGGGGTGACGGAAGGCAGAAGGGTGAGCAGCAGGAGGGCAATGGAGGAAAGAAAGATGAGGAGGAGGAATGTGGGAAAATAGGCCGTTGCCATGGCACGGAAAGGTGACAAAGAGGGTCAACAAGGCCAATTCTCTTCATCTGAACAGCAATCTGGACACAAGACAAGCAGGGGACAAGAAGACTTGATCAACGAGGACATTTTGAGAGAGCGCGGCTGGTTGCTTATCACCCATGTGCTGAATTCAGAGACAACCTAGCAAAATAACAGCATCGCACTAAATAGAGGCCTGTTCACAGAGCTGTGGGTAAAGCAGACCTGTTTTACAAACATTCCTGCTTGCAATGCTGTAAATATGCTTTCACCTGTGCCAACACTGACAGGGCAAATAATCAAACAATACAACTCTCTGCAACCCTGTTTGAAAAAGAGAGTATGGTCACAGTGTTGGACAAGAAGAGAACACATGAGTTTAATAATCTTTACAAAACCACAGCAGCATGTGAACAGGCACCGTCCAGACTGCAAAATTATAGGTTCATATTAATGTTTAGCAAGAAAACCAGAAGTACAACCACCACCGACTGACATTATAAACAGTCGTTTTAAGACCAGATGTGCAAAACCCGGTTTAGCAGCTCCGAAATGAATTCGCCCTTCGTTATTAAAATGATCAAAACCATATCAGTAAAAACATATCGGGAACACAAACATAATTCGATTATCTAAGGCTTTCGTAAATAAAATGTAGAATTACTTTAGTTTAAGTAATTAATTCCAGGGCTGTCGATAATTTACCACGTTCAGATAGTCTGTCCGCTAATAATAACATAATTTCTGCTGGTTTAGTTATAGTATAGCCTGTAAGCTAGCTCATTTGACAACCAGTTGAGAAAGCTGGTTGAGCTTTGTGTGCTAATTAAGCGCGTGCCTTAACACATATTTTCGCTGCAAAAAAAAACATTGGTAGCTTTCACAATATGAATAAATAGAAAAAAACATTTCTACAACCTGAAGTGGAAGTCCAGTTTGAGACGCAGCGCAGTTGTTGTCATAGCTTTGTAAGTAAGCTAGTGTGCTGACGGGACTGATTCGAGTCGTTATTTGTTAATCAAACAAGGCCGACACGTAGCTGGGGTAGCTTAGAACCGTAAGACAGTTGCGTATTAAATATTCCACTTAATTCGTTTGTTTAATCGCTCACTTAATATTTCTGAGGAAAAACCGCTGAGTTTGTCATCTTATTTCCGTAACACGAGTGCCCACCAAACGTACTACGTCCTGAACTTATTATGTCAACGTAGTACGTGCAATGTGATTGGTCTAGCGCTGTGACATAATTAGACACAGGTAAGACTCACAATGGCAACCATATGTAACAACGGCTTTGTTATTGACCAGGGAGAAGAATGGGCGGAACTGTATCCTGTCATTGGTCGGTAGAATTGTGGTGAATGGGCTGATTGGTTGAAAAAGATAGAGGTACGTATGATACAATGTAGAGCGAATCTAACAATGGGATTTTAGCAACTTCAGCGGGATATATTTTTCTTTTTAGCCTTGGTTATTTGTAGTTATATTTTTAGAGTGGTTTTCAAATGACGATGTAAAAATGTGGCACATCTTTATTTCATAGCATACACATATCTACTCTTTAATACCTTTTTGAAAAAAACTCTGCCTCTTTGTCTTAAACTAAACCAACCTTGGTTCATAAAAAAAGCCATGACACAGCAGTGAGAGTAGAATTACACCTCATGACTCAGTTCGCCAAGATCCAGAATGCAAGACAAGCCCAAGCCATCCTACCTCCACTGTTGTGAAGAACAGCTTTTTATGAGATCTTCTGGGTGATATGCTGTTTTCGGCTTTCTGCCAACTGTGTTGCCATGAGTTGTTACCAACCATCTCTGCTTGTCTTTACCTGTGCACTTCTCTATGTAAGAGAAATTTAGCTTACTTCTTGCAGCTCTTCCAAACAATCCAGACTTGTTTAGACTGTTTCTAATCGTTGTCGGATAAATGTATCATTTGACACACTGAGGACTGTAGAGGCTGAGATGGAGATCTTTTTTATAGGTTCTCTGATCATTGCACCTTCTGGCTTAGAGTTAGATCAAATGGAACACAAAATCTATCCTTAGAATAACATGAATTTGATAAAAACTTATCAATTATCAACATATATGAACTCAACTCATAGTTTGTTAAGGAGTGCTGGTGTTTTAGTTTTGTATTAATGTTAACAAAATGTACTTAGTAAATCAATTGAGACATTTTCTACCACGTTTCAACACTTCAACACTTTCAACACATATTTCCAGTAGAAAGGAAGATCCCCAGACATTTTACAGTTATAATAAGTAGTTTATTGATTCAACAGTGCTGTCAGAGCCTGACAGATAAATATCCAGTTCTGAGTTGATCTATTTACAGCCTGATAAGAAACAGCATAAAACTGTCCTCTATGGATGCACATAAAGTTCTTCAGTGTATAAGATACTTTGGGCTGGTTTCATTCTCTAAGCAGTTATGGTCCCGTAAAAAGACGTGGTGAGTTAGACTGTTTGTGTGTGAGAGAGGAGCCCTATTAGGTTTCGGTTTGTTAACATGTAATGTGTCCTCAAATGTGCAGATCATCCAAGGGGTATGGATAAGTACTGTGTGGCTGTCTGTGTGAATAAAAGATCAGGGATGTACACAATATGTACAACACGACACATTTATGTGATGAGCAGAAGAAGAAAGTGACATCTGATCAGTAGTTTCACACCAAAGAAAATCTGGTATTAAACTGTAAATGCTCTGCAGTCTTATATTCAATCAAATAGCCTCTTTAAGCGTGCTTTGTTTGCTTTACAGAATACTTTGCTGGCAGGTACAACTGTCTTTTGATAAATACGGCATCATTTCTTTCATTTTCATAAGTAGTGTCTTGATTTTCGTAAAACTTTCGTGTATACTCTTTTCTTGCAATAACTGCAAAGACACACACAGGCATGCACACACAACTTACTTCATTCACTCAAAAGCCACAAACATGGGAGCAACAAACTTGCATTATACCAGAGCTCATAGCTTCGACTCCCTCCAAGTCCGGTTTGGAAAGCATCCGTCTCCAGAATTCCAAACCCCTCCCAAGTTATACGTTCCCAATCAGTTAATCTGATCAGTCTTCATACTTTTAAAAAAGAAAGAGGGGATCCTTTTTATCTTTGCATTTTGCCCACATTGCTTCCTCTAGCCATGCTGATCTGCATAGGTAGCTTAAACAGGCAAAGCTGATGCTGAACACAGCATCTTCTTCTTGCTTTCCCCTTTAAGTTCATAATGGCTTTAGTTACCCTCACAAACAACTTGAGGGCAGTGAGGCTCACGGTGTGTGTCAGCTGTTTCTATACTTTTACAACATGTACCTGAAGAATCTTTTTAACAGCTGACTTTGAGCAGCACCTTCATTTTGTAACATCCCTTCTCTGTCCTGCTTACCGAGCGTCACGGGCTCCGTTCTCCCATTTTGTGCCCCTTCACTTCAGGAGTGAAATGTCGTCGGCGAAGTCCCCGTTTGGCTGGAGGCAGCGGGCAAAGCGCCACTGGCACACCATGAGACACAGAGGCAGCATGAAGAGGGCGCAGATTCCCGCCATGATGTATGCGATGGTCATCAGAGTGGACTCATCTGTCTGGGGGATGTTGTAGCCGCAGTCTTCCAGGTCGAAGCCGTGGAACGGGCCCTCCACGGAGGCAGTGCGGAATTCATCGTGCACTGCAAATACACAAAAATATAACAAAAAAATTAAGAAAAAAGTAGTAATGTTTACATTCTTTCTCCCGTGACGCCCTCTCCCCCCACACACACACACACTCACCATGGCAGGTGCTAACAGCGAAGCCGATCCGCTTCGTCTCACGGTCGAACACGACGTAGAAGCCCTCCATGATGACCGCCCCCATCACTGTCCCGGTGCTGGACTGAGACACAGCGAACTTGTAGCAGTCCTCCTGGGCCGATGCCGCGTCTTCCACCGGCCGCAGGTATTGCTGCGTGAACCAAAGCGGACAAACAAGAAACCACAGAGGGAAATCCAGGGATTAGACACGCAGGTGTGATGAAATGCTTACACAAACAACCCAAATCTCACTCAGACTGGTGAAGAGGCCCGTTACACACTGTTGTAAAGTCTATGAGGGAATACAAAGTACTTGGCATAGGTTTGTGCTCACTTACACTGTGAAACTTTATATCTCTAATATTGTCACTACTTTCAGTTGGACTAATGTCTGGCAGGAAAAAGCCCTCTTTGAAAAGCACATGTTTTTACAATTTGAACTTTCGTAGGAGAAATATTTGTTCCATATGCAGTAGCTTACTCTCAGTTTCCTTATTGCTCAGTTTTTGCAAGGTTAGAGAAGCAATTAGCCTCGTCTTCACTATGACTGTCGGGTCAAGCTCTAAGGTCATAATATCTTGTAATCTTTATCTTAACTGTGACATTTGGGTCATCTTATCCTGGAGGCCACAGAGAGCCAAGAGACCTGGCTCTACTGACAGTATTCTGAGGTCAGGTTTTTTGGATATCTGTAGCTGAACACTGGCCTTTTGGTGTGGTTTATTAAAAAGAAACAGTCCTCTGAGCTAATTTTCTGTTATCTGGCATGTCTTAACCCTTTAACATCTATACTTAGAAAAAAAGAGCTGGTGTCGTTACCTGGGTGTTAAGTGATGGATTTAGGTTGTGTTTTCTAATGTATTTTATCTTAGTTAGTATTTGGGTTGTTAGTTCTAGTTTCCTTGTATTTTTTTTTTTTTCTAGTATGTTTCCTACGTTTTTCCCTTCGACCTCTCAGTTACTTCACTTCCCTCAGTTCCCTCCTTTTCTGATTATCTCTCCCCGCACCTGGGTTTCTCTGTCACCTGCTTCCAATAATCACTCTCTCTATGTTTGGTTTGAAGTGAACAGGAAAGTCATGTTCGGAGCAGATGCTTAATTTCTCTCTAAATTTCTGCCACATGTGGCATTACAACCTGATTTAATCTGTTCTTTTTTACTTCTGGGACAGTATTGTTTGATCTAAATGTCTTTGCTGATTTGAAAAAAGCCCAGTTGGGATAGGCCCAGGTTTGAGGAGCTGTGTACACTCTCCCTGGATGTTGTCAGTTTCCGTTGAAGTGGATGATCTGAGTTCAATTAGAGGTACCGGTCTGTGTGAGGGTTTCCTGTAAACATCTTTGTGAAATCTTCTGTCCTATTCATTGTACACTGCACTACATTCCAGTTTAGAACTCAAGTCCTGTTGCCTCTACTCGGGCACTTAGAATAAAGGAAAGAAGGTTAAGTGGCAAGTGGTGGCTATTGACCTCAATTATGAGCAGAGCTTGGATGTTTCCCTGATGCAAGAAATTGAGGCATACAAACTGGTATACGTGACCTTACATAGTGTAGTTACATAGTTGTCCACTGGAGAGCACTGACAGATTTTCAGAACCACTGATTTCATGCTCAAAGTGTTCCGTTCGGACTCATTGCTACATTAGATTATCATCTGTAGAGTGCAATGCCATGTGTGGATTAGTATGTGAGAGGACAGATTTTTTTCAAATGAACCTTTCCCAAATGCTTCCAGGAGCCAGTGGACGACAGGGGGAAATGCTGTCAAATATTTGTTTCCCAGCGCCAGTCTGGATTTACTGTATACTTTATAGTAATACAGATTGGAGGAGGCAAAGGTATGGACCAACTTCCCAGCATCAATCAGGGAGAGGTAGCGCTGGAGTCTCTGTCTCTGTGCTGTGGACCATGTGGAAACCAGACTGAAATGTCGCATTTATTCTTTGGCTGTGTGTGTAGTAGATGTGATAACTGTGTTTTAAGCATATGTGCTCTCATACTTTCAGGAGTATTACGTTTACACAGTGAACGAAGGAAAGCAGAGTATTGAGTCATATTGCCTGATGTCATCAGCTGCTAACCCACCAGACGTAAAACGGGATGACAAGAGAGAGAGGATAGAGTGGGCAAAACCCTTAAAGACTCACACACACACTCACACTCACACACAGGGGAAAGTGGGGACATTTTAAGAGCCTGAAACAAACTCACATATATTCCTGTAGATAAATATTTACTCTTTACTTTTCATGTGTTCTTCTGATTAAAACTGAGGTTTGCGGGTCATTCTGTTCCTTGTTTACTCTTTACCAAAACATTTTACAATTAGACTATTTACGTTTATATTGTCTAATCTTACAAAGTTGTACACCTCCCTATTTAGGGGGTCGACTAAGACCCTGACAGTCTAATTACCTGTGGTAAGATGGAGATCCGGAAGGACTGGTTGCGATTTTCACTCATCAGATAGAGGGAGATGACTGGGAAGATGTGCCAGGGCGTAGTGCCGGCCTGCCAACATACCAGCTGCTCCCCCAGCCAGAATTCAGAGGGAAACTGCCCTGTCTGAAAAGCAAGGTCAGAGGGATGTTAATTTATTCCCCTCATTACATATCAAAGTCAGACATGAGGGCTGCAGCTTGTCCAAATAAACAGAGAGGAAAATTCAGGTCACCAAACACATATGACTCATTCTAATTTTGCATCACTCTAAAAAGAGTTCTGGACATTGTAAAAAAAAAACCCTAACCCAACCAAAAGACCAAAAACGGCTATGGTGTGAAAAAAAGGACCCTTACTAGATTTATTATCCTACACTTTCTCAGACTACGTAAGCGTTTAATTACATTTTTATTCTCAAAAGCTAAAGTGTGTAGTTCATGAGATAGAGGAGATGATATCGTTGACCATTCATTAGTACCGTGGAACTCTGTGTGGCAATAAAAGTTAGGCTTATAACAGCCTTTCATTCCCATCTGTTTTATCTACTTTCTAAGGACATATCGGTGTATGGGTGTGGAGAGGAGCAGCCGAGTCAACGCATTTAAAGAGAAGCAAAAGATTATAATAAAAGAGGGTGTGTCCATAGGGTTGGGACGGTTCACAAAATCCACGGTTCAGTTCGATTCACGGTTTCGTGGTCACAGTTTTCGGTTCGGTTCGGTTCGGTATATGTTGATTGTCAGGAAAATCTATTATGTCTTGTATAGTCAGGTTAAAACTGAAAGAAAAAAGCAGTCTGACATTTGATACATCATTGTGACTGTCTTAGGTTAAAAGTAGGTGAGATTCTGGCATTGCAAGAGAGGAGACAGTGCTAGTTCCAACATGTGCTTCCCTCTAAATGCAAAGTGGACCCATACAGCAGACCTATAAACTGCTGTTGGCTCGTCTGATTTTTATCTGCTACGCTACTTCGCTTCTTCTGTGTAAACGCTTCCCTCTGAGAAAAAGGAGCAGCGCATGAACCGAACGCAACACACGCGAACCGAACCGAGACAGTCGAACCGAACGGTTCGGACGGTTTTCAGAAACCGTCCCATCCCTATGTGTCCAGTGGTGAGGACTGACCGAGGACGCAGCCTCGATGGCCTTAACTGCAGCCTGGAAGACCTTTCTAGGCAGCCGGAGGTTGGTGGTGCCACTGTCCACAATGCTCTTATCATAGTTGTACTGTAGATAGTTGAAAGAGCACACATTACAAGTCTGTTACTCAGCTTTTTAATTAGCTTTCTATTAGCTGTGTCAACTCTTACCTCTTTACAGTCCATGTTGAGATCCTGTCCATTGACCTCGATGCGGACAATAATGACCTCATAGTACCACTCCCTGCGGATGGGAGTGTACCAAAGTTCTCCCACATAAAGCGATGAGTCCACTCCTCCGATGATCTAATGGCAGGGAAATACATTAAATCCAGCGTTTACTAATGCGTGGCATTGGAAGATTTGTGCACGGGTGGGTTTTTGCATCACCATGCTGCCGCCAACTGTGGAACTGCCAAGGGAGTAGTTCTGGGTGAAGCCTGCACCACACAGCTGGAGGGAGAAGAGGTTGGGGACGGCAGTCTGCCGGACCAAGGAGTCAAAGAAAGGCTCCAGTGTCTCATCAGGCTGGCGGGTGGAGAGAGAAAAGCAGAACAGCTGTTTGAATGACCAAAGCAAGTTCCTTCCCCCTCTTTCCAACAGATCAATGGTCAAATTACACCCAGTCATGCTCAAAAGTTTTAAAGAACACCTAGAATTTTTTTCCGTCAGCATGGACATGGATGAAAATATACACTTTTTTGTATAATTCTCTGGTGTACTGCCAATACTGACTCGCCACAGGAAGCATTACTTCAGCAAAATCAGGCCCATGCCCTGATACTGCCTCTGTTGTTGCACTGATAGGATTGGGTTTTTGAGGAAAACTGCAGTATTTTTCTTTCTTTAAACATTCCAAGTTGTATCTGTGGGTTTTCTTGAATTTTGGTTTATACTTGTGTCCATTGATTTGATGAAATAATGCCTTGCTCCCTGAATATCTTCCAGCTGGATTAAGTTTAGTTAGAATATGTTTTGCATTTCTTGGCTGAAGACTTTTGCCTGTGTGCTGAACTTGTTTTCTGGCTCTCTCTGGTTAACTTTAGTTGTGGTTGTATTTTAAGAGCCTGTAGCTCTGCTCAACTTCCATTAGTACATGCTGTGTCCATGATATAAATATAATATAAATATAAATACTGTATCAGCCTCAAACTCCTGTCTTCAGACCTTTGCCTTTTTTCCCAGTTAATTTATTTGAAAAGTTTTTAGCTCTTGCACATCGTGGTTTTTTCTATCCAGCCTTTTCATATGAACAATTGTTGCTAATTGCCAAGGCTAGTGGCAGCGAGCTGTATGCAATCATAAAACCACATTTAATTGTATTTTGCACTTCTAAACACCACACACACAAAAACAAAAAACATGACTGGAGATTCCATGTTGGAAATCAAACTTTAGGGTAAAACCTTATTCTCTTTATGCCTTGTTATTAGTGCATTAGATTATAAAGATGTTTACGTATTTACCAGAAGGCTCAAATTTACCTTTAGCTTTGACTGCATTTGTGGATAAAATGGAGGTCAATACAGGGATTTTATAGCGGTTCAAAGTATTCACAATTCAACACTAATGAACATTTGCAGAAGCATTTTTCAGGAGACTGCCTTGGCCCTGCACTGCTTTACATCTGAAGGACTCTAGCTCTTTAATGTGTTCTTTAAAACCCAGTCGCATTACTGGGCTGTTGCCATTTAACTCAAAAAGTTTCAATATTTTCTATCAGCTGTTTCTTAAACTTTTGGCTGTTCCAGCCCCTGGACAATGACAGAAGATGAAGAAGAGCTAAAGTTCTTTTTTAGGAAATAGTTAAACGTGGCTTAATTTCTATGTTCCTATGTGAGTGCGTTTGGTTTTCTTTAAGTCCTTCTGCATAAACGAGATTTTGCGCTGTAGATTTAATGACAAGTGATGTGATGAAGGGATCTTACCCTTGCTATGTCAGCATACGCGAGTCCCAAGATCCCCTCCCAGTTTGACCCGTTGATAAAGAAGCGATCTGACTGGGTGATGGCGGCGATGTTGGCCCGCAGTGTGGCGTTGGGGCCGTGCGGCACAGAGACCAAGTCGGTGCCCAGCTCCCCCTCCCAGCGACCCTGAGTGTAGGGCACGTAAACGCTCCTGCCGAGGTCACGGTATGAGCTGGAGCTGTGACCGGACAGGAGGAAAAATATGTATTTTTTTTTATCAGCTGTTCGGCAAGTGAGGTTATATCTTTGACAACTGTGTGAATACTCACAGAGAACGATGGTAGTATCTACGCAGGAAGGGATGAGCAGCTGCGCCGACGGCAAAGTTGCTGCTTCCGGTGTCCACCAAGATATTCAGCTAGTGATAGAGGGGCAAAAAGATTTATTACTGATTCATCTTTAGTCTTTATGTTTTCTTCATTTAGGCAGTCCCTTTTGTCTTTTTTTGTGGTGCCGTCTCATAAATCCCCATGACCGGGATGTCCTTGTCTGTCCCCGTGCCTCCACACAAACCCCCCCTCCTCTTCCTCTCAAGTTGCCCATTCTACTCCCCCCTTCCCCCCACCTCTCTCTCATCTTCTCCTCTTTTGTCTGCTCTGCTATTTGAGGATTATATTCTGCACAATCAGTGAAAACGGTGAGCGTTTGAATGGAGAGAGTGGCATAAACTTAACTCTTGCACTGTGAATACGAGTCACCTGCACATAGTCCATTGTACTTACATGTTATACGTAGCATTCATACGTTCATTTGTGATTGGCAGTGTCACAGAGGGATAATTTAATTAGTATTTAGGATTAAGTGGTATAACAAACACAAAGGAAGGCTGCCAAAATGAGCTGTTCAATAATGGATTGGCTTTTAAAATACCCCAAAAAAGTGCGACTGTCACATGAGTCCCAGAATAAATAATTCTATATACACAACTTGCAAAAGCCCTCTCCCCCAAAACACCTACTCTCCGATATAATACTGTGCACTCCGTCTTCCTCTTTTAGACAGAAATATGCTGACTGTCGAGGACAGAGCCCCTTCTTTCACGTACACAAGCCAGCCCATGCACACAAATGATAAAGGCTGCATCCTGATATCTCACATCTTTTCCTGATCTTTCTCTCTCCCCCTTTGTCTGTGTCTTCCCGTCCTTCTCTGGCATACAGTCTGTCAGCCACAGACAATTCCTCTGTCCTGCCTGCATCAATAAGTTGGAGAAACTATCTGGTGGTTCCCAGAAAAGATGACAACATATTCGTCTGTTCCCATAAATCACTCAATTTCTTTGTACCAGCACTAGATCTGATTTTTTTTTAAATGCAAACACAAAACGTTTTATCACATTTTTGTAATGATAGACCCCTTTGTCCTGATTTATTCTCTGAATAACAGAGTTTTTATGTGCATAAATCCAAGTTATAACTTTAATAAAGCTATATATGCTCTAAAGTAGATATAAAAAGTAAAAAATTCATGTAAAAATATTATAAGAAATACTGAGTTTAGCCGAAGAGCTGTACATGTTTTGACGCAGATGAAGGATACTGTAATTTAGAAAAGTGGTGTCATATGCAACAATCAGGATCACAGTTATGAAAATCTTTGGTTTTATTTGTAGTCGCTGGGATGCACCACTGTAGTAAGCTTAATATTCTATATAGATATATAATATATACATACAGCGAAAGCTTCTCTGAGATGGATCAGTCAGTGAAGATTAAAATGGCACATAGACCTTTGACCCTATCCAATAAACTTGGATTTTCCTCATAACTGCATTCATATTGATTAGTGTGAGGCAGGGGGGGGTCATGATCCTGTTACGACTCTGGCTTTCACGGACAATAGCAAAGATTGTTGGCCTGATTCTGGGCTATAACAAAAATAATAAATTAAAGTACATATATCAGAAAAATAGAGTATAAATAGAAGATGTCCTGCCTCTGTTGAATTCAGACATGTACAGTACAGGAAAAATGAGTTTTTTAAGCATTCAAGTGAAAGCATCAGTGGCTCAGTTCCATTCTGGACTTTCCCCTCATTAACTCTCTCAAGGGTCATCTGTTCTTTTCTCGAGAAATTCACAATCTCACTCCCACATCCGCCTTCCATCACATATTTTATTCCTTTCCCTAAGACCAACTCTCCTGTCTCCAGCAATGCATCATTCTATTCATCTCATCTCTCCTCGATCCTTCCCTGCACACTCATTCATTTCTGTGTTTCAACTCTCAAATCACCTTCTCGTTCCCCTTTCTCTCCTTTGCCCGCTCATCTCTATCGTACTCTTCCTCGGCGTGCCACCCTGCGCGCCGCAGCTGCACCCAGCTGGCAGTCCTCACTCCCGAGAATTAATGGTTCCATTATCTGTCCCTTGTCCTTCAGTCCTCTCTCTGCCTATCACAAACGGGGCTTTAAAGGGCTAGCCGCAGCACTGGGCGGCCAGACTTGTTCAGTACTTTTCAGTCAAGCGACTTTTTCAAAAAAGCCTCATGAAAAAAACTCATTCTTTGTAACACAGTCCTTTGTACGAGTTATCTGTGATCATAAAACTGCTCCAAACCATTTAGGTGTGTATATGGCACTCACGCATCTCAAGACACACATCTTTTCAGGATACCTCAATTAACAAGAGAATTCTTTAAAAATCAGACTTTTTTTTTGTGCACTTTTAGCCAATACAAACACCTGAACTGTGGAAGAGGTAGGATGCAAGAAGCTAAAGGTGATCATATATTCTTCATATAAGATTGATGGCACTATGAATTAAGCTGCAGGATAGCTGGGGGAAAGAACAAAGATTAAATGTTTTTCCCCCTTTTTTTTAAGGCACATTAGAGACAGTCAAAAAAAACTATAACATTTAAATATATCCATAAATAAATAAGGCATGGATTTTGAAAGGTGACATCATTTCGATTTTGCTCCATAGGTTAGTATATGTAGCACAGACACTAAACCAAAAAGGGGGTATTAAACCTTTACCTTCTGTGGAGGAGATCCCACGGCCATCTCCACGTAGTATCCCTGGCCGGACTTCCCTCGCAGGTTATCAATCATGTCCACGAAGCTGACACCGTCCGCGGCCACTTCCCTTCGCCTGCGAACGGGGTACCTGCCCGCGGGGCCGGGTCCCGGTCGCGGGGCGGCGTCGGCGGTGGCGGGCTCACCGCGAGCCCCGTGCCGCAGTGGCACGCGGATGACTCGCGACAGGCCCGAGGAGTCCGGAAGCTTGGAGTGTCCGCGGCAGAGCAAAAAAAAAGTCGCCCACATCAATATGCCCGTCAACCCGCGAAGCCGGAACGTCGACACCTCCATGGTGATACGTGCTCGAGTTGTATCGTGCTAGGTTCAGGGACTAGGCACTCCCCCCTTCTCAGTTTGACATCGAGTCTGCGGCGGCGGAGGAGAAGAGATCAGGTGGTGATGATGCTAAAATGACGGCTAAAACCATGACGGCAGTTGACCCGCGGCGCGAAGAGGGACGGGGTCACTTGGTTCCCCTCACCAATTGTTTAAAGCGTTCAATAATGCGAAGGAGAGCGAAGAAAACTTTGGACCTTTTCCAAATAAACTCGGACAAAATAAACAGCTGAAATAAAAATCGACCTCAATATAACGACAAGCTCTCCTCGGTGACACGGATGACTGGAAGCGACGCACAAATCACAGGCTGTTCCTCCGCAGACAACTTCGCGTTAAACCACCGAAACTACCTTCCACTGCAGTCCGGACGCCCGGTAGCCTAGCGTAATCCGCATCCTTCCTCTTTTCCGACCGGTTCATTCCGTTCTCCGCCTTCCAGTCTTTCACCTCCTCCTCCTCCACCTCCTCCATCAACCCCGCCGCATCCTTTGGAGCTGCTAGGGCGTGAGCGTCAGAATTGTGAAGTTAAATTATATAAACAAACTCCATATCCGGTGAGGTTTCAAAATTATATTTATTTAAAAAAATCACGACTTTAACAGCTTTGAATGATGTGTTCACTTTCCATAGCGACTCAGGATTTGACATCACTGTTAGAAGCATATACACAAAGGCACAGCTATAAGGTGTATTAAAACCGAATACGTGAAAAGCTAGGTCTGTGATTTGACTGAAAAATAATATTATTTCAAAAGTGTATAAATTATGATGTGTACATGAACATTATGAAACTAATAAAAAACTATTATTAAGCTATCCTAACCTGTTTTATTTTATTTTTATTTTACTTAACCGTCCGTTTTCGGACACTGCTCCGTTCGTCGCCCTACCAAACACTGCATCTTGGGTAATGAAGTTTTCAACGCGACACTGGAACAACTACAGTACTAAAACCTTCTCATCAAACGTTACAGCCAGTACACTGGACCAGTTGTTGGGTATTCTTAACACTTATTGTGACTTAAATTTGGAGTGGAGTGAGATGTTTTATTTTCCCAGGCATAAAAATGAATACATTTCTGTTACACAAATGTTATAACGATTCATTAGATTTTTTATCTGAAGACTTTGTTTTCTCTCTGTCCTTTAATCTGTTATATTTCACTCTTAATTCTATGAGTAAAACCACGAACTACATAGTTAATCTGTGTAATATAAATGAAGAACGGATCATTCAAAATCATGTTGCGTTCACAAGTCAAATCTCTCAGGTCCACATGACCCTGCACAGTCCCAGCAAGAAGAGGGATGGAGGAAGGAGGTAGGTGTAAACAAAGCGTCCCTCTCTCTGCTCTCCATGACAGGTCCCACAGAGTCTTTCCCAATGTGAAATACCTCAGACTGCCCCCCGAGCAGTGGGGGGGTGCCTTTCTCTCCTGTTGACGTACAGATAAACATTCAGACACCTGTTTCTTTAAATATTCAGACCAAAAATTGTTGCATTTCCTATTTGTCAAATTCAAACTTTAAACCCACTGCTATTTAAAAATTTCTGACTTTAAAAATTCAGCTTCATAACATTTAATAGTTAATAGTTTCACAAACACCAGTGAAATAATTGCCAGGTAAAACTAATGCATTTTAGACTCTACAAGCTTGTATATTCTGTTAACAGAAACACTCACTAGCTGAATTATTTGAGTTAGAACTTCTTTTTTCTCCAGGTTTGGAGGTGGAAGGCTCATTTCTGCCCTCTGGTGGACGGCATACAGCAAGGGGGCCGACGTTACCCTCCCTACACACACACACAAACATAGGAACACACAGAAGTAGTGGAGTCACAAAGTCATAGTACATGTACACCAATGAGCAATTTTTGAATTTCTTTTTCTCAAAGGTCAAAGATTAGCTATCTTCATGAGTCACTTATCAAAGTTACCCACTGATAACAGCAAAACGAGTACACTATGATCTTTTCATGTTTTCATCTGTCATGACCTGGCAACATGTGCCATGTGCCTCTCATACAGGCAAGCTTTGAAAATGACAGACACTCACCAGGCCTGCAGGTCCGTGGTCCTGAAGCCTTTTGCGAATGGGTTGCTCGCGATTTTAAGCTGAGTGATCTAAGAAAGAGGAGGATTGACACAAGTGATACATCTTAATTTCATTGCTTGCGATAGTTATGTAATGTAACATACAATAAAACCAATCTGATGAATAAGAGCCTACCCTGTGGTTCTGATAAGCAGTGACGGCAATGAAGCGCGTCTCAGGGAAGGAAAAAGAGCAGAAGTTTTTGTATGCATTTAAATGGCTGTTAGGTGCTGGATCGACATACACCACGTGGAAGCGTGGCTGGTAGCGATGCATGGAGTTCAGTATCATCTGACGAAGAAAACCGACAACCACCAAAACCCAAACTTTAACTAAAAATGCAGTATAACTTTGATGCTCTCTTTTTATTTGTCTTTATCCTCGCATGGGAATAAGAAAGACAAGCCACTGACATGTCCATTGTCATCCAGCAGGTTGTTGGTGAGTTTGAGAGTGTCAAAGGACACAGTCTGCTTCATCCACTGGGCTCCAGGAGCGGGGGAGTCTGGGTGGAAATGCATCCTGCTCGGGGCCGCCGCATCTGCGCGCCCTGCCACTAACCAGGACGAGCTGTGGAACGCATATCTGATACACACGGGGATGGAAAACACTTAAGGTATTGCAGATGTTCAACCATTTCAGTTTGGTTCAGTTTGATCTTTTTATAGTGTGGCAAAAATATCCAGATTTCCACAGACAATTCTGACCTGCATTTAAAAGACGTCCGTAAGAACAGCTTAATAGAAACAGATGTACAGATTACAGATAAAGCTAAAAGAAAGAAAAAAATCAAAACCCATGCAAATGAGTTTATCTGCGAGTTTGAGGTCAGTCCTACCTGTTCCAAAAATGGTCATTGTGCTTTAGTAAAATATCCACTGTATGCTCCCACTGATTGGCTCTGACACAAATTCCCTGTCTAATTCCAAAAATGTCAATTATAAGACAGGGAAATTTAATTTAAATAAAATAAAGCCTGGAGAAAGTAGTCAGATCGACATTCTGCATGTGTATCATTCATTTTAACCAATCCCTTCTTTCCCTAGTTATTTTCAATATAAAGCAGACAAAAATAAAGAGAGAGCATTCTTATTTCCACTCTCAACCACTTAACACAACCCAAAGCATTGCATCTTTTGCTCTGAAAGTCTGACCTGTATCTTTCGTCATCGACTGGGATGAAGTCCATGAGCAGCACATATTCGGCCGTGGCGTCCATACCAGAGATTCGCACCTGGAATGTTGGAAACATCCTCCTGCAATTCAAGAACCAGTAGAGTAAAACACAGTGAGACGCCGAAGACGGAACAAAAAACGAAAAGCAAGAGAATTTATATGGGAGAAATGTGGATGCGAAGCAGCTGTCACCGTCCAGATTTGGTCACGATCATTTCTGTGCCCAGCTGGTTAAACTGCTGCCAAAGGGCCTGCATCTCCAGCTGAACCCTGATCCCGCTGACTTGGGGGGCCTTGGCGCCCAACAATGCCCCGCCATCTGCACAAAAGGGCAGAGATAGTTCACAGCCGTGGGGCGGCCCAAGACCTGTAACGACAAGATACGCTCGTACAATGGATTTTACATATTCCGCATAGCTCAGGTAGTTTTGAATAAAAAGCAAAAGCTTACCGTTCATATTTGACTGCCTTTAAAATGATTGAAATAAACTAAATTGTTTTGCTTCGGAATCTAAGACTTCTCCTCATGCGCCGCTTTTATTTGAAACAGGGAACTGACAGAGAGCATATTTCTCTCCGTCAAGATGTAGGTGCTGTGCCTCCAGATCTTCACAGCGGCCGTTTGTGGCTGGGGGAACGAGCTGATTTTATACACCATCAAACTCTCACTGGGGACCTCTGTGCCAGCCTCATCCATTACAACACCCAGAGTGCCACTGACAAGCAGTAATCAAAGCTACATGCACTTGCGTACATGCTGGTGTGCACGCGCACACAATGTTTTTGAAGCATCTGGAGACCTCAGCTCTGTTGCCTATTATGCTTTGTGGCCTGAAGCCCTAAATGGATTGGCCTTTAGCACATTAATAACATCCCAATAAGCTCGGCATGACTGGGTGTGAACAGATGTGGACAAACTGCCTTCATTATTCACAGACTATTTACAAGTGCACATATTCAACACCGCCCTAACTGGAAAGTGTTTATTCATCAAGTCTGACTATGATGTGCAATTCGGATTTAGTTTAAAGTTTACTTTCTGGGATATTTGTGTCATTCTAGAGATTATTGTTAATGATGATTAAACAAATAGCAGGAAAAATTCTGAATAAAAAATAGTTTTGGATTCTTAAAAGATTTAAGGAGCAAACTGTGCTTGTGAGGCGTGTTTGTTTGTGCACATGCGTGTGTGTCTTTAGTCTCATGTGGCTCTGTGATGGGACGGTGTTGAAGGGCTCCAGCCTGAGGGATAAAAAGCACCGTAACATGTCTGAAGTTTATCAATAGGTTGCTTTGCACTTTGATCAAGTCATTAATCACAGCTTTCATTATCACAGACAGAGATGTCTGATAAAGAACTGAATGCCAATCCCAAGTAGAACCATTTCAGTCTTATTTTTCCAGAGGACCTCTTTGATCAATGATAGCCCCTCAAAATGCCGTGTGTATCTTAGCTCAAGGGACTATGAAGGTCAACAACACTCCAACATAAATAAATATGTACTCTTTTTTGGGGGGGGGAGAACATTGCTCTTTTAAAATTCCATTGAGCAAAATATTATCTGCTTTGATACATCTTTCCCGAGTGTGGTAATCAAAGTAGATGCTGTATAGCGCCTATGCGTTCTCCTTTTCAGTTTAAACAAAAATAAAGTCACAGAGAAGAAGGATGTATACAGTCAGTTGTTTATTGGGCTGTATTTTATCGAAGCACTGGTTTCATAATTACACAGAGGTTCAAACTTTTGTGGTAATTCACATACAATTCTTACACAAAATGTTAGCAGTTGACATGTGATGGGCGAAGCATGTGTGTGTTGGATATGTATGTGTCTCTGTGCGTGCTTGCTTGTGCGGATGAAGTTTGCATCAAAGAGAGAAAGTCCAGCCACTTTGTTTCATCGCATAGGCTCTAGCTTCATGTGGAGGGTGGTGTGTTTGTGAGGGAAAAGGGAATGGACAGAAAGTTGGAATGGATGTACAGACAGAAAGTTGAGGTTAGTGAAAGGAACAGAGATGATTTAGTTCTTGGTGAAGGTTTCGGCGACGAGCGCAAAGATGGCTGTGAACTTTTCCTTGATGTCCTCTGCAAGAGGTGCAATCTTCTCCCTCAGGGCAGTCAGGTCTTCGCCTTTGATGGACTGAGCCTGGCTGTAGGCCTGCTTCAGTTGCTCCTTGTATTCCTCGACGTAAGGAGTGGCCATCTGCTTCAGGTTCTCCAGGCGCTCGACCAGCTTGGTGCGCACAGATTCCACGATGGGCATCAGGGCAGCCCTGGTCTCATCCACATTGGTGGCAATCTTCTGGCGCAGCTCTGCCACAATGGGCTCCATCTTGGCCCTCAGAGCATCCATGTCAGCGGACTGCTTGGCGTAGTACTCTTTGACAATGGGCTCCATGTGGGCGCGGTACTCCTCCATGTGCTTCTCCAGGACCTCCCTCAGCTTGGCGCGCTTGGGCTCCAGGTCGGCTTTCAGGGCTTCGATGTCGTTCATGATGGAGGTACGCAGGTCGGCAGTGGCGTCGCTGATGGTGGTGACAACACTGTCGGTCATGGGGGAGACAGAGGTCTGCAGGGTCTTGATCTGAGTGTGCAGGTCTTCCAGGCGCTGAGCCAGGGTGCCCCTGAGAGAAAAAATAATGGAAAGCACATCCATTTTTTTTTTGTTAATAGTGTCTCAAGAACTGTCAAAAATCAACCACAGCAGAAATTTGATTAAGCCATCGATTTAAGAAAAAAAGACTGGGTTGCACATGTCAATAGGCTTACTTGAGCTCCTGGTATGGAGTGTCATCGAGCTGGTCAAGAGCTTTGATGGCACCTTCCTTCACCTGAAGCATGTACACATCCACAGCGGACCGGATCTGGGCCAGCTGGGAGGGTGCATCAGCCTGCAGGGTAGCGGCATGAGAGCCTGCGGTGAAAGAGGGGGGAAACAAACTGTTAAACTGCGGATCCACACATGCTTTGTGTGCGAGGGAAGTTGTGCACTTCAGTACTCACCGACAGCCAAAAGGGCAAGAGCAAGAGCCAGGAATTTCATGATGGTGGTCTAGAGAGGGAAGCAGGGGCACCTTGTTACACTTTATATAGTAAACAGCTGAAAGATGAAAGACGTCAAGAAAGTGGGAGCTAGCTAATCCATTTTACATAGAATCTCTTACCCAAACCTGATTTAAATGTCTTAAAAGTAAAATGTTTTTTTACAACAAAGTCATCCCTCATCTGCCCAAAAGGAGGTGACTTTTAACATATGGTTGCCTATTAAAAGAACCTGTAATCTGGATGGATTAGTGAGGCAGTTTAAGAAGATGACCTGCTTTGTAATCTGCTTTCAGGTTGGTCAGTAAAAACACAGTAACAGTATTAGTCGGTTAGCCGTCTAGACTGGGACACTGTCTGAGTCTGGAAGCACTTGTGTTTACAGACATCTTCCTCAAGTGGATATCACTGCTCTAATACTTTTTTAAGTCGAAAGCACTGCTTTCATTGAATTAAACTAAATGACTTGTAGTCGCAAGTTCATATTTTCAAGGCATATTGCCTTCCTTCCAGAAAAACATCTTTAAGCCACTAGTTCACAACCGCATAAAAGCTTGCATAAAGCTCACTTTGGTAAATTAAAGGGAGAAAAAATACGGTTTTCAGCACTTATTTTTTCCCCAACTTCGGTCCTAAAGCCCAAATTCCCGTTCTAGTCACAGCAGTTGCTTGTCTTACCTGGTGGAGTTGGTGACGAGACTGATCAACTTCAGCGGGAGCAGACTTTTTATAGTGTCCCGGGTGAGGGATCAGTCCATGTTGGGAGGGAGAGGAGGAGCGGAGCTGTGAGGGCTGCGTGTCTCCGTGGAGGTGGACCTCACCCTCCAGCCATCTCTCAGCGGGAGGAATGGGGTTGAGGGTTCAACGGTCACCTGCCGCGAAGAGATCAGTCATCACACATAGAAACACGTCAGCAGACTAGGCCACAGATGGACTACTTACTATACATGATCAGGGTCAGACACATACTCTAACTGTCGCAGAAACTTTCCACTCAATCCTCCAAATGGCCATCTCCCAAAGGCCAGCTTTTTACGTCTTTTAATCCAAAATCTTGAACTTGTGTGGGATCAACCTATAGCCAGAGGGCACGGAAAGTTGGTCTTTTTTTTTTAAATAGCGTCCACATTTCCTCTGTGAGGGCTGTGATTAGCAGGTTCGTGTTTTTAGGACAGCCACATTATTTTTGTGTTTGTAAGTCCTTCAACAAAGCTTCCAAGAAAAACAAGCAAGAGTAAACAGAGGAAGGCAACAACTTGATGCAATCAACTCTCTGAAATGAAGAAACTCTCAGGACAAATCAATCTAATTATGGGGGGCAAACACACTCAAACACATTAACATCACAAATACAATGTAATGCAAAGATCAAGAAAGCAGCTAAACAGACCTATCTCAGCTTTCTTTTGGATAAAATTATTTAGTGCAGTGTGTGTATGATTGAAGGGTCAAAGAGTGATGTGTGCTGCCCTGTTGTTTGTTGTCCTATCACCACTGGACTTTGTCACCATGGCTTCATGTGATTTGAGCAGTTGAAGGGATCACAGTGTATGGTCCCAAGTCGTACTTATATTCTTTACTTCAGTAATTAACAGTAACTATAATAACAATGCCAATAACTTATGTCAAGTTATCCCAGCATTCCTGATGAAGACATGTGCACAGATTTTCTCTTTTTTCCTACTTTTCTGATTTGAAAATGTGTTCGATTTTTGGGAAAATCTTGAACAGTGCATCTGTGTGTGTAAGTTTGCTGTAATAAAATCACCTGACAACTTTTTTTGATGACTGCCTTCTTCTATATATCATGTCACAGCCGATTTCACAGTAAAAGCTGTGGAGGAACAGCACAGGGTTACCAAGTGCAAGGTTAGTTACTGTAAGCACTTGTCTGCCTTTGCATTATGCAATGCCAAGCCTATATGATCAGTCATTGCAACATGGCAATGCATGCCTTGTGCAACACATAGCATGACGTTACTATGATATATATGTATTTTTTTTAAAGTACCATACTCCAAATTAGTCCTACATAAAAGAAACAACAGCTTTATTTTCAAATGGGAACATCATGATCTCACACAGCTTAATGATTAGAGAAATAGTCCATTTTTAAGTATACCTTTCATGTAAGGGGTCTCAAAGGGGTCAAACATTTGGCCTGAACACAGTGTGAAGACTGGGTACACAAGTAATTCAGTGCACCTTGTTCAATTATTGCCACTTTTGAAAAATTCATGGATGAAATTGCCTTTAGTGTCAAATCAGTAGAGAAATTTGCTGCAATTGTGCTTAAGTTTTTCATTTTAATTTTTGGGGGAAAAGGGTCTGCTAAATGCATAAACATAAACATTTAGATCTATAAATCTACTAAGTCATTTTCATATTGCTTATACCCAGTAGGCTCATGGGGGTGTTGCCAGTCTATCACATTGCCATACACAAACCAAAAACCACGCACATTCACATTTAATCTTTGGGGCTATTTAGAGTATTCAATTAAACTATCATACTTGTTTTTTGATGTTGGCAGGAAGCTGGCGTACCTGGACAATACATGTGAACTCCATACAGAAAAGCCAAGGTACTCACAATTTAAGTTAAATACATTTTTATTCATACAGCACAAAATCACAATAAATGACATCACTTGGACCCTTCAAATATTCAGTCTAGTTCAAGTCAAATGAAATCAAATAATTCATACCATAAAAATCTTATTAATTCAAGTTCAGAAAATTCTTAATGCATCTAGTTAACACAGAGCCAGTTACAAAGGTTCCTGGCTAAGGAAAACATCAGATTGTACCAAATCTTCTCTCTGATCCAATACCCCTTTCTGAATGTGCCTGTGGAGAGAAAAACTCCTTTTAACATGAAGAAAGCTATGACCATTTAACCTCAACCATGTGGTTTTGACAGGACATGAAAGAGGGACAATAAACACCACAACAGCAGCTCCAGAGAAGAAGAAATACAAGTAAAGTAAACAACAATGTCTCATGTACATCAGCGTTATCTAGCTTTTGTTGTGTGGTAAATTCATTGGAAGATGACGGCGATTGGGCAAAAAGTCTTGAGCTATCCCTCACTTCTTTATATGCGGCCATGAAAATGGGAAACCTGGATGGATTCGTTGAGCTGCACAAATGGGAAAGGAAATCTAGCATATTTGGTACAACCATCTTAATTATTGATTAAAACCTGAACCACTTTAGACTGGGTTGCTTCCTTTTGCTCTGTTCTCTTCACGTCAGGTTGCAGGAAGATGGATTGCTCCATAAGACCAGTTGCCAATGATTATCAGAGCAGTTTAAATGTCATTTTGCATTTATCAACCTTTTTTTCAGATTCCTCTGTCCTCCCTCATCCAGTTTCCTTAATTCATTTTGACATAAGAAGGCCGGAGGAATGTGTTCCAACTCCTGGAGTAACATTTCTTAAAGTCCGCAGGAAGGTTTCATCCCCGGTGGGACCTGGGACTCCATGTCACTGCTTGGTTTTCAGCCCAGGACATGGCAAAGTTACTATGGTCTTTGTGGTAGTTGCCCTTCCAGTCTACATGTATTTTGTGAACTTGGAGACTTCTCAAAATGCCCCATAAGGTATTCTGCGGTATGGGGTACAAAGTAAGGGAATCTATCTTGCTTGTTATTCAGTCCCCTTATGCGCAATAGCTCAGTATCACTAATGACTCTAAAATTTAGTTTATTTATGTTAATATTGGACTACCATGGTAAGAGTTCCATAGGCATCATCTCAAGGCATACATGGCATAGATTGAATTGATATTGTATGGGATTCTTGATCTCCATCTTTGCTTTTCGCAGAAACCATACTTCCCATGGCATGTTCTCCATGTGCCAGTGTGGGTTCCTCCCACAGTCCAAAACTTTTGGGTAAATTGAAGGCTCTGAATTGTCCTCAAGAGCGAATGTGAGTGTGTGTGGTTGTTGGTCTGTGTGTGTGACCCCGTGATGGACTGGCAAACGATCCAGAGTGTATCCTGCCTCTCGTCCAATGTCGGCTGGGATAGGCTCCAGTGACTCTACTGAGTGGTAGTTATGGTTTCGCTCAATGAGTCACCACCTCCTGAACAACACTTCGGATAAGCAGAAGATAATAAATTAATGGATCAGGTGCACCCCGTGTTGACGTGCCAAATTGTTGACTAATTACCCATTGGAAATTGCCTTGTTGGTACAGAAATAAAGAAATGTGTGTTATCTTTGGCATTCAGTAATAAATGCTCCTAAAGAAATTGGAGCATATGAGGACTGAATGATTGCAACAGCTTATTAATGATACAGTGCCATAGGAAAATTCTGTTTCGGTCTTTGCTTAGTTTTGGGTTATGTTAAGATACAATACTGTTTATAATTTTAAATAAGGGCTTTTTTGTTATTATATGATCAATGGAAATTGGCTTTGAAGGAAAAAAATGAAAAACTGGATTGAAAATGGTTGAATATGGTTGAAAACCAGTTCCCAAACAATCTTCATACAATTCTCACATTTACAGAAATTCCTTTCTACATTTTTAAGTGTCCATTTGTTGGGATGTCTCTCCTCTTTTTCAAGTCTTTATCTTCAGACTATATTGGCTTTTAAAGGTGATGTCAAGCTGACAAGATAGAGGAGTCACCAACCCTTCCACGTTCCCAGAAATGTTATCAGTTGTGTCATTATCTGTGTGACTAATTAACTAAATACCTCAGGTGAGCTGAAAAATGCATTGGTCTAAGCATTAATATCGGCAATGGCACATTACTGGGAAATGTAATCACTGAGGCAGTATAAATTTTATGCGCATAGTGTTATTTCTTACAGTTTTGGTTAAAAACAACGCAACCTTGATGCTGAGGTGATGACAGGCAAGAAAAAATCCTTGTTCGTTTTAGCCTCATCAGTTTATTTGTTGAATATTCTTGTAAATATATTGCTCCTGAAGCAACAATGACATCCATGACAATGCCTTCCATTATTTCCTGAAAATGCCAGGCTGAACAAGTTTTGGAAAAGAAAAGAGATGAATGTAGCAAATAACAATCAGAAGCAGGCATCCACTTCACACAGCAAGCAGACTTGAAGGCAGAACAGATTACACCACATTGTGTCATCGTGCAGTGGTCTTAACGGCTTTTGCCCTGACCTATCAGATAAGAATGTTCTACATACAGTATCACCTATTTAGAGCTGCTGACCATGAATGAAACAGGTCTTGTCAGAAGAACAATTCTTATCTGGGAGAGCAACCTTTGAGACCGGTTGTATTCCAGTGCATTGATTCAGCATCCCTATTGTGTCCTGCATAGAGATCCCTGCGGTCACAACTGTTATCAATAGGTCCTCAGATCTTATAGTTTACAGGTCAGCTGCTGAGGCTGCAATTTTTTTGCGCCAAAGTTCAATTCATCAGGAGGCAAAAGAAAGAAAGAGCATGAAAATTACACATAAAGGAGGGATACAATATAATACCCTGAAAGGAAAATATGAATTGAATAATATGAATAATTTACACCATTTAGCAAATTTTCACCAAAACACAAGGTTGAAGGGGTTGATTATACATATGATTGGGTATATCAGTGCTTGCTTGAGCAGAATAACGTCTTTCCTAATGTTCAAGAGCCACATTTACGGGCAGAAACAGGGTAACTGCCTAAAGCCAATAAATATTTCATCAGCAAATCCACCATTTGATCAGGCACTGGTTGAGGTTCAAAGGTCACGTCACTGTTCCAGCTGTCCCCGTGATGGAGCACTGTTCCCAAACCAGCAGGGGAGGTTATCTCAGCTGTGCGCAACAGTGGGGTGGGCGCCCTCGCTCGCTTTCTCTGACACACACACACACTAATTCATATTACAGCACCCGCGTCCACTTAAGTGATTCTTTTTGTTGTTGTGGTTTTGCAATGTGACACCTGCTGAGGTCACTTCGATTCTTTAATACAGATATTTGGAGCGAAGCCCTGCTCGCAGAGCGTCACTGTAGGTTGCATCGCCCTGAGGGTTGTACAGCTTGGCAGTAAGGCAAGGCAATCCAACCCTGAACTCGGATAACCGAGAGAAAGTAAGGTTCATATGATGGAGCTATTATTCAATCATAGAATAAGTCACACTCAATCTGAAACGCTCATATAACCAGTGAATAGCGAGGAAACAAGGGAGTGTTCTGTTGCAGCCTGCATGGAATGAGTTGTCACTCAGTGATAGGGAGCACTATCTGCTCGGTTTATGAGTCTCTGCAGGCATTCGCTGCTCTCAAGCATGTTCCTGATGCAGTTTATTAAAGTGTGTTACCAAATGACCAGCCAACATGTGAAGAGCTGATTCAACTTTAAACAACAGAAATCCTTACAGTTTAAAGTACTCATCCCCTCCAGAAATCCCCCCAGACACAGTTTGATCCATCCTCACATCCCGAGAGTACTGAACCCATTGCACCATGTCTGATATATTGGTATTGCGTATTCCGTAGCGGTGCGTAGGTGTTAAACATCTAAGTTTCAAGGCCTGTTTGTAATTCTAAAACATTGCCCAAGATGTTGAGGCCGTTCACCCTTCTACTATGAAACAAGCCACCCACATAATAGATAAACACAGGTGGGAGAGGAGTCTTTCTCCTCCATGCATATAAGCCAAATACGACAGATTTTTAATTTGATTAAAGTTGAGTTTTTAAAAGTTACACTATATCCCGGCATTAAACCGGGGAAACAGGAGGACTCTCACTTGTGCATGACCAGCAATTCTTAGACAGCCGAGGTCAATGCTTTTTCTTATCTGCCCTCTTGTGGTCAAATAGCGGAATAGCACAACATATTTTCAACATTAGACCTGTAGTCTCTTTTATCATTTAATTAAAGATAGCGCATGGCTTATATTTACATTTAAAATGTTATTTTAAAAAGCTAATGGAGAACCTTGGTAATATTTTAGTTCTCTCCGCTGTTTTAGACATAAATCAACAGCAGTTTGATGGTTGTTTGACAATCTGATTTCACGTCGCTGAAAAGGAGAGTTCCCGGCTCGAATCCCCAGGGACTGGGAGCTTCTTTGTGTGGAATTTGTATGTTCTCCCTGTGTATATGCGTATTTTCTCTTGGTACTCAAACTTCCTCCTACAAGCCAAAAAACATGGATGTTAGGTAAATTGATTATTCTAAACGGAGAGCGAATGTGTGTGCATGTGTGGTTGTTTGTCTCTGGGCGGCTCTGTGATTGCAGTGATAGGAGAATGTACAAAGTAAAAGATATTTTAAAAAAACAAAATTGTTGCCAAATGACCTATGAGCAGTGTGGAATAGGTAACATGACTCATGTTTTTTCTCTTATTTTGCCGGTATAGAAACTGGATGGATCGCGAGATATTTTTTGTTTTTCTTTCCTATAATTCCTTGTTAAATCAGAGGTCCTTCGTAATGTTTAACTCACTCACTAGGGTTATTTGGCATAGTTCATGTGGTGCATAAAAAGTATATATATAAATATATAGATTGGCGGACTGTCCAGGGTGTATCCTGCCTCTCATTGACCACTGGGTTAGGCTCCAGTTCTCCCCGCGATCCCATCAGGGAATAAGCGGTAACGATAATGTATGGATGGATAATGGATGGATGGATATATGAAGCTATTAGTCAAGCCAAAGTCTTTAACATGGTGAAACATTAATTTCCGAGTACACGTAAAAGCCTCATGAAGCTTAGCCAATCAGAACCACGACTCTACATCCTCAACAGGAAACGGCGGTAGCGTCCCTGGAGATATTGTTTGTGTTGTAACTTTCTCATTTTGTTTTTCCGTTTGGATCTATTATGCGTGTCTTAATTACCTGAAAAGCTACTCGGCTCTGCCAGAAGCGCTAATGAGATATTATTTGAATTTTGGAAGGTAATGTACTACACAAAAATCACTTCCTCCCAAACTACATAGCTTACCAAGCTAACAATACATCCAACTTTAGGTTAGGGTGAGATGCTACCGTTAATTAGCGTGCTCGTTCGTGTCAATTCGACTTTCGGCATTGATAATATTCTAAGCAAAAGGACATTAAAATCTATTCTAGCTGCAGAAATACGTAGTCCTCTCGCAGGCTCACGCCTCAATTTGCTTTATACAGCACAGAGATGTTAGCTCATTTGTTAATCTCATTAGCTAATCTCAATTAGTGGATAAAACGCTCCCTTGTTTAAAAGGGCGAGTTTGGCTTGGCACAATGCACAAATATACTTTGCAGCCGGTTAAAATACTCAATCGCGTATATCTAACCAGTCACCCTGTTGTCTACATCCCACTTTGCTGGGCAGGAAACATGACTGCAGCTGCCCTCATTGGAGACCAGCTGATCCTCGAGGAAGACTACGATGAGAACTACATTCCCTCTGAACAAGGTGCTTTGAGGTCATAGTAGATTATGGTAGTAGGCAGGGATGCTACTGAATGATATAGCTGTAAAGCTAAATGTAAAGGATGATTGTATTGTACAGTAACATGTATAATGGCTTTTTGAGGCAGCAGAATTAAAGACAATCTGTCTTTAACTATACTTTAAAGTCATTATGGTGTAAAGATGAAAAGATGCTTTTGTCCAGCTCTCCTTATATTTTCTTTTCCCTGCTGTGCAGAGATCCAAGAATATGCAAGAGAGATCGGTATCGACCCTGACAATGAGCCAGAACTGCTGTGGCTGGCCAAGGAGGGTATTGTTGCGCCGCTACCCCCAGAGTGGAAGCCCTGGTAAGTGATGAAAGAGAAGCGGGAGAACAAACGTCCTTCACCTTTTCACCCAACAGCAAAAGCATAAACAGCAGTAATGTAGTAAAGCTGCAGATTGTTATGCCTTTGAAATCAAACAAAGACCCATTCTCTGACCAACATCTGTGGAGAGATATCAGCTACAGTGCAGGTACCAAAGTAATGCCTGCAGCTTTACAATTCGCAATGTGAGGAATTTTTCATATCTGTAAAGTCAAAAATTGAATTTTAATGGACACTTTCGTAATAGGCAAGGAGTTTGCCACAACTATAGTTTGGCAGTAGATAAGGAGGAAGATATATTCTATAATGGAGAACTATTTACATTTCTTCCACAGAAAGGGTCCTATTGGACTGCAGGACCAAGAGCTTCAGCAGGTCCTTTGTTTCCACAGGCATAAAAGTTTTAACGCTCACAGCTGACATGCTCTTATGTATTTATTTGTTTAGATTATTTTTATTTGATTTTTTTTAAATAGTTTTTTTCCAATACAAGTGATTCCAAACATGAAGGAAGAAGAACTCAAATTGCCATCATGGGGTCCTAATAGTCAAGGCTATTCTGTTCTATTCCAATCCTCTTTGTCATGGGCTAATATACTGTGTTGGTCAATTTAGGCTAAAATCTCAATTTTAGACAACATGCCCCTAAATAAATAAAGTGACTGACCTATAGACTTAAAGGCCAGTTAATGTCCATATGAAAATAGTTTGAGTGGCATTATGGAAACATCCATCCGTTATCGTAACCGCTTCTTCCCTAATGGGGTAGCGGGGGGAACTGGAACCTTTCCCAGTGGTCAATGGGTGAAAGGCGGGGTACACCCTGGACGGTGCGTCAGTCCATCGCAGGGCCACACAGAGACACACAAGGACAAACAACCATGCACACTCACACTCACTCCTAAGGGAAATTTGGAATGTCAAATCAACCTAACATGCAGGTTTTTGGACTCTGGGAGGGAGCCGGAGAACCCGAAGAGAAACCCACGCAGACACAGGGAGAACATGCAAACTCCACACAGAAAGGTCCTTGGTTGCTTTGATTGTTCATGGACTTTTAAAATGTTTTTGGTTGGGTTCTATAGAATTACTCATGTAGTTTGGTGAAGTACAGCCATTCATCCTCCCATCCAGCCAACTCTGCCTCTTCCTTTTTCTGTCTTGACTTTCCTTCGGACTGAAAAAGTATCTATTGCTTTCTATCTTTTCGCATACAGCCAAGATGTGACAGGGGACATCTACTACTTCAACTTCTCCTCGGGCCAGTCCACCTGGGATCACCCTTGTGACGAGCACTACCGCAACCTCGTGAGCGAGGAGCGCAAGCGCGCCCAGCTCACAGGCACTGCTGGGGGCGCAGGTGCCAAGAAAGACAAGAAGAAGAAGAAAGAAAAGAAGGAGAAGAAGGAGAAGAAGAAGAAGGAGCTTCTAAAAACTCCAGCGGTGGGTGATGAAGAAAAAAATGTTTTTCTTCTGTCTTGGGTTTTCATGAATCAAGTAACATAATGTGCTTCCACATGTTATTCCATTTTGAAAAATAAAATAGAAGCTAAAGCTCTTTTCCCTACGTAAAATGTCAGTCTAGTGTGATGGGTGAGCTCATGTTGGTGGTTTTCTATGGCTGCAGGCATGTATTGTGTTGTTGAGATTTTCTGAAAGTCTTTGGCACACAAACTTTTAGAAAACGTCTTTTATATGTTTTTTTCATTAAAGAAAATATATTTTTTAAAAAGCTATTTAAAGTGAAAGATGCTACAGTTATTTATTTGGCAAATAACTTACTGAAAGATCTAAATAGTCCTTTCTCTATGGGATAAACTTTATAGTAGATGGTGCTCTAAAAATGAGTTAACCACCAAATATATGCTTTTTAATTGCATATGAAAGGGAAAACTGGCACAATTTGCTTTGTTGATCTAATGTTTGTGCTAAACTACTACTAATACTAAAAACTAACAAAGGTATCTTCTCAGAGATGACAAACTTCACTTTTTTCCTGAGAAAAAAAAGGATCAAAAATAACATTTGAAACTTGGATTTATGGGGCTTTTTGCTGTCTGTCATGGACTCCAACCATGCTTGAAGCACCTCAATGTTTAAATCTATTATGAGATGGTTGGATAAAAAAACATAATGTTAACAAATGTAAAAAGAAACTTCAACTTTAGATGCCTAAGCTTTCATTTTCAACAAATATAGTTGAATTGTTGAGTTATTCTCTGCTCAGAACTATCACAATATCACATAAAAATCAAACGGTAGTAAATGCCATGATTAAAGATTTTAAAGATTTATTTATTTATTTTTTTTGCATACAAATGTTTTTTTTAAAGGTTCGAGTCTGTCTGCTTTTGTGAATGGTGTCCATGTCGTAGCATTCAGTGTTGCTACATTGGCCCTAAGAGCATCTCTGTAGATTGGTTTAGCTCTTTTGGCTTAGGGGTGCTACTTACAGGCTGTTTCTATCCCTGCAGGCACTGAGCTCTTCTTTAGGACCTTTGACAGCCCCACTTGCCAACTTGGCTCCACTGAGAGGTCTGGATGCCCCAGGGCAAGCCCCTCACTCTGGGTCTGCTCCTCCTCTCCGGGGTTCCCTCGGCAGCTCCTGGGGGTTGGATCCCCTCAAAACATCCCTTCGGGTAAGAGCCAAATGAGGCTTTGTATGAATCACAGTACTATTCTTTTTTTTTTTTTTTTTTTTTTTTTTTTTTTTTCATTCTCTTCCCAAGACGTGCTTTATGCTGTTATATAAATTTATTCAGGGTCCTCGAAGAAGTGAGACATCCAGCGTTTTAGGCATAAGGCAAGAGGAGAGGGTGTCTCTGACTCTGCCTGGTTTTGATGATAAGGATGAAGACAACGACGAGGATAAAATTTCCGAAGATGAGGTTAGTTTTGTTTCCTGCTGCTGACAGAAATACATTCAAGGTCCTTTTGAAGTCAGACGTTGCTCTTTTTCTTTTTTTCCAGAAAAGTGATTGTGGTTCAGACAGGCTCCTGAAAAACCTCCACTTAGACCTGGATGCCCTTGGCGGAGGTCTGCAATATGAGGTGGGCGGGGTTAATTCCACCTCCCACAACGATAACTCTTCATCATACACCGCCTCCTGTTTTATTAGATTTAGTTTCAGTTTGATGATGACATATTTTATCCCAAAGCAAAAGCTTGCCGTTCATTTTTACAGGTCCTATGTGCATGTTTGCATGTGTTTTTTCACACAGGACAGTGAAGCTAGCGGTGCAGCTCCAGGCGATGAGAAAACAGAGCCAGAGTTGCAGGATTTGGGTCTATCCGGAGACCGTAGTCCTGAACCGCCCTCCCAACAGGTAGAAACGCCAACACATTCCCCAACACGCAGACTGCATCTCTTTTTCAGTGTCTTCAACATTTGGCATGTTTGAGTTATCAGGGTTGCTAAGATGAATGATTTTCTGTTAATTTTTTGGGACCTTTCAATAAATCACCTACATTGCTGCTTAGAAGTTGAGGATTTCCACGTCGGTTATCTGTGTGTTATTGGCATCGTGGCCTTTTCTCTCTGTCTCATGCATCTCTGTTTTCTGAACTTTCTGTTATGCCCCTCTCCCATGTCTCTTTTATCTTTAAACCTCTCCTTTTTTCCCCACTGTGACCCTGGGATGGTGCAGCTGCTCTGCTGCTGGAACCTGTCACGTGGGCACGGCTGTTACTGCGTACTCCTTGTCGTCCTGCTGTCCTCCTATTGTCACTGTTACTGCTTTGCTGTCTGAGCAGAAATGCATATGCCATCACCATCCAGACCGTGAATTCTAGTCTTTTCCCCACTTGGTATTTTGTTATTTGCTGGTCGTCATAGCTTAGCAGCCAGTTCAGTGTCTGTCCTAAAGTGGGCAGTTTTCCCACTCTGCAGAGTTAAGAGTTACATTTCCATCTTGCCTTTTAAATTGAGCACCTTGAACTGTATAGAACTATGGGTTGTGTGTGAAAGCATGTAAGATATCCCGCTTTTGACTTTCCATGTTGGGAATCGTTGTTTTGTTTTAGTTTCTTTTTTAAAAAAAACCCAAAATTTTATCAGAGCAGAGCAACGATCTGGCTCAGGAGGCCACCATGGGTTGCTTTCGAGACCCAAAAACCTGTGGTGGAGCAGCTATGTTTGTAATATATACTTAATCTTTACTTTAAAAAAAAAAACAAGAATCGTGGTTCACATATTGATTATATCTCAAATTAGAAGAACAAGAAACACATCTTTTATTTGATTTAATCTTTCAAAAGTCTGTTTTAAAACAAAAAATATTTGTGTTTTTTATTAAGTTACAAACTGGAACAAGTAAATAGTCCTTTTTCGCATACAATAACCGGAAAACTTTATATTTCGAGTGACCACCTTTGATCTTCATAACAAGTTCCATTCTTACTCTGGTTGCATTTATCTTCTTTTGACAATTTCTCTTGTTTTTAAGTTGCACATAATTTCTAACTTTTACTACAAACTTTTTTTTTTTTTATCGGTCTCGAAATCTACTTAATTCTTCTTTTGCGGACCATTTTGGAAATATGGCTCTCTATAATAGGCACCAAGGCATACTGACCATACTGAGAACACTTTATGTCTTTCCCTTTGTTCCGGAGACCATCCAGCATCACAAAGTGCTTTAATTGAATTTAACAGTCTTTTACATTTCCAGTAAGCTCTGAGTTGTACCCTTTTAGACATATCAGGATTTCAAAGCTTAAGCCCCTTTCTTTTTACTCAAATTTCAGCCAAACTCACATATTGTCTTAATCAAGACATAATGTTATTTAGCATTTTGAAAAGTTTTCTTGTAAAAATTTGTAATGGAAATGCATTACAATTATATTTTGTGTTCAAATATTTCCCACATACTAGTGTACCAACCATTACAGAAACATAAAAGAATTGTTTAGGTAACTTGCTGGTAGCTTTGGTAACTCATTTGTGAGTCGGCTCGTATAACGACCAACGCGTTATCAAATGGACGACTTGCTGGTTTTGCACGCCGTTGTTGCAAGAACATCATGTTGTCTCTCAGCGGAGGACACGCTCTTTTTGTCTGATACCTTCCCTCACTGGGACCCCCCCCTTCCCTTCTGTCCCCTGTGTTTCTGCACGCCCTCCTTCGCGCCCGTGCTTGCCAATCGGATGGACTCCACTTCCTGTTCTCCCCCACGAAGGACTCGTTGAAAGGTCGCCCCAAAGCGGGCGGCAAAAGCCAAGTCAGCGAGGAAAGAGCCGGCGCTGGTGACCCTGAATCTGAACGCTCTGACCAGCCCAAGGAGGAAGTAGCGGAGGAGTCAAGTGAGGAGGAGGGAAGAGAAATAGAAGAAGCTGGAAGAGGAGAGAGAGTAGAGGAGGCGGGCAGGGAGGCAACAGAGGGAGACGGAAACGAGCTGCTAGGTGGAGAGGAAGCAGACGAGGAAGACAATGTGAGCCGAGAGCTAAGGGAGGAAGATCCCAGCGAAAGTGAAGCGGCCAAAGAGACTAGAAAAGAAGAGGAGGTAGAGCACGATGAGGTTGAGGAGGAGTGCTTTCTTGGTGAAGATGTGGAACAGAGTGAAGAGAAAAGCGAGGTATCACAAAGTACAGGGGACCGCGATAGAAAGAAAAGCGATGAGCAGAAGGAAGATGACAGTGACGGAGAGGTAGAAAGATTTGTAGAAAGTCGGGGGGATGAGAGCAGAGGCAGAGGAGGGGCAGTGGAGGGAAGTGAATTTAGGGGGACCGAGATGGAGAAGAAAAAAGAGGAGGATAATGTCAATCAAGGGAAATCTGAGGATGACGTTGTGGAACATAGCTTCGAAAGTGATGGAGGGAGTGAGGAGGAGGAGGAGGATGAGCAACTTGTTCAATGGTCTGATAAAGCTACGGAACGACAGAATGGAAGTGAGAAGGGCGAGGGAGAACTAGGCATCAGAAGATGGCCGGACGCGGACGAGGGTGTTAAAAGCGATGAAATCCTGGAGAGATGCTCCATCAGTCACAGGATGCCGACGGAGAGTCAGGAGGAGGTGCTCGAGAGATTTGTGCAGAGTGGAGGAGAAGAAACCTTGAAAGAGGGATTGGAGATAGAGAATGACTCGGATGGCCAGGATCTGGAGGGAGCGTCGGAGGGCGAGGACGAAGTCGTGGAGGTTTTTGAAACAACGCCTTCTAGAGTCCCGCCCGACGAGCCGATCGAGCAGAAGCTCGAATGCCAAAAGAGTGAAAGTCTTTCCCTTTCTGCAAAGGTAGGGTTGCCCTTTTCCTCGTGACCCGACAGAACCCCCCCCCCCCGCGGCCCTGCCTGGTCTGTGCAAGCAGGTGCATGTAGCTCCCACAGTCCGACTCCAGTGCCTGAGGGGCTTTCTGTGGCTTCCCCTTTGGATGCAGTGGAGAAAACTGCGCGAAAAGGCAATCTGTCCGAGCCCCTGAGGACTGGATTGGAAAAGTTCTGATCCCTCTTTCCTCCCGCTGACAGTTCAGACTCTTTGTAGCCAGTCTGCTTTTAGATTGGAGGTTTTATTTTGTGAGCTGTTTGACCAGAGGCACAATTCTCGTCTCCAGGCCCGGAGTCTGCTTGCTTGGGCAACAGAGTGCTTGGCTTTGCCATTTGGTGGCACGCCTGCCTGCAGCCTGGCCTCGGTTCTGTTTTGCATGTAGCTTCTGCTTCCTCTTTCCTCTGTGTGTTTGGCTTTCATATGAGCAGTTTTCTTCAATGTTCCGTGTTTCTTGCGGCCCGATTGGTAAAACTGAACTGGTAAAAACGAAAATGTGCAGTTCAGACTTTCACTGGGTCATTTAACGTGTGTGTGTTTATCGCAGGAGTCCGAAGCCAGTATAAAGATAGAGCAGGCCCATTCTTCTGTAGATGGCAAGGTAATTTGCTTGGGTCATGTGACTCCTACTGATCTTTAAACATCTTTAAAAAGGAAAAATGAAGTTTCAGTCCACTAAGTGGATGTCAGACACCTCCTGATTGTTCTCTTTTTGTCTCTTGAAGCTGTCGCAGAAGGTTTTAGACATTGACGACCTGTCGGGGACTGTCAGTCCTCTGGAGAAAGACAACATAGAGGGAACGGAGGAAGAAAAGGAAGAGGAGAGGAATGACGGTGGTGCAAAGGCGAATGAGAGGTTTGTTTTGTTTTTGTTTGGTAGTTCTTCATCTGGAAAATCTTCAACTTGTGTATTTCAACTTCAGCCAGACTTTTCTTTTTATGTTTTGTTTTAAGAAACATGCTTTTTTTCCCCCCATGAAGGAATTGTGCTTATTTTTTAAGTAGAATAAGCATTTATTTTTACCAAACTTTAGCAATGTAATTTAACACTTCTTTCACTTCCTCTGTAGACTGTTGGTGGCTAAAGATGAAGACAGTCCTCCTCTACATACGGTTGACCGGCTTGTCCTCCACCAGTCCAGCCCGTCGCCCTCCCCCTCTATCTCATCCCTCTCTGAACAAAGAGCAGTGTCCAAAAATCATCAGAAAGCTCAAAACCTTGAGATATCCCTTGGTATCCAGAGGCCTGAGACCTCCAGGGGTCGGCTGCTCCGGACTCTGGACGCTCACCTCGAAGACACGGAGCAGGCCTTAACAAAAACGGAATTCCTTCTAGAGGAAGGGCCGAACTGGAGAATCCGGAAAGAGAAGGAAGAAGAAGAGGTTGTATGGAGGACAGAGGGAGGGGACGGGAGAGGCAGGCAAAGAGTGGCGAAGGAGGAATGGGGAAAGATGGAGGCCGAACAAGAGCTCGAGGAGGAGAGGGAGCGTATGACGAAAGAAAAGGAGAAGAGGCTGCGTCTCCTGCAGGAGGAGCTGAGAAGAGACGAGGAGGAAGAGGAAAAAAAGCTGAGGCAGGAAAGTGAGGAAAGACTTAGGTAAGTAAATCATTCAATAGAAATATGCTGTAACACCTTCTTTCTATGCAACTCATCTCTGGAAGTCCACCCAACTCCCATATTCCAACGTGTTTGTGTTTTTCTGTGTACACTCCATTCTAAGGATGCTGTTTTGGCTATAGATTCTTCAATGTATCAAAGTTTAGAGCAACCTTCTTATGTTCGTACCCAGGGTTCTAAAGGAGCATCTCCTGTCTCAGAGGAAAGAGGAGGAGGCAAGGCTGAGCGAGGAGTCCAATGGAGCGCTGAAGGGACTCAGAGAGTCTGTCAAGAGGGAAACGGAGGAGCAGCAATACAAGCTTAGGTCAATGAGCTCACAACTACCTCTGAGGCATAAAAACAATGATATACGTGTGCGCTGTCTTTTACAAAGAATGGGTTGCAGGACTTGGAGGATGGGGTCTTGAGATGAATGCCAGAGATCAAGTTCAATGACATTTTCAAATGTATTGATTAATCATATATTTCCATTCCAATGAAAATGTCACCTCATCACAGCAGCATGATTTCCAGTGGGTCAGTTCACAACACTGGATAAAATACCAACAAAGACATGCTGGTGCGTTTTTAAAGGCTAACCAGCTATTATCAGCATTCAAGGCTTTAATCCATAATGTTTTTTTCTGTAAGCCAGAAAGGGTGGTCACTACCAACCAAGAGTAAACCCACCTTCAACTCCACTTGGAAGTTTTGGAGTTTTGTGTGTTTACCTAACACAGATGTGGGTGGTAATGTGCTACATTTATTCGAGTAACCCAATGGAGAAACTGTACTAGTAGGAATAACAAGTACAACAGCTTCCCTCACAACTTTGGTTTTTCACATAGTTGCCTAAAAATAAAGATTACAGAAATGGTTTCAAATCTGTATCCCTGCTAAACTTTGACATGTAGGTTACCATTCACTGGTTTTCATCTACCAGTGAGCATCTGATCCTAACCATTGGAAAAAGAATTGGGAGTCTGCTTGGACTTACTGTTGCCGTTTAGGTAGACAATTCGCACTCCTGCATGCTGCCCTGCGTAGACCAGTTCACATATGAATGTTACACTGATTGACGTGTTTCACGTCTAAGCAGTATTAAAGATCTGTCTGTGATCCTGTGGTTGAATGGACCTACTAGTTCAAGTATATGCCTGACATAATGATTTCATATAAATGTAAAGAATGGGAAATTAATCACTCAAAGCACTTGTGTTGGTGTGACTTAGGGAGGAGAGTGAGGTTATGCTGAAGGAGTTCCGCCTCAGTCTGGAGGAGGAACAGGCAGCCACACGGGACAGATTGGAGGCCCAAAAGAAGCAGGATATTGAACGCCTGAAGGCACAATTGGAGGAAGAGCTCCAAGTCGAGAAGAGGAGACTCGAGAGGGAGACAGAGGAGAAACTGAGCTCTGTGAAACAGGAGGTGAATTGTGACCGTTTGTGCAATCCACAGCTTTCTCATGTTTGTAGCTTACAGCAGAACGAGAGTGCTATCAATTTTGATATGTTTGTCCCAATCCAACTTGGAAGACGTCAAAAACTAAAAGAAAAAAGCGCATATACAAAACTCGGCCAGTTGTTGCACAGCGCAAATGAACCTGAGGATCACAGATTAACGATCACAAATCAATGATTTGTCTTGTGTTTTTTCAAAATGTCCAAATAAAGGTCAAGAGCACAGAGAGGAGGAGGGAGTTGATTATGAGCCCACGGCCTGAACAGCAGCTGGCAGAGTACCACAGAGAGGTTCGGGACGGACAGAACGTACAATTTCAAAGTACACTTTCTGCTCTTTCGAGATGTAATTAACCCCTTTCTGCTGCCACACAGCTGACCGAGGTGCTGCAAGAGGTGCGAGACGAAGTGCAGCGCGACCACGAGAGGAAGCTGGAGGAGATGAGGGACGAGCACAGGAGGGAAATAAACGGCATCAGAGAGAAACACCTCGATGCGGTCAGAGACTGTTCAGGATCCAGTTTATACACAGCTTTGTTTATTCCAAAGTAAACTGTCACGATGATGCATGCGTTACAACTAGCTCGTTGAGGGGAAAAGGGATGTAACACAAATACCAGATGTTCTTGGTAATGACTAAAAGTTATTTATTAGCTAAAGGAAAGATTCTACCGATTAACACAAAAGCAGCAATCAAATACCAAAAAGAGAAACAGAACAGAACACAAAACCAAATGCATTCAAACCACAGGATCCAAGGCTGTACAACCAACCACACAAAACCAAACTTGTATGATTCAAAACAGACCAAATTAAATTCAAGTGCCACAGCGCAGTTTTAAAATAATATCCTCCAAAGTTACACACATTCATGGGAGCAGGGCAGTAACATTATGCTCCCTGGATCCTTGACTCCTGGCTCCTTAAATCCTACGTGTGGCCCCTCCTGATTGGTGGAATGCCCTCCGCGCAGGTAGATGGCATCAGTTCGGTTTCGCAGGAACCTTGGGAGCTGTAGTCAGGCCTCATGAAATAAAGAGGAAGTCAATCCCTCCCCCACAGAATACGGTAGTGGTCGTACCAGCAAGATTCCAATAAAAACTTTAAAGGGAATTGAGGATGGCTCAGTCTCAAGGGAGGTGGAGCAGTTGTCAACCGCTAGGTGGTTCAGTTGGTCTCCCAAAAACTTGTTTTATAACTGTGTATTACTTTCGTTGAGGGAGGTTAGAAGCACCTGTAAAAAGCTGAGGGCTGCCCTTAGTTGCAGTGGTGCTTTTGTTGGTCCTTTAGCATTGGACGAAGACCTGGTTTGTCGTGGACTAGAATGAGATGTATTAATTTGTACTTTGCTATGACGGAAAAGATACCCTGCTTCCTCGTCTTTGTAATGAAATCGGTTATTGTGGATCCCCTCCTAATGTGAGTTAACCTGCAACCAGCCAGGAGTTGATCACCACATGAGGTAATCCATAATGTCTATGTGATTTTTGTGGACTGCTTGTCTGCTCATCTGCTTTGAAAAAATGCATCTGCGAAAGGTTAAACAGACCTTTAATGCATTCTGGGAAGTAAGAAAGGCAAAAAAAACAGCATTGTGTATGGCTATATTTATTTTTGATATTTAAATTTATATGTTTAAAAATATTAGCTCTCATGCTAGGTACTGAAGACTTTCCTTACAATATATCAAAATATATCAATAATCAGTAATCAATTGGAAAGTACCAATAAAAAAAGCAGACCCTGTTGATGATATAAATGAAGTGTCATGAATGGCCAATAGAATTTTAACAGGTCGATGTGATAAGAGGTGTAAAAGACACTGTTGGACTATTTTTCTCGCCAAAGCACACCACGTAAATAGACTTAAAATAAAATATATTTTATAAAATATTAGGATATAGTCAAGCACTGTGCTCATGTTTTGATGGCAGTTCTGTGTGCTTGTGTCCCAGGAGACGGCGATGAGAGGACGCCTGCTGTCCACGCTTCAAGAGGAGCGAACATGTCTCCAGGCCTCACACGCTGTCCAGCTAGAGAAACTCCGCTTGCAGCTCGACGCACAGAACCAGAAGACCCAGCTGGCATTCTCGCGAAAGGTGAGGCAAGGGTTCCTTTTATAACTGGCGTGTGCAAAAAAAATCCTTCTGGTAGATTCTATTCAACGGTAGGGCTTAAATATGTACAGTGTTTTAACAAGCTCATCTTTTCTTTTTGATCTTTTCAAATCCTGTTCATTAGTTTAAGACATTTTTTAGGTTTATTTATTTGTCAAATCAAAATTATTTCAATGTTAGCAGCCTCTAAAATTTTTTCCTTCACACTGTAGCAGTCGGAACTCAATACTCTATCGGATGAGCTGGAGCTTAGAATGAAAGAGCTAAAGAATCAGGAGGCCATGCTACAAGCCAAGGTTGGTCTCCTCTGCTTTATGCACTATAAACACAAAGCAAACCCACGCGAACGTATCGTCTCTACCATCAGGCTGCAGATCTGAAGAGGAAGAGAAAGAAGCTCGGCGAAGAAGAGGAAGAAGTAGACAGACAGATAGAGGCATGAATGTTACTCACCCAAACCATTGATTATATTCAACCGTTTTTACCCTCTATTAACCTTTTCTTTCCCTGCCTGTGTTTGAAATGTGGGTTCAGACTTTACCTCGACTCACCCAAGACAGAGACCGCCTAAAAGAGGAGCTGCAGAGGACCAGAGAGGAGACGATTCGAGCCAGAGAACTCATCCACAGAGCCAGGGAGGAGAGGAACGAGGCCAAGGAGAAGGAAGGGAGACTGAGGGAGGAGAGAGACCAAGCCAGGGAGGAAAGCAGGAGAGCCAAGGAGGACAAGGAGCGACTGGAGAGCAAGGTGGTGCTACTGCAGGAGAGATGCAGCCGTCTGAGCCACAAAGCCAGGTACAGCTCTCTTTTTATGCATTTCCCTTTACCATTGGATTTACAATGGCGTCATAAATGTCAAGTCTTACTTTCTATTCGGCAGTGAGTCGGAACGAGCTGAAGGAGGGAGAGCGTCTCCTAAAACAGAGCTGCACAAAAAGAAGACAGAAAAAGCAACAGTGCCCTCAGGTGACGGGATCGACTCATCGCTTCACATGGATGACCTGGATGACCCACCGACCAACTCCCCAGTACCCGACAGCCAGAGCAGCATGGACGAGTAAGGACAGACACGTGTTTGCATCATGTGGTAACTTTTTTTGTGCAACGTCCCCCCCAAAAAAGAAAATGTTTAGAATGTAACTAAATGATATTTTCTATTTACATAATGGAAAATGGAACCAAATAATTTCCATGAATGATTCTGTGTTTTTCCCAATTTGATAGTATAGATAAATCAAAGTAGGCCCAGGGGCAACAGAAGGCAGGAAAAGAGAGTGGTACAGTAATGAAATCAGCTTGGGGAATGTGTTTTAGGTCATCCATATTCTCAACAGCTTAGTATAATGAGCAATCATGAAAAATAGCACTTTCCATGAATGCATCCATTTTCTATTTGGACGTATACCTTGTTGAGTCCAGAGGGGGCTGGAGCCTTTCCCAGCTGTCATTAGACGTTGATGTTGGGGAAACATTTGAGTTTTGGGAATTTACATAAAGAGGGAAACGTGGCCTTATTGTGGCTTTTTTGAGCTATGTCATAAAATCAGCAAATCCAAGATGTGCAAATATGTTATGAAATGGTAAAATGTCTTAATTAATACTTTTTTTTGTGCGTTTGTGTTTTTTGAGCTCTGTTAATAGAACACTATTTATCTTAGATTAATGGCTCGATTTTCAGGATTCTAATATTGGAGTTTTCACCATGAGGAGTTTCCTTTTGTGTCATTGAAGCCGTTACTTTGGTCGAACATCTACCAAAAAGATGAACTACAAGCGTCCATTTTTGTATGAAAAGTGATCGGGAGTAGCCTCGATTTAATTTTGGTTCACGTCAACAGCTGTGACGCGTGCATACTAACATCTGGAGCGGGCAGCATCAGGGTAAATATCTATATATCCGGTAGACACAACTCATTTATCTCGCCGTTTCTGTCGCCACACCTTTGCTCGTCCAGGTTCCGGCGGTACATCTCCTCACACGGCGCGTCCATCCAGAAAACCAAGCTCTTCCTGGAGAGGGAGAGCAGCCGGCTGACGCAGAGGCAGGCCACCCTGCAGGCGGCCCAGAGCAGCTCGTCTCAGGCAGCAGAGACGATGACGACCATTCAGCAGGTGCAGGCCGCGCCCCGGCGCACCCCTCACACCTCGAATAACCTCCCTCTTTTACAACAGGATGTCTAAATGTTTGTCGCTCCGCTTGGTTCTGTCAGGAGGCCAGAGACGTGGCAGAGCTGCAGAGGACGGTCCAGAGAGGAAACTCCCTGCTGAGGAGGAAAGAGGAGCAGCTTCAGCAGCTCCAGAGCTCACTGGCTGACGAGGTCAGACCAACATCATTTGTGGTCTACTGTGATAGTGCATTTTGTCTTTTTTTTTTGGGGGGGGGGGACAACCCAACGAATTTGGCTAGGAATACCTGGGTCGCTGCGCTCCAGTGAGCATAACAATGTGACTTTGAACACATCGTGGATTCACATCACAATGACCGTGCGGTTGCTTTTTCTTTTCTTTTTTTTCTTTACGTCTTTTTCCATATTTCTGTGCTTTGACCCCTCCTGCAGTTGTAGGACTTGTGCATCAGAGCCCTTCAAGTGCACAGCCTTACATTTGAATGTGTTTTTATGCTGGGAAAGACCTTCAGAGGTTACCCCAAATGACTAGGGAAAATGTGGAATAGCATGATGGTACAGATGAAAACAAAACAACAAAAAAAAAAAAAAAAAAAAAAAAGGAAAATGCCTCCATATTTCCATATTCAGTAAAACTAAATAATAAGCAACCATACAAAAATGTGGGCAACGTGTTTCAAGTTAGCAGGAAATCTTTCAAAGGCTGCAAAGTTTCAACGCAGTTCGTGAAAGCTTTCTGTAAAACTAGCAAATAAATAAATAAATGAATAAAAAGACAAAGAAACTTTATTAGAGACCGAAAATGTATCTGTGAGAGTATAGCGATGCTGTCAGAGAAACACACTCATTCTTTCTGCTCCCTGTTTGTTCTGTAATGGCACTTTTTTTTTCCACTGCAAGTTTTCCATTATTTACTCTGGCAAAATGATATTACAGTTGCTTGGACCATGGTACTGGGTACTTTTAGCTCAAGGAAATGAACAGAGATTGGTTTGATTATTCAATTGAAGTAGTAGTATACTTTTTATAGCGGGCCTTTATTTGAGTTTGCTTGCTATTTTGGCATTGTTTCTGCTGTTTGGATGAGTTTTCTCACTGAATCTGCTGTACATCTTCTACCCCCTGTACTTTCATTATCCCCTACCCAAACCCAGGTTTGTATACCCACTCCAATTTTACTGGTGCAGTTGGTTAGAGACTGGGGTAATAGAAGTAGCAGCTGCCCTTAGGTTTACAATAACATTTAACCATTGACATTCCCCTGGAGTGGCAATGCCCCAGTCTGGTCCATGTTTTTTTTTTTTTTTTTTTTTTTGGGTGTTTACTTTGTATTAATGTTCACCAACATCTTTACTGTCACTTGACCCAAATGAAGATAAGAACCTGGACAGTCAGGAGTCCATTGAATATGTAAATGGTTTGAATGCTTTTAGAACAACTACTCAATTTTCTGATTCTCAGTATCTATGTTGTTCCTTCTTTAGCCGCTATTTGGGGATTTCTCCCAGCTAGCTGGAGGAAGGAAGGTGACCTTTGATGTGACGGAGTCTGACCTGAGCAGCACAGTGGAGCCAGCGGACGGGACGGGTAACGCACACGTTTGCCTCTCACCAGACAGAAGGAAACACTCCTGTCCTGTCATGACGGTTCTTTTAATTTTGAGTGTTTTTTTTAATGACAAAAAAAGACTTACTGGCTCCCATGGAGACAGTAAATTAGCCGTGTGCTTCAGCTATTTCCTTAATTAAAGTGTTAGCTCGTTTCTCCTAGCAACCTACTAAAGCCAGAACCTTTGTTGATGGTTAAAGGGATAAATCATTGAATGAAAGATGGGCACACTCATTTGGACCTAAATAGGATAGGATCGGTCTTATTCCCCTCACTTTTTTCTTTTTATATCACTGCTTGGACATTTCTTAGGCTTCTGGAAATCTCTCGTGCCTCGAGAAACGGTATCCGAAAACACTTCTGTCCACTTCTCTGTTCCATCAGGAGCTCACCCCACCGTTCCAGCCAAAGTCCAGGAACTGGCCGACTCCCTGCAGCAGATCTCGGGCCAGCTCAACAGCGTCCTGGGCGCGCTGGGCTCACTGGCCCAGTCGCAGAGTGCCACGCCCTACACGCCCCAGTCGCAGAGTGCCACGCCCTACACGCCTTACACGGCCTTCCCTCCGCCTCGGTCTCCCATGTCTGCCCCTTTCATTCCCCAGACGCACGGCTCCTCCGAGCCCCTGTGGAGCGGGGCCCTTCAGAGCAGCTCTGCCGGCGCCCCCCTCTTCAGCACCCCCATCAGCAGCGGCCTCCGAACCTCAGAGGACCTCATTAACAGCAGATGGAGCCAAATATTCCCCGGTACGTCGATATATCTCAGTGGCGCCCAGGCGGCGAGACGAAGCCGTCCCCCCACCCTCTTTCTCCCGAGCTGATCCGTCTTTCCTTCCAGGAGCAGCTACAGACCATTCCAGCAATGCAAGAACCGCCACGGTTTACCCGCCCTACGCCCCAGTCAGGTAACGCAGGCCGCAGCAGAAATGACGATTCTGCCGGGCAAAGCCTGAAAATGCTCGTGTAGTAACGCTGTGTGTGTCCGTTGCTGTGTGGAAGTGAGCTTGCCCGAAGCCTGCGCTCCACGCAGAGGTCAGCGGAAACGGACGGCCAGAGACTGCAGGGGCTGATCGACGGCAACAAGAAGTGGCTGGAGATGCGGAAGAAAGACACGAGCATGTATCCTTCTGCGGCACACACACACACACACACACACACAGCACCTTCATCTTTGTCCTCATCTGTACAAATAATCTTTCTCGTACGCCCACCTTCCTCTCTTATCTGTTAGCATTGACCTCCCACGGTTAATCGTTAGTTCTTTTCCTCATGCCGCCAACCGGTCGTATAATTCTCATTAACTCGGCCTCTCAGACCCCTGTTTACACGATATCAGGCTCCTTCCACCAAGAGCAGCCTTGTCCAGCTGGGCCTGGATGATAACAACCAGATTAGGGTCTATCATTACTGAGAACTCTCATCAAGGACACTGAAGATGGTCGGCTTGACGGAGGCCCGTTTGCTTCTTCTGGGAATGTCAACCCCCCCCGCCTCCCCCTCCTCTCTCTTCTATCAGTGGAGGAATGGATGGCTCCATGGGTCGCAGACAGCTGAGGACTTTGGTTCATCGATTATAGCTCCGCGCCAAACTTTGGTCGAACCGTTTGTTTGCGAGTATTGCGTAAGTGGAAGACAATCGCTCGATAATGCAACGGCTGCAGAGTAAGCAGCCGTTGGGACAGCTTTGTAACGTGTTTTCCTGATTTCTTTTTTAAATGTGTCGCAATGTTTTCGGGAAGAATGAAATCCCAACCGGCTGTTTTCTCACTATGACAAATGTGTTTCTCCTAAACACAAGTTTACACAGCAGAGAACTGCTTCAACCCTCTTGTGCACATACATGTGAAAAAAAAAGTATTTTTCTATAAAATATTTCAATAATCTAATTTGTAGATATTGTGTAGTGTCCGTCTCGTCATTCGCACACTGAAGAGCCTCGCTGCTGAAAAGGAAATCTTTATTCAGTAACCGCTCTTTGCATTGTTTGACAAATCAGTTTGTTTTTTTTTAAATACAGAACAGTGCAAAAAAACACCTTCGCAATCAGACACGAGGGGCTGTCAAGAAGAAGTAAATACAATCATCATCGATATTCTCCAACGCGACGGACGGCGAGCGTTTTGATCTGACCGATTAGAGTACAGTATGTGGATATGCAACGTGATTACAACATTGAAGGCCACCGAGAGACTGGACAGGATTCATGTTCACACAATGATGTCCGTAAACACCCACGCACTTGTACAAACACACACACACACGCACGCACACAGCATACAAACGGGTATTTCAAAATGCATCGTTGCCTCGTGGGTCAAAGATAACGCGGGCGATTATAAAATGGGTTAATCTGGACGTGTGTTGCCATTGTCTTCACCAGCAGCTAGTAAACATTGAGAACAGTAACAGCGATGATGGCAGCATGAGAACCCAACACTTTCGGGCGTCACTCGACATAGTTCCAGCTTCTGATTGGCACATTAGTGTCCTTCATGGTGATGGGGGAGGGGCTGCTGCCCATCCCTGACTGGCCGTGAGAGGCATGCTTTAAGGCAGCCTGGTGGAAACAGGCTGCTGGCTGTGCTTTTTGAAATATGAAGGAGATTCAAGCCAAGCGTTGGGGGCTGGGGGGGTGGGTGATAAGGCAGAGAGGACGAGCCCAACCTCTCACCGACGATCCGATATGTCTAGAAGACGTAGATCTTGTCTCTTTGAACGGTGTCGAGGTCGTCGTCCATGGTTAGAAGGACCTTAAGGGGAATGGGAAAAGGGTTCCAGTGTTATAAACTATAACTATGAACAGTTGGCCACAGCTGTACCATTTGTTTAGGCTAAACTGCTCCATTTCTGATCAAAATATCACCACAAAAAGAAAACGCGTCACAGATCATACCAGGAAAGATCCGAACATGGCAATGGAGGAGAGGAAGTGCCAAATGTCGTGGTCGTCAAAGAACGACAACAAAATGCACTCCCTGTTGTGCTCACGGGACTCTGCTGGGGTTTTCTGTCAGGAGGGGGGACGGAAAAGAAAAGGAAAAAACCTTAAATAATCCAATTCACGTAAGGCATGACGCCGTACGTATGGATAGTGAAATATGATCTGCTTGCTGCTGACCTGCCAGGTGCTGAGGCCCTGGAAGAAGAAATACAACGCAAAGCCCCAGACCACTGCTGTGAAGAGGATGCACACCAACGGCAGACACTTGATCCTCTCACCGCTCCGCAACTGAAAACACAAGGAGCACATTTAAAGAAATTCATTTTCTAAAAGTTAGTTCATTTTTCAATTAGTCATTATTATATATATTTTCACATATAAATAAATAAATGCATTTCTTTTAGTAATTGTAATTTTTTTAAATAAATGTTCACTTCAAATGTTACATGTAAAATATTACAATTAAATAATTAAGTTTAAATTTATTCAATCTATTTCAAATGTATTTGTAATTTAATCAATTCTAAAAATGTCATTCAAGAACTAAACTACATTAATATAAAAATAATCAAATTAATTTAGTATATCATCAGATCAAATTCAACTCAATTATTTTGTTCTTACACCCATGATTGAAAACATAAGAATTCCGGGCCTGTCTAAACGTCACTGAACTGCAAACACACACACATACCTTCATAATGATATAAAAGGCGAAGTAGAGTAGCAGGTTGCAGATGGCGATGGCCAGCAGGTAGGAGGCGAAATCGTTGGGCCTCTCGATGAGGCCGTAGGCGGCTCTGCAGGCCGAACGCAGGCAAAAGGTCACCACACGGCTCCCCCCCTTATTGTGCAGGGGGGGCGGTCTTAAAAAAGAAAACATTTACTTACAGGGACCAGTTGACGATATTCCCCATCACGAGCAGAACCATACGGTCCTAATAGATGGAGCAGGAAGAAGATCTCCATCAGAGAAATCAACATCGAACAACCTGCTTAGCCACTTGAATGCATTAGGCGCTACCTGAAACTTGTGGGAACCAACTTTACTCACAATGTACATGGGTCCGCTGCACTGTCTGATGCAGTCAGTGTAGATGACGTACACAATCCTGCGCATGACACCAGAATCTGATGTCCAGAAACACACAAGGATATATTATATCTTCAAATATTCATTTTGAGACCTCTACTGCTACAATATTTCTTAGCTGCATGTAACGTTTCCCTGGTTCACAAAGTGTGCTGCTCTCTACATGCTTGGTTGGCGTTTCGCTGCTAGTCTTACCGAGCCTCCATCGGCCCATGTAGTAGAGCTGCGTGCTGAGGAGGAGCGTAGCCAGGATGTGGATCACTGAGAACACGATCCAGAACACCATGTTTCCTCTCCCAAACACCTAAAAGAAAAGAAGAAAAAAAGAGGAGACAGAGAGAGAGACATGTCGGTATCATTATGAAATGTGAACAAACATGAGCGTTGCCTTGTTTTGTCTCGCTGTGTGTGTGTATGTGTTTGTGTGTGTGCACGGACCACTCCCAGCACAGAAAAGAAGATGACAGCGGCCAGGCAGGCGTAGGCCGTGTAGGCACTGGCGTTGATGTCTGGGTGTCTCTTCTGGTATAACTTCAGCATGCACAGACCAGCGATCATGTACATGAATGAGGTGTCTGCGGAGGAGGGAGATTTAAAGGCAACAGTTAACTTTTGTTCTCCGCAGACGCAGAGATCAGAAGTGGGTAGTAAGGCACAACTTTTACTCTGTGACTCTGAGCAACATTGTTTTACGTCTGAATTTGTACCATGCCTTACACTCTCTACTCTTACTTGCTTCGTATTTTCATGACTACTATTTACTTTTACTTATGATATTATTCTAATGTAACAATATTCTGATGTAAGTAACTTATTGGCTGCTCTAGCCACCTCTGGCTACCCGACAAACTCAATTTAATGTGTAACTTTACCCTGCTTCTACCTACCTCACGCCCAGTTGCACCATGTTACCTTATATTGTACATTGCTTACTACTTGCCTATTCTATCTTGTTATTTTTATCCTTATTTATTCTGTGTATGCTCTATGCGCCCCCTTACTGGGGATAATAAATTGAATTGAGTTGAGCAAACCTTCTCAGGAGTGTGGATTGCATAAACAAGAGCTCATTCAAAACCTTAAAACAACCCCTTAAGCTGGGGTGTGAGCCACGCCTTACCAAACTGAAAGTTTGTGTAGTTGGGACAGACGTGGTAACAGGCGCTGAGCAGGCCCTCCATCATCAGAGCAGTGCCCATGGCGTAAAACAAGCCAAAGTGCTTTGGGATACCGCACTCCTATCAGAGAAAAAAAAGAAAAAGAGTCTATAATAAAAGTCGCTTCTCTTTAAAATACAACACAAAGCTATAAGTAAGAATAAAACTATCGATTCTTTCACTGGACACGCAACTTTCCTTGGTTAGATTTTTCCAGAAATGACTAAAACCAATGATGAATGCCACAGCGCGGCGGCAACAAGCAGAGAAATCTGAAAAGGCCTCTCACCAGCGCGTTGAGGCTGTTTCGGACCAGAGCTCGATTGTGAACGATGTCCCTCCTGAGGACGATGAGGAGGAAGAGGAGCCCCAGCATCACGTAACCAAGGTTACTGAGGATGTTGTTGAATGCACTGTGCAGGACAGCAGGTAAGAGGTCAGTTCATCTTAACATGCTTTTTCCAGGAACAGTGGGACAAATCTGTTAGGCCACCAGTTAGAAAAACATCCTTAAAAAAAAAAGATTTATTCCAAAAAATAGGTTTGAAACAACAATCTTAGTATTAAATTATTAGGAAAACATTACCCTGTGGAGTAAACATTTTTTTCCTCAACATAATAGCCTAAAGACCTGCTTTGAGAACAGTTTACATAATTACGCTTTTTGGAAACACTGCTCTCTCCTCATATAGACCCCAAAGGGTACCAACCACACTGAGAAGACTTAAAAGTCGTTCCCTTTGTTTCAGAGGCCATGCAGCATCATTATTCTGACACTTTCATTTAAATTTAGTTCTCAGTGTTCAACAATTTTGAACAGATAAAGATTTCAAGCCCAATCCCTCCTTTTATACCCAACTTCCAGTCAACACACTGCGCTTCTCTGAGAATCCAGAATGCATTAAGCAGTACGTATGTAATGTAATTGAATGTCAAAAATATAATTTCACCCAAAAAACTTCTACATGGTGGGGTATTAACCAGTAAAGAAACATGAAAGAACCATTTCGGTAACTACCAGTGCTTCCCATTTAGGACAGCAGTGGAATAAACCTTACTTAAAATTAAATGGTGGTCTAATAAATATGTTAATTGGTGTGTGTTACGTGTTGTGACACCACCGTGCTTTTTAGACCCGCACTGAGTGGAACGCACCTCAGGGCTCCGAGGGGGTGGGCACACAGGAAGTTGTAGTAGCAGATGTCCTGATTTCCTGTGACGTTGACAACCTTGAGAACAGAGATTCTCACACTGTTAAAGGGCATCACCCCACTTTACCAGAGTATAAAAGTCGTCGTCCCCCCAACCCCATCCTCAGCATACCGTCTGATAGGTGATGACCAGCTGGATGACCGGCAGCGCGTAGAACACAGCAATAGTGGCAATGTTCCTGATGTGAAAAGAAATGTTCAACTCACAAATGATGCCAGGAATGAGCAAGGATTCATAGACATTTGTCACCAGAATGGAATTCTAGTTTCAAAGATAATTCTGGTCTGCTCTGATATGCTACATGATCACCTTCCCTATTGCTAATTTTCACATTTGTCTCACGTTCTTGGGCGTTTTAGAGTGCGCTCACACAGATATGTTGCAGGAACAGTTCTTTCTGCTATTGATTATGATCAATATCATATTCATTCTACCTTAAGTGTTCTTGTTGAAGCACTGGCTGCTGGTTAGCCCTTGAGCGGGAAGAATGTTAATGCACATGTGTTGACAAGTGCTGCACGGTTGCAGAGCATCGTGGGATTTGTAGTGAGAGTGATGATGCAGTTATTTACAGATGGGCCAACATCATTCAAGTTGAATTATTACATTTTTCTGTGTGGCCCAAAGGCTTAAAGTTGGAAAAACTCTGCTTTTTTATATATTATCTGAAGTGGATTTAAAAACGGGAAAAAAAAAATCTAAACGCAAACTGCCACCAGCTGAGGATTTATCTAAATCTATAATGACTAATATGAGCCAGTCACATTTTTTTCCCCAGTTTTCTGTTACTGAAAGTGTAGACAGACGTGAACATTTTGGCCCACTGTCACTTGAGGGGTGTAAGAAGCATCCTCACCAGAAGTAGATTTGGTATTTCTTGCTGAGGATTCTCTTGTCTTTCCGAGCGAGATCGGAGACACACAGGTACTTCTGTCCACGTGGGGAAAAGAGAGACACAAAAAGGTCACGTTAAAAAAAAAACAATCTGTGAAAGTGAATAGGGATGAGTAACATATTTTTTAAAACGACAGAAAACTGGGGGAGACGTACTTTGGTTCGGACTATGTTTTTGTCTGAGTCGACGTCGTCCAACGTGTCGTAGTCGTCCTCCTCCACAGAGCTCAGAGACTCCTGTCGGCTTCGCGCAATGCTGTCCAATGAGCGCTCTGATGGAAGGGACGGAGGAAAGAAAAAAAAAAGATGGCTTCAGCTAATTTGTGGGGGACAGTTGACTGGCGACACAAAGGGACAGATGGAGAGAATTGCAGGGGGGGATGCAAAGATTGGAAATCTTAAACTGATTTTCCAATTTCGTCTGCAGGCAGTTTTAAATAATTGTCGGTGCTCTGATATTGGCACGTTCGGCATCATGTTTTCATAAATTCAGTTAATTCGTTTCCAATTTTTTTGTGCTGATTGACGCAGTGCTGATTGGTTTGCAGGAAATCTGCGTGCTGATTCCGAGAAAGAAAACACGACAAAGTGTCACCGATGCGGATGGCTATGTGGTGAAGGTGATTGAGGATTGGCCGACGTTTGAAAGGCTCGTGTCCTGGTGAACAAAGACACACAGATAACTGGTGAGGGCCGCGGAGGGGCGGCGACGGGCCGGGGAAGCCTGCCCGCCAGCGCTCCTACCCATGTATCCGTAGTTGATGTCGGTGGACGCGGCGCTGTCCGTCACGGCCTCTGAACTCAGCGTGCTGCCGTTGTCGGCTGCAGGTGGAGAGACTTTTGCTTTTATTTTAGTCACGTGTCCGAGTGGACTGGCCTTTAACTGATAAGGAACTCACCGAAAGAGCCGTACTCGTACGGCGAGGCTGGAGTCTTACCTGTTGAGAGGGTAGAAAGAATAGATTTAAAAGTGAAAAACAAAACAAAGAGGAGCTCAGAATGAAGTAATAATTGTTAGAATGACAGTGGACACCACAAAACTACTGCTCGTTAACTGATGGTTCATTAACACACACATGCAGGGATCTGATCAGAGGAATGGTTATGCAAGAATGTAGGAAGGACGGTGCAGAGCAGAGCAGAATGGAAGGAACGACTAACTTTGGGAGTTTTCTAATACGTTATTCTGTGTTGTTAAAAAACCTCTACTTTAATTTGTCTTATCCTTTAATAAAAACAAGACAAAAAAAAGGGAAAGGCACAGATCAGTTTGTGTTGCTATTTTTCCCACCTGAGCGACAAAACAGGCCAAAGCTTTAGAAGTAGCTGCAAGTTTCTGTTCACAATGTCTTTCTGTACAGGTTCTATGGATTTTGGGGATGGAATTGTAAGACTTTTGAGACTGCAAAGTCCCAAAAATCTCAACTGTGTTAATGTCAGACAAACTAACACTGAGAGAACAGCTGAGTGAAGAAACAGGTGTACAGATTTGTATAATGAGTAAAGAAAAACACTCTGGAAGGCTATTATAAAGGTGTTCAACAAAAGAGGTCACACCAGCCTCAAGAGAATAGAAAGAAAAAAAAGGAAGTTATAGTGACAGAAAAGAAAGCAGATCACTGCAAAAGCAGAGGATATATATATCATAGTCACCAGTGAGAGAGATCTGTGGAAAAAAAGCATCAGAAATAAGGGAAGAAATCCATATGATAAGGTCAGAATCTGTATCTCTGACAATTGTGAAGAGTATTAATTCACAGAACGAGATAAAGAGATAAGAAGGAGCAAAAGTGACATATGACTTGAAAACGAACTCTCTGGTCTGATTAAAGAAAGCTTGAACTTTTTGGTTCAAATTACAGTCACGATCCGCGCCCTGTGCAAGATCCACATTAAGGAATGGAGGTTGTAGTGTTATGGTAAGGAGAGAGGAGGAGGAAAAAAAGAGCTGTATCACTCCATCCAAACTGAGACCTGAGACTTGTGGGTCAAAAGTAATCTAATGGCAAGAGAATTATCCTAAATATTCTTAAAGGGTATGTCAGGACTATCTGGACAAAAACGGAGACGGCTGTGTCATCCAAGTTCCAGTGAGCATGGCGGCGTTGACAAGTCAGGATAGAGGGGGAGATTGCTTTGGACAGCAAAGAGTTCATCTTTGACCCCAAGAATTCCGGGCTTCACCACAACTCTGTGAATGTTCTTGAGTGGCCTCGTAAGAACTTAAATCTGAGTGAAAAGATCTGGAAAGACACTTCTTGCCCGACCTAATAGAGCTTGAGATGTCCTGCTAAGGGGAATGAACAAACCCACTAAAGGATAGGCGAGCCAAGCTTGGGGCGCCCCATTACCTGAGGCCAAAGGTGTGTAAACTTTTGAGGGGGGAAAAAAATGGAAATTGAACAATTTTGGAGGAAGGCTGTAACATAAAACATGGGAAACGGGAAGCTCTGCGAACACTTCCCGAATGCCTCGTGTAGCAGCCACGCCGTTAAGCAGCCATTAGCCATCTTAAATTGTTGCATTTGTTATTTTGATGGAAATGAAGTTTTGTTGTGGTTGTATGCATTTAATCTAGCTTCCAAACATTTGGCCTGTAGCGTACGTTCACGTTGATGCACAGTCTACAAAGCGATGCAGCACTATTCATCATCCTCTGCACAGAGTTTGACTCCAGAGAGTTGATGCTACTGCAGACGAGCAAAACGATGTGAAATTTAAAAAAAAGGGGGCGGCGAGTGAACAGGAGGAGAAGTCGGGTCATTATACCATCTCCGTTCTTCCCAAGAAGAGAGGCTGATGCAGACATTAGCAGGAGGAGAGAGGCAGAAGCACACGTTCAGTAAACACAAATGAATAAAACTACATTAAAAAATTAAAGAGACAGGGGTAATTATCCGGTCAGTGATGAACAATTATACAAATAAGGTTATAGATGCCTGTTTTTACTATAATGCGATCTGACCACCCTGATGGGGTCCTTAACGGCTGGTTGCTGGGTTACCTGTCTCAGCGGGCGACATGTCGGGGGCATTCAGAAACAGCTCCCTCCTCTTATTCATTCTGCAAAAACAGAAGCGATGCAAATGAACTGAATTAGTATTCAGCATGGCATAGATCCTGCAGCGCAGCTCGGTCTGACCGCAGGACACACAGAAGCCTTCTGGTATACTCTGAAGTATACTTTTTCCCCCCAGACGGGCTTGGAAACAAAGTAAATAAGGGACATCGGAGATAAGAATTGGGTTATGGCTCCTGAATGCTCAGCTTGATTGAAAAATGTTGCTTCAGTCAGCAGTACCCGGAAACACAGACGGCATCCAAAACTCAAATCCCCCCTGTGAGAGTTCACCTATCACCCGCTGTGTTACATGTGCACAATGTGCAGAGAGATGAGGCCCTGGGTCATTTCTTAAGACTGAGCATAAATCATTGGCTTTATTAATGAAACAAGAATAAAGGGAAAAAATTTCAGAAAAAGCTAGAAACTATAGAAAAATATAGATATTATACATGATAAAAAATACTGAGAAAATATAACGTTGGCTAAAAAAAATTACTTTTTTTTTTTTTAAACAAAGAAGCATGAATAGTAAAAATGTCCAAATTTTAAGCTCAAAATAATCAGAAATACTCAGCAGGACATTGCCAACAGGCTTTAAATCCAGAGACAATTTTTAAAAATCCTTTCAAATAAGCTTACCGCCTGTTTTCCACGCAGGCGACCAGCAGGGTGAGCAGGTAGAACGAGAGGAAGATACCCAGGCAGAACAGCATGCCCATCACATACTTTTCAGCTGTGGAGAAAGATTTGCCAACACAGGGTAATGAACACCATCAACAGCTATTAACAGGAAGAAGGAAATCACGTTGAACGTTAATTGCTCTCAAACAGTGGAGCTGGATGACATTCATCTCAACAGAGCACTTAATCCTCAGACTGCAGGTCTACTTTTGTTTCCTACAGTTTCTGAAAGTAGAATGGGAGGCAGAACCTTTGGTTTCTCAGGAACTGTCTTCACGATAAAAGCTGTCAGTTTGGGTTCAGGATTCAGACATCCCCTCTACCTTTACGATTGGGCTTACAACTTTCCTGTTTGACAAAAGCTTAGTTAGGAATGTATTGCTGATACTGGCCTAGACTGCCGAGGGACCTCCTATGAAGCACCTTTCCTCCCTCTGTTCTCCCCCTTTTTTCTATGTAACTATGATTTTTGTTGTTGTTATTAACTTATCTTTCTCCTCTCTCCGCAGGTATCCCTGAGCTGCTGTTGCGTTTGTTTGTTGTCCTTCATTCTGTCCTCTCAAACTCCAGCTGGTCGAGGCTGACGAGTGTGTTTCTGATAACGTTTTTTTTTTTTTTTTTTAGCTAAAAGGTATTTTTTCCTTTCCGAACATGCTTCGGATGGCTGATTGGATCAAAATGAAGCTAGGAAATGTTTTTGTTAATGACCTCTGTGAGCTGCACTAATAAAAAACACAGATTAATTTGAATTACAATAACAATTATGTTTCTAATGAAAAATTTACTGCCTGTACAGAAGAAAAACTGCAGCAAAAAAGCATCAATCTTATCACACTAGTATCAATCTGGTACTAATACTTACTTTAATATCAATACTACCAATACTTGGACCGATATGCCTAACCCTAGTTTATAATTGTGTTACATTGGACTGTATATTTGATGACATTTGGATGACATTTGTCGTGTTTTGATGCTATATACAGTAAATAAAACTTGGATCTTACGTTTACCTTTAAAAAAAAACTAAAATCATAAAACTAAAAGATACACGATGTCAGAATGTTACAAAAAAAGGAGATGAAAACTAATAGGATATTTTGAATTATTCCATTTGCCTTTGATTTCCATATTAAAGACAGCAGCCAGTGGCAATGTGGCATCTGCCAGGTCGGCGGGGCACGCTGTGCCACAGCTGAACTCTGTGGGATCCAAGAAAGCAGGGGAGAGGTATGTCTATTCCCCTTTTTAACTCAGCCCTGCTACACAAGTCTGAGCTCCACACTATTGTACATGTGACTTACAGTTGATGGCAGGAGACACTATCACGTCGAGGACCTTGGTGCGGTTGCCAGCGTTAATCAGCTCATCGGGTCGCAGAGGGTAGTAAAGCAGCGGCCCGCCACACGCCTCGTCCTCTGTTTTTACCACCAGCACCACATAGAAACTGTTGCTGGGAAAGTCCTTTCTCTGGATTGGAGGAAGAGACACCGGCAAGATAAGACTGTGTTGTAATTTCCCATCTACTGAAACATGTGGAGCTACCTGTACGTTTGTTAGAACACCAAGAAGCTTAAGTTCATTTGTGTTTCCTGCATCTTTTCCTGACTCATTTGGGATTTACAACGGTGTGTAAGATACTCGGATGCGTCACACTAAGACTGGTTGATGTATTTCTCTTTGACTCAGAGACCATACAGCATCATGACGTGCTTTCAATCAGAGTCTTTCATTTGCAGCGAACCCTGAGTGTTTACCATTTTCAAATAAATAGGATTTCAAACCAAATTTATCCAGATTATGAACAAATTTGAGCCAACTCACTGGGCTTCTCTGAGAGGTCAAAGGTGCATCAAGCAGATCATTCGACCACTAAAACTAAATCTTTTCAGGTATGCAAGTAAATAAATATATATTCACTTCTCAATTAGGTAATAATTATGTTCTTTCATTTGTTTATTTTTTGTAAAACTGAAAAGCTAAGAAAGTCCGGATAAGAATAATTTGAATTTCTAAAATGTATGTTGGTAATGCTAAATAGCGTCAACATGCATATCAACAATTACATAAAAAATAAATACCATTGTAGGTTAAGTTTGGGACACTGTGGTAAAATTATTATATCGGTTTCCGGAGCACTGAGCATATAACGCGTCGCCACCGTTTTCAAAACGTTTTGTTTCTTTGCATGATACTGAAAACTGTATGTGACAGCTCACCTGCACAGTGATGGCACCTTTTCTTGTCATCGTCTGGTACATCCCAATGAAGGCCACATTGTTGTCAAGATCATAGACGGGGCACTAAAACAAAAACAGACACTGAAAGATTAACATATCCTTTTCAATTCTTTATAAATACTACACAGTTATAGAAAAAAACAAGAATGAAAAAAAGAGTAAATCAGAAGTTTAGGCTTTTTCAGTGAGGAATCTGGGGCAGTGACCTCTTGTGGCATAAGGAGGCTGCTGCATTCTGACCACAGAGACGAGGGCAAGGGCCACCTGAGGACAAGCAGTGGTACTGGGGGGAGACGGGGGTACGTATGGAGGACACAACTGTACCTGGATGTCCTGCACTGACATCACGGAACAGGGGAAGGTCATGTCGGAGTTGACTTTGACAATCACAGTATCAACTCCGTCTGGAAAGACGTACTTAAAGTACTGAGACAAGGGATAAAGGAACAGTCAAGGAGTGCACTCAATATTATTCAAGACTGCAAGATCATTATTCCTGTTTTGATGACTTAGATTTCTTGACTTGAGTTTCTTTTAACTATTACAACAATGAAAAGAAATATCTTGTTTTTTATGTATAAAGTATATTAAATCCAAGCCCTGGTTAGTCCATCAAAAAAATTTGAGCTAAGTTTTTCAAACAAATGTAATTCCTGTTGAAGATGTTGTACTTTCTGACTACAGAAATGTGCAGCCGTAGACACAACCACACATTTAAGAGTTCATTTTGTCTCCGCCTTCATCATTACTTCCTACATCCATGACAGAAAAAAGAAACACCAGTACAAGAAAGAAGAAAAACTACAGCACTATGCACTGTGTCACACTAATCAAATCTGAAAGTTAAACAAAAAGACGGAATGGGAAAACAGAACTGAAAAGCTGAACTTGCTCAGAAAGAAATAAGACCAAAACAATAAAGAAAACATCTTTATCTATTCTCACCAGAGAGTAAAACTAAGCTTTTTTGTGTTTGTTTTACAGACGCTTTAAATCTCTGTGTCAACTTGCATGCTTTGGACATTTCTGTGATCAAACATCCTTGTTTAAGTGGCCCCTCCTACAACGAAAAAGGCACACAGCTATAGAATCTGACTTGATTACCTGTGGTTGGGAAGGTGATGCTGTGAAGGTGAACTTTGTGTTTGTCCTGTAATTAAGTGGAATATATCAGTAAGTCACCTTTTGTCAACTTATGCTGACATTAAACAGCCCTGTGTGTCTTATCATAAAACTCACTGCAGGGTGAAACTTTCGACACGGCTCACTCTCAGCTGGTAGTTTGTACCCTGGCTGGATAGGGTAGACACGTCGACAAAGAAGTACTGGGTCTCAGAGGCTCCTCGGGTAGGAGGTTGGCACAATGTCCTCCCTACATGTTTGTAAGGATACTTTCTCTGGTAGCTGCGGGACAAAAAACACTAATATTCAGCTGTCTTTTGAAAACTGATTCTCTATGAATATAAACCTTGAATGAAAGCAACTAAATGTAACCTCTCTCTTCTAAAAAACAATTTAAAAATAGAATATGTGTTACAATGTGATGATCTATTCAGATATTTCTTTATCTGTGGGCATACCCTGACAACCATGGTTTTGCAACAGCGCATGAATGAGAAGTTTCTTCAACAATGCAACTTCACTCTGGAAATTTTGAGGCGGCTCGTGACTGTTTACAGTCAAAGTAGTTCCTAAAATCTACTCTGCTCCATCGCAGAGGAGGAACTGAAAGTCCAAAGTTCATTAGTGATGTGCTAAAGCATGACTGGCCATGAGACTACTGGAACAGGTAAGGCACATGTTGCATAATACAGTGCAGACTCAAAGAGCGGGAGTCAAAGATCACATCACAAGCTGGATGTGGATAAATATTTGCCAAGGAAATCCAGCTTATTCAGCAAGATGAATTAAGTCAAGTGTTCTACAACCACAAAAAGTAAAGGGCACCTTCCCATTTCACACAAAAATAGACCTTAATACAGGCTAAAACTGATTCTCATCCACTCAAAAAAGCAGTACCTTCTATGAAAACCGAGCCATATTGTTGTGACAATTTGTTGACAAATCTCTTACAGATTGGTGTGGTCTGTTCACATGTTGTTGGGTTTACTCACAGGCCTCTGAGAATGAGAGGGACTTGAAAAGACATCACGGCTTGCTTCTGCCGTATAACAAACAGGATAGGACTCTCCAGTTTCTGCTGCATGACATCCACGGACACACGCACACCCTCAGTCTGAAAATCCATACACGTTAACAAGGGAGAAGACGGTTACAATGATGCCACTGGGCAGTAATCGCATTCTTCCTTGGTCTGATGATGAAGAGGAGCTCACCTTATTCCTGGAGACGGTGTGGTTGAAAGCATAGATGGTCTGGTTTTCACTGGTAACCGTGTCATTGTAGGTCATGTCGAACTCGGCATCTTTTTGGATATACTTGGTGTCCCCCACCGCGCCAGCACCGCAAGCTAACTGGGTCGCGCACAGCCAGAACGAGGCGGCCAGCCCCAGTCGAATCCAGTGAGGCGCAGGTCCGCGGCTGTTTTTATGTCGCGATTTCCAACAACTCCTTAACACCATTGTGTCCGAGGACGTCTTACTCAACTGAGAACAGATACCAAAAAGCTACCCCAGCCTAATTGGCAACGTTACAAAAAACAACAACTCCACCCCATGCAGCAACAGATACACGGTGAGCAAGCTGACTAGCTTCCACACTAACCAAAAAAAAAAAAAAACAGCAGCTGCTGCGAAGTCACTGGCAGGCTAAACGGGCAGCCTAACGTTTACATCTCCCACAGACTTTGTTCACGTCTCTTCGGAAAACTTAACAATGTCCGACCTAGCAGTTAAACACCCAATAAGGGAAATTATGAAACGACACGAACATGTCACTTAATGCCTATATTCGAAACGCATAAGTCTACAAGACTGCTGACTGGCGGTGCTAGCATTAGCAATGCAGATTTGGACGCTTGTTAAACACATCCGTTGATGTGTATTTGGTTCCAGCGGCACGGACGGCGTCGGAAAAAGAAATGGGAAATAATGTGCTCTTTTAACTCTGCCTGGGAGTCTCGTTACACCGGCTGTGCACAAAAGACGACACTGCAGTAAAGAGAAATGTCTTCGCCTGAAAGATGTTTACAGTCCAAGAAATCTGGCATTAGCGCCCCCCTCCACGCTCAGACAGTAAACAAAACGCCGTGCGACGTCTCTACGTCACCGTGGGTTCCACCAATAGCGAGCGTTTACTCCAAAAGGGAACTTGCCAAGAATTGCAGGCATGTTTTCATCACATCTGCAAAATATGCAACAAGTTAAAATCTTTGTGTTTGTATAGTTCTGTCATAGTAGTTTGTTAGAGGTTTTAAATATCAAGAATATGATCTTCTGATTAAATTAAGGTAAATAAGAAATAAACTGATCAAAATAGATAATGCAGCTAAATACACTGGCTGAGACCAGAATACACTTTTTAGTTTAAAGTATTTGGAAAATGTGGGTCAGTGTGTTTGGCAATGTAGGAACAGCTGTGGGGACAGAGTCAAAACAAGACTGCTGATCAAGGTTACTATTACGTTTGCCTATGTCACAAGAAAGTTATTTTTTCTCTTGAAGACATTACCCATTACCCAACAAATCAAACATATATTTCATAAATGGCAATGGGCCAATCCCCCGAAATGCTGGAGAAATTGTTATCAGTCCACCTCAGACAATGTGTAAGCCCCCTTTCTGAAAAAATACTTTTTACATCACCTTGCAGTTTGTGTTGTGTTTGAATGCATCTGTCTTTTTTCAATAATATTCTCCAATGTTTTAATTTCCTTATTGGACTACAAAGGATTAAAAAAAACTATGAATCATAATTAAAAACAAACTATTAGAAAATGTCCAGCTTTGCCTCTTACTGTGATCTTTCAGAGCTTTTACATCCACCTTTCACCAACTCTCAGTGCATTGAGCACAAGCAGACAAGGTTACAGAACTAGATCATTGTGAGCCCACATTTTCTTGTTTGTTCATCATTCAGTGAAAACCTTTTTAGAAACAGGGCTAGTTTTTGATTAACAAGCCTTAGCTAGATGTTGCAACTAATCTGTATTATTCAAGATGATGGTGTGATATGATACTTTATTATTAACAAATATAAATAGAACACTAAATGTATATATTCTGATACTATCTTACAGTAAGGGGGCCTGCGTCTTTCTTAGATTTGATGCATTGATTCCTTTTTACCACTAGGTGGTACTGTCTAATCTCTGGTGATAAAATGATGCATTGAAACAAAAAGAAAACCTGTATACATCGCAGTTATTTTCTATGAAATTATCATCAATATTATTTGTAAATTTAGAGATATTATTTATGTTTTTATCTTCCAACATTTGTCACTGGTCATTAGTGAAATTTGTTGTGTCCCTCTATCTGTATCTGCATGTCAAGTCTACCCAAGGCCTTTTTTTAAAACGTATTTTATTATTCTATCATTTACTGCTGTAAGGTTATTGGAAAAAATACGTTTGGAAATATCTACACGGCAATACTACTTTGAAGTGAGCTGTTTTCTGTATACGGAATCTGGAACATTAGAGAACATCACTTTATCGAACTATTTGAGTGTCACTTATTCAGTGATGGGATTGAGAGACTTAACAAAGGATTCCCGGCGCTCATGGTTAACACAGTGTACATTTTTAAAGCCTCGGGAAACAGTCTGATCATACCCAGCGCAGCAGTTTTGCAAGGAATCACTGAATCATGGGAACCACAGTGATAATGCGCACTTCTCTGTCTCCCAGGCAACCACAATACGTTTCTGTGGATGAAGTCATTTGTTACGTTGATGGTTGCCGTGGTTACAAGCTAGAGAGGGCGCTGCGGAAGAGCGTTTCACGTAAAATGACGCAGGGCGGGGGCGTGCCCGCGATGCGCGCTGAACCAGGCTGCTTGTTGTTCCCGCAGAGAGGCGAGAAGATGGCGGCCGTGTCTAGCGGAGTTTCTGCTGGGTCCGCTGCGGCCGGGATTACGCACTCGGCTCGACCGACCCACGCAGCTATGGGCTCCCAGAACCGAGCCCAGCCATCCTCCGGTATCAGCCACTCGAGTCGTCCGACCACGTCCAGTGGGTGCATCACCAATCCCGGCCACACTTCGGCCACCAGGCCCCCCCCTGCCCGAGTGGGCCACTACGAAATCGAGCGGACAATCGGCAAGGGGAATTTCGCGGTTGTTAAACTAGCCACGCACATCATCACTAAAGAAAAGGTAAGAGTACTGGTGTCCGAACGTTAGAGGCGAACAATTAGAAGTTGTCACTAATTTATTCTAAGCCTTTTCGTCTGTGTACTCGGGATGACGCTGGGCCTCCTTACGCCGGAGACACAACAGCCAGCCCGCTTTGGTGACACCGCTGCTGGGTGTTCTGGGGGTCCGTTCGACACGGGACGTCACCTTCAACCACTGGAAAGAAAATAACAACTCCTAATGGCAATAATGGCTCTTATATATCCACATGCGGTAGTAAAGCAGCTTGAAGGGCCTTAAGTTTAAGTGTGGCAGAACGCAGAGGACGGAGAGAAGGGTATTGACGGAGATGAAAAGAGGGGAGACAGCGATCTTGTTGGAGCTAGCTTAGCCTTTGGGCTAATTAGCAATTTGGCAAGATTTAGATATCGATAGGAGACGATACGGCACAAAGCAAATGAGTTGTGGGCACTCGGCTGAGGAACATTTAGTTCTTCAATAAACTTTCCCGTTCACGTGTAGGCAAACAAAAACGTTCGACATAAATGAAATACATCGTGAACGTGCAACCCAAAACTATAGCGGAGCCAAAGTGTGTGGACTTTTGCTTTTAGCTCTCTTCAAAGTCGAAAAGTGATATTTTCAGTTCGGGTTTGGAAAGTTTCTTATACCTCTCCAACTGAAACTGAACCGGTTTGTCAGTGCCGGTTTAGTTTAGAGGCTGAATGACTGGCAACGCTGACGGCAACGTCCTATTGTAAACAAACGACAGTCGAGCAACAACAGAATTCACCTCTCAGCGCTAATGCCTAACACTGAGGTTGCCTGCAAGTGAGTTCTGCGTTAAAAAAAGGAAAGTGTGCTCAAGTGTGTGTTGTTTGCGGCAGAAAAAAGTGTTGGTGTCTGAGGGATAGTTTGGGTATTAGTCAAAATGTTCTATATTCTGAGACTTTAGTTACCCATGAGCTGTCTTGTCATCAGTTAGAGTGATGGATGTCATTAAAAAATAATCATTTAAAACGCCCTTGTTGGTTCATTGGAACAACTGAAGATTAAATTATGTGTAGGTAGACACCATTGGCAGTCTTTCTCTAACCTTTGCATGTCTACTGTTATAATCCTCTAAAATGGATATACTAGAGGAGTTACATAAACCTACATGTATTGCAGGTATATCCATTATCTTTTATCATAACTAAAGTGTACTGGTACTCTTGGATGTTTTTCTTTACCTCTTTGCCCTTGTTGACATAGACAAGGGGTCACTGACACAGGTCACGTGGACCGCCTGATTGGGAGACCCCTCGTTTCAGTGTCATGGGGATAGAATATGCCAGGATCAGTGAGTCACGGAGTGGTTTTCGTCTCTGGAAAAGAGGCTTCGTAAAGAAATTGAACTGTGCTGTAAGAGTCAACGTGTTGTTGTGTGTCTGTCTGCGGCCGAGAGGCGGGCAGAGGACGAAATGACTCCTGAAAGATTGAGAGAGAGGTCTTGTTTGTTGATGATAATTAGCAGAGAGGGTGAGCTCATGATTTACATGAGCAGGAACAGGGTTTTCAGCGTCCCCGGCCGCTCATGAATATCAGAAGAATAGGAGTGTGTGTGTGTGTGTTTTTTTTTCAGGCTTGTGGACATCATGAATATTGATATGGCAATCACTCATCAGATGAAATGTGCTCTGGAGCCTTATGTTTTTACGGCCTGGGTTTTATAACGATCCGGTGAGAAATGCTGACTAGACAAAAATAGACCAGCAGCACTCGGTGCTGTTAGATGGAGGTGGATGTTATCCTGTGGTGCAGTCACACAGAGGAGGACCTGGCATTTATGCTCAATTGCTTGGAGGCTTTCAAAGAAGCGGCCTCCGTCCAATTCCTCATTTCTTCTCTGTTTATGAGTTAAACTGGAAAGTTCAGCAGGTACCCAGTTGTGTTGCCCGTGTCTCACAGCTCTGATCGCTAAAGGCACATAACTAATGGATTGCGTGTGAATATGGTACTGGTGGACAGGTACAGCTTTGCCACGGTTTGTGGCTGAGTGAGAGTAAGTTTACCCGTTCAGACTGTTCACTACTATCATTTTTATCCATAAAGGGAAGGGTATTGCTGAGAAACTGTAAGTTTTGGTTTCTTACTTGCCTGCTTTGTTCATGTTCATGTTCATGCATTTGGCAGACGCTTTTGTCCAAAGCGACTTACAGGGTAGGGAGGAGCTGTATTGGCTGGGAATTGAACCCAGGTCAACTGCTTGGAAGGCAGCTATGCTAACCACTACACCACCACTGTCTCATTGCTTTAGCAATGTATGAACATTGGGACCATACTATTGTTTTTCTGTTGTTATCAATGTTGTCATCCAGATCATCCTACAGGAATAACTGAATATCTGGTGCCTATAGTGCTGCTGGATTACATGTAAGCCTCCTCTGGGTAAATTCAGTATGCTGAGTCGGTGTCCGAGGGAGAGGGACCTCTGATTGGATGCTAAGCGTAGCAGTTGAACGCTGAACTTCAATATCAAGTTAACACTGTTGTCTTTTTTTAGTTTTTTTAGACATAGAAACTTAAGCCCTTACACAATTCAATGGGTTTAGACTCAGTAATGAATCACAACATGATAGCGGTGTGATATAGATGAGGAATACAAAGGTTCTGGCATGAGCAACTCACCAGATGACTGGCAGCTTTAAAAGCTTCAAATCTGTGAATTGACTCTTTTCTTTATTTTTCTGAGCTGAATTATGGGAATTATGATAAAGCAGTTGTAAAAACGTTTCGCATGGTTTGTCTCTCGCATCCTGAAGACATAAGATAGATAACCCTCTTCTTACCTGTTGGGGATGTACATGAGAGCCTAGTGTCAGCTGGGCGAGGCTCCCGGCACCCCCCCAAAGATGCAGAAGTATCAGGAAAACCTTCCATTTTTTATCATTCCATCCCTGGCATTTATAGGAGTTTATTCTTTATCCGCTAGTCACGCTCCACGTCTCGCACTACCTGCTTCCAAGGTCAAGAGGCCAGTTTTTGCATCTTCAGGTGTGCGGTATGATTAGTGCTGCTGTACATAGTCGAAGGCAAACAGTTGAAAAGCCTCATTTTCTCTCTCTTTTTTTTTTTGTTGGTTCCCACTGCAAGGTGAGCTGTGGTTGTGATTAAAAATCACAACTCTGCGCCTTCATCATTCAGTGCTTCTTGTCTGAAGCGGCCGCGTGTTGCCAAGGCTCCTAGTTGGAGAGATGTCGCTCCATTGAAGTTTTCTTTCTTTTTTTCAGTTTTATCCATTTTTTTCTTATGTCTTATTAGTTGCCATGGTTTCAGTCGTGATGGCGGCGGTGCCAGACCCCAACCAACAGTTCTGAATGGAAGCTGCTCTTTGTTTGGCTGAGCAAATAAAAAAAAAACAACATTTTATTGTTGTTTTGTTGTTGTTTTTCCCACCTCAGCATTGCAAACAAGTTTCGATGTCTTGCTCCTCTTCATCACTAAAACGGCCGCTACGTGTCATGAGTTGGGAAATGGCATAGCGCGGACGTGTCCTGACACACCGTCAGTGGGGAAGACGAACCCCCGCCCCCTCATCCCTTATCTCCTGCCACCCCCCACCTTTTCCTCCCAAGTGTTTTTGGTACAAAACGAACAAACAGGAGGAAGAGGGCAGGCATTAGGTAACAGGTCTAATGTACTGAGTAATGATTTCACTCACTCCCATCGATACACTCACACTAAGCTCACAAACACACAGCAGCCCCTTTCTGTTTCTCAGAGGCACACACACACACAAACACGCACACACAGCCAAATGTGATTTCATTTGGGTGAGTAATATGACAAATGCTAGGGCTGCTGCTTGACATATCTTTCTGCCTTCCAGTCATCCTCTCCTGCTGCATCTCAGTAGTTTGAGTCTACAAAAAAGGGAAAGAGCGCGTTCCCGTATCTCTGCACATGAGATTTAACGGGGGCCAGCGCAAGCTCTGTCACCATAATCGCATTGTCTTCCTCGTGAACCATATTACCTTTGTCTCTCCGGCCGGCAGGTGTGTGCGCGTGTGTGTGCGTTTTCTTTTTTTTGGCACATTAATTATCTGTCCTTTAGTCATATACAGACATGGCGGTACAGTTAAAACCCAAGACACCGAGCCATCTGCCACAGTGCCGCTCGCAGCTCCTGATGCCCTTCAGTAAGGTCCCCCCGGTCTTCACGGATCCAGCTCAGAATGGAATCAGCAGCGTTGCCATTGTTTTAGCTCACTTTCATTATCTACTCCTTTTTTTTCTTTTTTTTCCCCAGCAGAATTAAGTTTCTATCTACTTGTTTTATACCCAGAATCTGCCCACAGCTAAAAGACCCTTTTTTTTTTTGTAACTCCAGACCATTTCTCAGAAAGAGCATTTCACAAGGGACCAGAGTGCCTATTATGCAATTACATATATTGTGTAAACACAATTACGTGGACATAAAGATGTTTTCTGATGGTTTTTATAGCAGGTCACCACATATTACACACAGCTGGCTTTAAGCGTTTTAGCGACGCGCCTATAAGTGAGGAGTCATCCCGGGTATTTCCTTTTTTAATGCAGCTGTATTTTTGCTGTCAAAGAGGCTTTTTTTTTGTTATTTCCGGAAGGACGGTTAATGTTGAGAAGGACACTTTTTTCCCCCTGCACATATAGGATTATCCTTGCTAAATTCCACCATAGGATTTTATATTTCACCCCACAACATGGATGCTATCATCCTAAACTATTTCAATGCGTTTCAAAATGTAGCTTTACATGGGCAGTTGGTTTGTTTTTATTTAGAATAGACCAAATGCCCTCATCGTGTTTTGTGTCAACGCATCAAACAGGCTTTCCATGAAACCTAAGGGTTACTTGGAAGGCCTCCATTCAAACGTTTTTTTCTGTTTTTGTTTCTTTGCCTTAGTAGACAGTGTAAAGAAGTTTTGGAAATGCAATCTATCATTGCTTAAAGTCTTTTCTTTTAAATCAATGTTTCAGACAGATCAGTTGAAGCAGCAACATTTTTTGAAAAGCTGAGGATCATGTGGTACTTGAGGCCAACTATTTTTTTATTGCAATCATTGGGATTTTTGCTGGAAAGTGACAAATGGATTTGGCTTGTAAGCTGCTCTCCACTGCTTGTGTTAGGGTTTAGCTGAATGAATGGGAGAAAAGCCCATTAACTGACCCTAAAGACGACCCCCTCCTGTGCTGCCACAAGTTTATAATGGCTAGTTTAGACACTTTTCAGGCTTTTTATTTGCATCTAATTGTTCCTTTTGCACCACCCTTTTAATGCTTGTAGATGTCAGAAAATCTTGCTCTGTGCTTTTGATGGTCCGTCCCGCACAACGAGCTTGCAGTAATAAAAGTGTGTGGGCACAAAGATGAGCATCGGAGTGTCCACTTCATCCACACAGCAGCGCTTCCCCAGTCTTCAGCTCTCAGGCCTGACTCATTGCCACAGCCTACCACACAGAAGTAAAACACCTCTGAGGGCACCGTACTGACTCACCGAGCCAGCACCACAAGGCTGCTCACGTGCTACGCGCCGCCACCGTCGCCGGGCATGTGCCAGCCCGGCGTGGCCCCGTCACGCGCGCACAATTTACCCACTGGAAGGCCTCAATTAAGCGTCACACCTGGCCGCCCTCGGCCGACGGTGGCTGCCTCCGCCGAGGTGTTTTCTGAGCATATGTGTGTGAGTCAGACCCAGTCACATGCTGATGTGGGTTAAGCCTCAGCATTACACCCTCGGAGGGTGCCTTAATCTCCTTCTCCCTGCAGATGAAGGTTAACCTCACACGTTAGATCACCGTCCCATTGGGTGCGAACAAAAACAAGCAGGCTACAGGCGCTCGTCTCCAGCTTTCTGCCGTTCGGTGCTCGGTTTAGAATGATAACCGAGTCACTGTTGGATGCCGACGTCGGAAAGGAAGGCAGTATGTTTAATCATATGCCATTACTGTTAATGCCTATTGGTGCTTGGTTTGTGAAGGCATTGTCGCTATGAATTTACCATAAGCAAGCTGCAAGGGGGGCATCAGTGAAGGAAGACGGAGGTCAAGTTGTGTTCCCGCCCATTTAGGCAGTTTATGCCACAAATTACCTGATGTAAGTCAAATGGGTATAGGCATCACACCGGATTATATTTTCTTTCTTTTTTTCCCCAAGTCTGTAAATAATAATCAATGTGCCAAGAATTCCCTTTCCAGTTCCCCTTACCGGCTAAGTTGTGGCCTAAATTCAGCATGTTGTCATTGCTCATGTGTTGGGTTTAGTTCTCGCTTATAATGGACTTCCTTTCTAAATGATAGGGATGCTTGGTTCCTTTAACTAGAACTTTACTATTAACTTTAAACTGACCTGATGTGCATGCACCTTACCAGATTATTTATTTGATATTTTTGCCTTTCTTCTTCTTTCACTTAGAGCATTGTTTTCTGTTGCAGTTTAGCTCATATCCCCTTATCCCATATTTTCAAAGAAAAAGGATCATGAGTTAATTTATTTTAAAGCCAGTAATTCAAATTCTAGTTTTCACTTTGATCCTTCTTATGGCGACAGAGTAGATAAAAAGAAAAAAAATAGCTTCCACCACTTCTTTCTCTATTAGAAATGGAGAATAGCTGTTGTGTATTTGAATGCTGGCAGGTAAATATGTCAGGACCGCTAATTGACTTCGCTGGAAATCCAAACAGTTCCATCCTTTTTTCACTCACCCACCGCCGAGCGCAACGTAAAGCCGGTTGGCACGGATGATTCGAACGTGGCGCCAGCATCACACATTTCCAGACACTCACCAGGGCGGCGATGAGAGCGTTGGATCGGATTGTACAAACGAAACGTGTGGCAGAAAATTGAGCCGCAGATGGCAAGATACGGGAACGTTGGATCGTCAGTTTCAGAGAGAGAGAGAGTGAGAAGTGGAGCGTCAGTGACGCACGCGCCGCATATGCGGCATGAGAAGGGAACAAATTCTCACGCTAACCATAAATCCAGCTAACAGACTCTGTTTGTTCGAAAGACAAACTGTTTTTTTATAATGTCCCGTGGGGTAGGTATCTTTATGCCTCTGCAGTCTAGGCACATTCTTAGAAATGAATGGCCCGACACAGGTCATCGCCTCCTCTGACATGCAGCGATGTGCCGGAAAAGACAGTTTCCCAGGGTTGCCGGCTTCTGTCTGTCTGCAGTGAGCGTTCTGTGATCACAAGCACCTGCCGGTTTGTTTGCCGCGTAATCAACCCGCATCTCAAGCGGACGACCAGCTCCCCGTAACCCCATTCCCCTACCGGTCTCCCTGTATTCTGGACGACTGGCTTCTGTGTAGTGGCGAGCCCACCCCAAACCAAAAACCGCTTCCTAAATGCGGACAACAATGGCATCTATGGCCATGTGCGTCCAGATTTGCATGCGCTTTCCATTTTTGCGTGCGGATGGCTCGAGATGGGAAGTGTGAACCGCTTTACCCACACGATGAGCCACTCTCCTCCGAATCCTCGCGTGACTACGATGTGTAGCAATGACCACAGAGTTCACTTTAAAAACTGGTCTAACAAGGCCAGTGCGTGTGAGGATGAGGACCGCAGAACTGCTGTGCCATTCAAGCACATCTGGAGCAGCGTCCACACACTACTGTCTGCGCAATAATCATCTGTGTGGTGGAAGAGGCGCAGCAGTCGCCTAACAAAAACCTGGAATATAAACAGATTCACAATGGCGTGCAGGCCCACAAGCGATGGAGCTTTTTTACGGTTCCCCAGTGATCAGCTTTTCCATCCAGGCACACAAAAAATGCTGAATGGAAGCTCAGTGTCCCCGTTGTCTCACAGCGTCCAAAATAAGCACAGCGTAGATGCGAATGTGTCAGTTAGCGTCATCCTGCCGGTACCCTCCACACAACGCGGAGGGGACCGGACAAACTGCCAGCTCCCAGAATAGATTTCCCGGTGCTTAAAATATCAGCCTCCATCAAAACAGATGCACGCTTGTTTTTCTTCCTTTTCTTTTTTTTTTTTTGAGAGGGGGGGGGGTTAAGATTTTAGCAGCCAGCATAAACAGTCCGGCTCAGACTTTCACGCCTTTCCACTATGCTCCAGCGGCAGCAGAAAGCATCTTGCCAGGTTCAAATGTGTGCCCTCGCGTGTTGTTTAGTAACTTTTGATAGCGTCAGGATCACAGGGTTTGTCTGAAACGGTTTTGACTTGTCCCAACACGGACCGTTCAGTAAAGCTTAAAAATGTAGGAAGTAGATCTCCTCGGCGGACTCCGACCGCCTTGGGGATGTTATACACAGCGTGACTTGATGTTTTGTTGAAAACTTGGTTGAATGAATCTCAGTTCATACCCTAAAAATAGCACTAAGCCACCCATTTCTGTTACGGGCATTGACTTGTCTTGCCCAGTTCTACATATCTGAAAAATGTCACTTTCCCTCCAGACCTCAGCCACTAAAACGTCAAACTTTAGGGGGTATAAAAAGCCGTGAACTTTGGTAAGCATTGGCCTTCAATAGGAAACTTTTGGCAGTGGGAATTTGAACATTGTGCTCATCGTGTTTTTCAGATTTTGTACAATCCCCTGAAAGGGAAACTCACACAATGAGCTGGTTAATGTCACAGTTACTGCTCTGTACTCTCTCAGGAGGTCCCCCCCCCCCCGACCCCACCCCCTGTCCGCTCTTCCTCACTTCCCCTTCCTGTATCCAAAAGGATTCTGGCCTTGACGGGCTCCGAATGGCCTCGTCTTCTTCGTGTCTTCTCTCAGGAAAGGGAGAGTGCGGCGTGACACTCCTTGGAATTGGATGGATGAGACGCTTGTTTGTGGTGTTTGTGTGCGTAAACCCAGTGTGGTAATCCCCCCCCACCCCCCAACCGCCCCATTCCTCGGCAATCTATTTTTGGCAGAATTCACATTTTTCGGGCCATCCTCGTCAGCTTTGCTCGATTTAAGTCGTCAAAGCCCCTAAGCTCACGCCGGACGCTGGCACGGTCCACACCACTGGAGCCCATTGTCCAGGGCTCAGCGGTTATGTAACAGCTGTACTCTCAGTCAAAGGTCACACCGTGGGGCACATTCCCCAAACAGGCTGCGATACCAAGAAAATGCCGTGTTTGACAACACGCCGCGGGGTAATAATTTCCTCGAGCACCAGGATGTCATCTGTTGCCCCCCCCCCACTCACATGCAGTTGCAGCTAGTACTGTTTATTACTTATTTCTGCGTTAATGGATGCCAACACCCCTCCCTCTCCTTCCCTCTGCCGCATTCGCCGGTTATTTTCTCTGCACTTTATCCCCCTCTGCTCATTGTGTCATCGCAGCCGTAATGTCGGAGCAGAGGGGCCGTGCCTTTGATTTGTTGTCTGTAATTAAAGCGTCAGCTAAACACCGCTGATGCGAACGGGCTGCGTGCACTTTTGAGAGCCGGTAAACATGTTGCACTGCGAATGTTCCGTGTATATTTTTGGTCTCCTCGCTCATCCTTCTTTTCCTCTCCTCTGTCTGTCTTCCTGCCTCCCGTTGCCCCCTCAACCCCTCGCCTCCGTGGCATCCTGGTGTCTGTGCCTCCAGGTGGCCATAAAAATAGTGGATAAGACTCAGCTGGACGACGAGAACCTGAAGAAGATTTTCAGAGAAGTGCAAATCATGAAGTTGCTGAAGCACCCCCACATCATCCGCCTCTACCAGGTACACACTCACCCACAGAGCCAACAAAGCTCTCTGGTCACGTCTCACCCATGAGACCTGTGGAGAAGAGCAAATCATATAAATGCCGGTTTAGTGGAGTTTTGGACTCACCTAAAACAGCCTCCAGAGTTTAAAACCTTTTCCACACAATTTTCTTTTGGTATTTTCTTTTTTACCATAAAACATGACACTGATGTCCTCCAACACATATCGAACTCCACGCTGTGGTGCCCGGCCCTTTTCTTGTTCTATTTAAGTCTCTTGTTTACATGCCAAACAGCGCTTACTCATGCTGTTGTGTAACCAGTGAGCCGCCCATCGCCTGATGACGGCCCATCCGGGGGTCCAGCGAGCCCTGGCTGTAACCGTCTGCCTTTTACGTCTTTAGGTGATGGAGACGGAGAGGATGATCTATCTGGTGACGGAGTACGCCAGCGGTGGGGAGATTTTCGGTAAGGGAATTGCCCGCCGGTGAAGTTAATCGCCCGTGCCCCCCTCCCTCTTCCGTTTGCTTGTGTTTCCTTGCAGTCGTTTACTTGTGTTGGGACACACAGGGGGCTGTTTTCTTCAGGGGAAAGCAAACTATTTCCGAAAATAAGACGTCTTAAGCCACTGCTCTCGCACGCAGACCACCTGGTGGCTCACGGACGCATGGCAGAAAAGGACGCCAGGAAGAAGTTCAAGCAGATCGTGGCCGCCGTGCACTTCTGCCACTGCCGCAACATCGTCCACAGAGACCTGAAGGCAGAGAATCTCTTACTGGACCACAACCTCAACATCAAAATCGCAGGTACGCTTCCTGGGGTGTTTCATCTTCCTGGCCTGAATGCGCTCTCCTCTACCCAGCCACGGTAACCCCCTCCCCTCCTCACTTACAGACTTCGGTTTCAGCAACATGTTCTCTCGGGGCCAGCTGTTAAAGACGTGGTGCGGCAGCCCTCCCTATGCCGCCCCCGAGCTTTTCGAAGGCAAAGAGTACGACGGCCCTAAAGTAGATATATGGGTAAGTCGCACTCAGCAGACGGTCTGCAGGGCCGATCAAACCTCCGGCTGTTTGTCACAGCTCGGCTGTGTTTCCTCCACACAGAGCTTAGGGGTGGTGTTGTATGTACTGGTGTGCGGCGCCTTACCCTTCGACGGCAGCACGCTACAAAATTTGCGAGCGCGCGTCCTCAGCGGAAAGTTCCGCATCCCTTTCTTCATGTCCACAGGTAGGAGTCTTTTAAAATGTTTTATTGTTGTTCCTCATCCACGGCTGAACAAATACAATAAAAATCCAGTCAAGTGGGAGGGTTTGACATTTTACGATGAAGGCACACCACCATTCAAGGGAGGGAACCACAAACCTTTCAACAGTTACCATTCGAGATTTAGGAAAAAATATAAAAGGCTGTTTGAGCTGTAGCTTAAACTTCATATATATCATATATCCACGTACTTTATGCTTTGAATAAACCCATTGACATTAACTCTTTCTTTGATTAATTAATTATAAGTTAAAATTTATTAAAAAACCTATTAATTTACTTTGCCACACACTTTTCTCATAAAATGATCATTTCAGTTTTATTTCTCTCTTTTTTCAGCATTTATTTCCATTATATTTTCCCGTAAGATGTTTTTTATTTATGTCCAACATATACATTTTTGCTAATTTGTTTATTCAGTCATTTAATTTAAGAAATATATTTTCTCTTACAATTTTCCCGATGCCTTTTTATTTAGTTTTCGTACCCTGCCTCTTTCCCACAAGCCAGTTTTTGCCATGTCTTCTTTTTGGCATATCCCTGTCTCTGTCTTTACATATCCTTATTCACGGCAGACTGACCCTGCAAATAAGGAAGGCTTCAAGGAGTCTCATGGGTCAGCTTCTTGCCTGTCAATCAAAAAGACACAGCCCTCACTTTTCTTTTGATTTGATGAAATAATGTGTTGGAAAAAATGAGAGAGACAATCTGAAGTGACATATAATGATAACAAATACAGGCCTTGGAAAATAAAGACAAGAGGAAATGTGGGTATAGAGGTGATTAAATTGAGAAAGCCAGTGGTAAAGTTAAAAAAAGGGGCTTTTTCAAACAAAGGTTCACAATTAATGGTGGAAATTGGAGAAGTCTGGAATTAGACTTAATTTGCCATTAAAATGTTGCATTTTTAGCACATTGACTTGTTTATTTATTAAGGCATTTGCACATTTCTGCTTTTTGTCTCCCCCAATTCTGTCGGTTTCAGTCCTCCATAGGAATACGGTCATACCTGTTCCTTTTCTCTTCAGACCGAGCATCCACCCTTTTAGCAAACACTGCGGGCCGATGCGCTCAACCTAAGCACATCAGCCCCAGGAAGGCCCGCGTTAGGCCACTGTTGCGCCGTGCGAGCGTTACATTTTTACAGTTTGTGGTCGCCACAGCTCGCACCGGTGTTTCGTTTCAAGAGAGGAACTCGTGCTGTTTTCGAAGCTACGTTCCAGTTTCTCGTGAGAAACATGAGGGTGCTGCTATCGCAGGGCATTGACACAACTCTGTCCTGCCAGTTTTAGTGGATACCCTGCGCTCACTGCTATTAAAAAGGAACATAGAACATAAAGATTTGTTATTATAGAATATTTACAGCTCCTATTGACAGTTTGGTGCAGTTACTGTGAGTAAAGAAAATATGATAATTTTTTTGTCTACTAATTTTATCATCTTAAGCATCTTTTCATGTGTTTGTTTGTGTCCCCACAGACTGTGAGTACCTAATCAGACACATGTTAGTGCTGGAGCCCAGCAGAAGGCTGACCATGGAGCAGATCTGTAAGAACAAGTGGATGAGACAGGGAGACCCAGACCCAGAATTCGACCGGGTGAGGCCCATCTCCAAGGACCTTACCCCACCTCACACCCCCAGAACCCCTGTTTTGATTTCCCTTTTTTTCCACGCTGCTTCTTCCAGTTGATAGCGGAGTGCGAGCAGGTGAAAACGGAGAGGGAGATAGAGCTCATCAACGAGCAGGTGCTGATGGCTATGTCTGAGATGGGCTTAGACCGAGAGCGCACGCTTCAGGTTGGGAAACACGGAAATGGCCGCAGCTTTTTAGGGACGCGCTCTGTAGCCATCACCTCCGGCTCACACTTCGTTTTCTCTTTCAGTCTCTACAAACAGATGCATACGATCACTACAGTGCCATTTACAGTCTGCTAGCGGAACGCCTCAAGAAACACAAGAACCTGCGCGTGGCCCCGCCCACACCGCGCCCCATTAGCTATCCTCTAAACGCCGTACAGGTGATCCCCTTTATGCCAGCATTTTCCTGATCAGTGATGACTTTTTACAGCAAGTTAATGGTTAAACCTCACAGAGAGCATGACGTAATAGGAGAAATAGCAACTGTTTTAGAGGCCTGGATTTCACGTGACTTTTAGGAGTTTAGCTCATTGAAGTCACTTTGGCGTTGGTTGGTTTTAACCCACATATGTCAATCCAGCTCCTCTAAGAAGATTGTTATGAGCACAGCTCAATCCTCTCATAACCTGTGTGTGTATTTATGTGTGTGTGTGTACCCAGCAGACAGACCTACAAGGTAATCCGGTTAGCATGACCGTCCCCCACGTTCAGCTCATCAACCCAGAGAACCAAATTGTTGAGGTGAGTCAGCCCCAGAGCCCGCTCGGTCATCCTGTTCGGGGTCAGTTTGCTCCAAAAACATTAAAGAGTCAAGAATTTATCTGCTGAACTTAGAATCCTAATCATGAACTGCTTCTAATTTTTTAAAAAAGAAAGAAAGAAAAATCCAGTCGTTACTGACTCTCCGCCCAGTGTTTGTATTTTGTTACCACTGTTTACTACTTTCACGTCGACTTACATCCATCTCATAGACCTCTTATCAGTCACTTCCAATCACACATGCATGCACACTCAGAAATTAACGCACTCACACACACACACACACACACACACACACACACACACACACACACACACACACACACACACAGGCACAATAATGCGTCAGATTACTGCATTGCAGCAGGGATTTGAATAGGACACATGGACTTAAAAGTGAATTTATCTAAACTTGTAGTATCATATTTATACATAACTTTTAGGAACAAAAGGCCTTTCTGACGATTATGTGTGTGCTTTCAGCCCGATGGCAGCATGGCCCTAGACAGTGATGAAGGGGAGGAGCCATCTCCTGAGGCCATGGCTCGCTACCTTTCAATGAGGCGGCACACTGTGGGGGTACCAGACCAAAGGTGAATAAAAAATAAGCTTACAATCCACACTAGTTGCTCATAAATGTAAGGTTAAAGCTGGTTTTCCTCTTATTTTTTTCCCCCAACCAAATAAAAATGAGGCTTGATCTGGCTAAAATTCAAACAGAAGACAGAAGCATTTATGCTTCTGTCTTCAGTTTGAAATGACTTCAAGTGTATTTTTAAAGTTTTTATTTCCTTTGTGTCAACGTTCTTCCTCCACAGGACGGACATGCAGGAGGACCTCCAAAAGCTTCCACCGGGTTTCCCTCGCGGGGCATTGCCCCAGCCCCCCTTCCCCCAGCTGGCCCCCACCATGGGTCAGATGCACACACTGATGCCGACGCAAAGCCTGCAGCCAACCCAACAGCTGGAATACAAGGTACCACCAGCTCAGACCAGGGTTTTCTTAGTTTATCTGTGGTACATCTTGGCTGTAATCCGCCTTCCTTCACCCCCCGTAGGAGCAATCGCTGCTGCAGCCGCCCACCTTGCAGCTGCTCAATGGCATGGGGCCCCTGGGCCGAAGGGCCTCCGACGGCGGGGCCAACATCCAGCTACACGCCCAGCTCCTGAAGAGGCCCAGAGGGCCGTCGCCACTCGTCACCAGCCCGGTAGAGACTTTTTTCTTTCGTTGCTGTTGTTTTTCTATTCTTTCCTGTGTTTTAATTCTCCGTTTAAGGGGGGCCAAACACACTCTGACAGGTGAACTCTGTGCCTCTCCCAGCATCCTATCCCTGCTGTAGCACCGGTGGATGAGGAGGGTTCCGACGGAGAGCCAGACCAAGAGGCAGTGCAGAGGTAACCCTCGGCGACGGTTTCGGTGACTGGGTACACATGACAGACGTGCTGTCCGAACCGGATTTAGGAGAACTCCCAAAACAGAGCAGCGAGGAAATTAGCGTGTAAAAAAAACCAAAAGCCCCGTGAATTGATCGATGGAATTGCATGAAAAGCATTAGGAAAGAGTCCAGGTCAGAGATTCTCAGCTGGTCCCTTCTGATGGCACGTTCTGTATCAACTTCGCCGGTGTCCTGGGTTGCTGGGAGTGAGTGCCTCTTGGCTGCTCTGCTTTTTTCTTCCCCCTGGGAGGTAGCCACTGTGCTGTGGTGCTTATCCCATCTTTCCTCCTTTCTCCATCGCACACGTGCCGTCTGCCACCGTTCCTAAGTGACACCGCCATCAGTTAAAGCGCTCCTGTCTCTCAAACTCTCTGACCCAGAGCTTCCTTCGTCACTCTCATTTCAGCCAGTGCCAAATTTACTCTGTGACCTCTTTCACCCTTTCTCACACGGCTTTGCTAACTCTGAAGCTTGCAAAACCAACAATTACGAAAAAAAAGGCAACCGGTCCAATCCTTAAATTGGAATCTGGAAGGTTGTCGACACCCATAAGCTACAACATCCATCTGTGGTGTAATTTCATTTGGTGTTTTCTGATTGGCTAAGATGATATGAATGATGGCACTTATTGGCAGAGGTGGGAAGGGGTGGGCCTTCCCCACCCCTCCTCCGATTCCATTAGCTAACACAGACAGAGAGCTGACCAGCGCTGCTTCCTGTCTCCCACCCTCACCCCCCCGTCCTCCCCCTCCCTGCGGCCCAGGTACCTGGCGAACCGCTCCAAGCGGCACACGACGCACGCGCTCATGAGCACATCGCATGGCGAGCCCTCTACAGAGTCACAGAGGCCCCAGGGCCCCCGCCAGAGGGGGGGCTGGGCCCCCGACACACACACCCGGTGAGGGGACACGCCCGCTCTGAGCTGTATATGCACGAACACACACACACATTCAAACTGTCAGATTCATGACGCCTTACTCCGTCTTCATGGCTCGTGCACACACACACATACAGACACACACAGTGCATGAGGCGCTCGCACCAGGTGGAAGCTGTGTCCACTGCATCGGGGCACGGTATTTCTGTGAATCGCAGGGGAGGTTGAGTCTGTGGACTTTCTCCACATCGCCACTCAACAAGGACTCAAAATAACTCTTGTTTTCCACAGCTTGGATGGAACAGGCGCACAACACGTCCACTTTTTACATTAACACCCCTTTGTTTTGCTTCCTAAATCTGAGAAGGGTTTTGATTTTGTTTTTGTTTTTTTCTGATGCCGATGTGTGTTTTTCCTGTTTTGTAAAATGGGCTTTTATGTGGGCGCAGATCATAGGTTGAACTTTTCACTTTGAAACCCAGTCCCACAATGCAAAGCTCAGATACGTTGCTGTTGTTGTCTGTTAGCAAATAGCGTGCTTACGCCCTGGACTATTATTATAATTACCGGAAAGAGCTTAATCAAAAATCTCCAGGAACAGACAGTATTGTCGTTTATTGGCAGCTTTTCCCTCGTGCTCATGTGGTATGTACAGCAGATAATAATGTAAGTACTCCTACCCTTGGATGAAACAATTTATATTCAAGACTAGACTTTTTTTGGTCTTTAAAATTTTTTTTTTTTAAACTGATATTTAAATCAGTCGTGTTCCTTTTTATATATGTACTGACAAGAAACTTAAAGTTTTGGTTCAGGTTTGTAGAGCTCATATATCTGTTTCTGTCTCTTATCTGTGTGTCTACGAATGAATGTGTGTGTGTGTGTGTGTGTGCCTTTGTGTCTGGGTTACCTGTCACGTCCTGTGACTGTGTGTGTGTGTGTGTGTCTGTGTGTGTACACACTTGTCTGTGCCTGCACCCTGTGGTCCCCTTTTCAGATCCAGCTATAAGGACTGTAACACCCTTCATCTCCCCATGGAACGCTTCTCCCCCGTCAGACGGTTCTCTGACGGCGCCGCCACCATCCAGGCCTTCAAGGCTCATCTAGAAAACAGCAGCCTCATTAAGCAGCTCAAGCAGGTGCACCTCTTGATTTAATGAAGGAAGGAAGGGGGGCAATCAGGGGGTAAACACAGAACCCATTGTAACAGACATTGAATATTTAAAAATAAATCATTTTCAAGCCGTACATCGTCATCATATAGCGGCAACGTCCCCATTTTACCCACAGTTCTCCTCAAAAAAGAAACCAAATCTGCAGGATATTGTTGAAACGTCAAGTGTTTCGACAATATCCTGAAGTGACACGCATAATTCCACTCTCAAGAACGTTGTCACTTCCTACGTTTCCTGGGCGATTCATCTGCTTCACACTACGTTAACCAGGGTGCATTGTGCACTCGTGCATAACCAACCAGTCCCGTGAAGCGAAGCTGAAAGGAGGAAAGTTGCAGACGCCCCATCTGACTAATGTGACTAATTACGGGACTCTTAAACGGATTCCCACCGTTAACACTTGACATTTCTTTGAAAATGATGTCCGCCCGCGTCCTTTTGAGCTTTGAAGTGAGTCGAAATTTAAATGAAAACCATTTATGTTAGATACTAATTTTTAATCTGTGAGAAGTCGTTCCTGTGAAATGTGAACGTGCAATGATGCATTGTCAAGTCAGGCATCCCTGTTCCTCGGCATCTTAAAGTTCCTCCAGAGGAATACCGAGGTATCCCCAGGCCACAGCTGATGCATATAATCCATTCAGTCAGTTCTATGTGCTCCATGAACCTCCTAAAGGGAGGTGGCCAGGAGGCATCCTGATCAGTCTTGCTTCGTGTTCTATTTATCATCCCTTTAGATGTTTCTGTCGTTTCTTTATGGGCCACTCAGCTTATGCTCATTGTGACGCGAGGAGCTCGTGCAGTAGTTAAGATCAGATCAGACCAGACCTGAGTCCGATTTGAGAAAAAACACATTTCGCTTCTGGGCAGCACATCAAGTTCACTGATCTTGCAATGAGTTTAACTCACTCGCTAAGAGCTACAGGTAGGGTAAGGAATAATCATCACGCTGGCAGTAGATGCCACGTCTTAGGCCTGCTATGACGCGCTTGGATTACCGTTACTCGAGTGTAACGAGGGTTAATAAGTTTAGGGGAGATAAATATGTTCACCAAATGCAGGTTTGCAAAAAGTTGTACATACTATCTCTGAAAGACATGTAATGAGGATCGATAGCTATTAGTTCATGAGGGCAGCTTTGGTTTTGATGCCTGTTCTCCTACTCTGGGTTATCAGAGTAGCATTGCTTCTGAAAACGCATCAGCTCGGTCCTCCTGGTCCGGTTTGCATGCGAGCTGTTTTGTTCCGACTGTTAGCAAGAAGTAGTGTAAAACGCTCACCGAGGCAACGGCAGGCGCTAACACACAGTGCTCTTTGAAACAGGAGTGCGAGCAGCTCCAAAAAATGTACGCTGCCCAGCAGGACGAGCGCCTCCTGGAGCACACCCAGCAGCAGCACATCCTGTACCAGCAAGAGCAACAAATCCTCCACCAGCAAATCCAGGTACCTCGTTTTATTTGTTTGGTTCTTCTTTTTTTATTTACATTTATTTTATTATATCTTTGTTCGTCCATCAGGTTCGGTTTTCAGTTCCACAACTAAAAGTTCTCAAAAAATGACATGTTTTTATTACATTTAGTGTAAAAGATCAGATCGGTGAGATCGGAAACTAAAAGAAAAGTTATTTTCTTTTTTACCAGAGCACGTGGGTTGTACTCGCATTTGTCAGATCAATAGCAGAGTCTTAACTGGACTTGGATGGACACTTGTGCTTGATATTCGATTTAAAAAATCGATTCAAAATGGTGAAATCTGATTATTTTGCGCGATCAATTTCCCTCATTTTAAGTTCCATGCCTTTTTGTTGGACCTCTATGGGTAAATCGTCTCACTTAGTCAATTTAAAGAGTTTTGTCATTTGTAAACTTGCTCTTAGAAATAATTTAATTCGTCTATATCGGCAGGGTCTGTCTTTAGGCCATGGAGAGAGCCAGCCCAGTCACATAACCCACCAGCTTCAGAGGTGAGCGCAAGTAAACGCCAACACGCGCACATAATGGGTTGGCTGTTAACGGTTCAGCCGGACTGGCCGAAACATTTCTTCACGGATTCATATTTTTTGCTTTCCCCCCCCCACTCCCACCCCCCTGTCAGGTTGCGAATCAAGCCCTCCAGCCCTCCGCCAACACATCCCAGCAATCACCTCTTCAGACAGCCCAATCAGAGCCCTCCGCCTGGTTCCGCAGGCCTAATGCAAGGGCACGGTAAGAAGCTGGTCATCCCGCCGTATTGAAATGATTATTCAGCTTTGCATAGCAGAAGTCCGAGCAAAGGCGAGGAGAAAGAACAGTAAGAAAAGGTTGACCCTAGCCCTTCTGGAGTGGACATAAGCCCGCTGTGATCGGCGCAGCTAACCTCGCGTTTCAGCTCCTTTTAACGAGGGATTAAAGCCAAGCCCCACTTACTCGACACGTGCTCAAAGCAGAGTCTTTCCCTCCCTCTCCTCTCCTCTTGCAGGGGCACAGTCGTCAGTGCAGTACCAGCATGGCGCCCCTGCGATGTACCAGGGGCAGAGCGGCAGCCCCCCGCCCACGGGCCTGCCCAGAGTGTCCCTGCAAACCAATCCACAAGCAGCCTCCACCCGCCCCGCCGTCCCAATGGCACAGGGCGTACCTCAGCAGCAGCAGGTGAGGGCAGAGCAAGACAAGATGGTGTAATGGCATTTGATTTAAGCAAATGAATCGCCAAGAAGCCTAACGCTCCCCCTCACACCCGTCCAGGTGACCATTCAGGTGCAGGAGGTGGAGCTGGGAGGTGGGGCTCAGAGACAGGGCGCCTTCTTGTCCACGCCAGGGGGGCACCGAGTCCTCGGGAAGCAGCTGAGCGCAGACAATGCTGAGACACACAGGTGACCTCCCCCGTCACACCGCCCCCTCCATCAGCCTGTCACACCGCCCCCTGGTGGCTGCCGACATCACCACTGGACTGATTTGATTGTTTCATTTTCACATTTATTTTTTGTCTCGTTTCCTCTCTGCCTTAAGGTTTCATATCTGATCATTTCATCTCATTAATCTGTGCATGCTTGAGTTGTTTGTTTTTGTGGTTTTCACTGAACGTTTTCTTTTGGGGTTTTTTTGCCGATATGTTTTTGCATTTGATATTTCCATCACACTCTCTGATATGACAGGGAATTGTATTTTTGTTTTTGGACATGATCGCTGTAATGCAGGGGTGTTATTCAGGGGGGTGGGGGGGCGACAGATATCACAAATGGTTTCATAACTTATTTACAACAAAAGTCTTCATCAAAACAAAACAAAAACAAAACCTTCATCGTCATCGTTTGTTGGGAAGATATCATCATCAATTCTCCACTTCACTGATTCAGGGTGAGTGTCCCAACAGCCGCTGTAGGAGATCAGTGTCTTTGTGAGTCCCCTCCTGACTTCATCTCCCCTTAAAGAGTCCTTTACAGCCTGGTCTTTCTTCACTGAGAAAGAATAAACAATCCTAAGATTCAGGGCTCGATATTTTTAAGAGAAAAGCCGAGTGTCTTTACACCTCTCAGTGAACCCTCGGACCCTGGCGGGACTCCAGTGTTTGCTAGGCTGTGTGTGCTGGCCAGTTAGATGGTCGAAAAAAAAGAGTTTCAGGGCGGTATCACAAGGGTCTGTGTCAGCTAACCGTGCTCTGCCCTCCCTCCCCCGTCCAGCCGCAGCCTCGGCCGCTTCACGTCAGCCTACGACCAGGCTCAGTTCAACCCCCACCTCTTCTCCGGCGACGTTGCCTCCCGGGGGGCCTCCGGAGTGGTGGGCTCGTACAGCCCCTACCTGCAGGGAGCCTCCCTCAAAGTCCCCGGCCTGGAGGGCTACCAGAGCGGGGTGGTGGGGGGCGGCAGCTACGGGGCCCCCTCCACACTACAGCAGGCCCTGCTCTCCCCCACCCCCCTGGACTACCGCCCCCCGCAGCAGCACGTCACCCCCACGCTGCAGGGCCTCCTGTCCCCCCGCCACTCTCTGACCGGCCACGGCGACCCCCGGCTGCCCCCCCAGGACCTGGCCGCCCTGCTGAAGCGGCAGAGCCCGCGGCCGTGCCCGGCGCCCCCGACGCCGCCCGGCGGCGCCCCGCAGGAGTTCGGAGACATGCTGCTCCTCCGCCAGCTGAGCCAGGGCGACGGCCTGGAGCCCCCCGCGGCTCAGGCGGCCCCCGGAGGGCAACACTACCACCACCTCCTCCAGATCCGACCCCAGGAGGTGCCCGCGCAGCCGCACGCGCCTCAGGCGCCCTGCCCCGGCCTGCCGCACTCGGAGAGCATGGAGGAGGACGAGGCGCCCGCCGGATACCACCACCCGCATGAGGGTCTGCTGGCCAAAGCCGGAGAGGGCCACGAGCTGCTCGGGCACCCCCGAGGGGGGACTCCACCCTACACCTCCCCCACACACAGGCAGAGCGGTTACATAAGAAGTGCTCCGGCCACTAGGGGTGAGAACCTGCAAGCTGTTTTAAATCCCCTCTCTGATCCACATTTAAGGCCCAAAGTCTTTTAAGATTAGATTCCGAGCAGCTTATCATTTACCTCTGTTTTAGAATCTGAGCATGTGGAATGTCGACCCCCAGGACAGGCAATGGAAGTGCCCGATCACAACGGCGTGGGCTTTCCCCGAGGGTCCCAGGGCGACGCGTACCGATCCAGAGGGCAGCTACAGCGCCACCACACCATCCAGACCTGCGATGACGCCTACGTGAGTGACAGAGGAGCCGATAAGCCCCATCACCAAACATTCAGCTCATCCTAATTTTTTTCTCTCACCGCCGACGCTTTTTCCCGCTCAGGATCAGGCAGACCCCATGTCAGGGATGAGCCTCTTAGCCGGTAAAGCACTAAGCTCGGCTCGCATGTCGGACATCCTCAGCCAGACGTCATTGACTGGAAGCCAGCAGCTGCACCAGCGAGAACAGTCGGGTGAGTAGAGGCAAGGTGCACAACCAGATTTTTTTTTTCTTTGTTAATTTAATTTATTAACGATATGTGTTCGGCACACAGAGTGCGACGTGGAAGGGGAGCTCCACGCAGCAGCCTGCTACCCCTCGTCCTGCACTAGTGATATGCTCCTCAGCTACAAGCCCCCGGACCTGCAGTACAGCATGGAGCAGGCTGGGGTCTAGCACAGGTACACACACACACACACACACACACACACACACAGACACTCAGAGCAACGGTTTGGGAGAAATGGTTGACTTGGGCTTTAAAACCAAACTTCAACTCCAAAATTTCTTCACAGGTTGAAGTTTGTTTTTTCTTTTTATGATGTATGGTAATTAGATTAAGATAAATCTCAGATTGAGCACACTGCTAAGCTAACAGCACAATTCCAACATCCTGATCAAGATATGATTTTGTTGTGATGTTCGAAGCTGTTTTTAAAGACAGGAGATGCACGTTTAGATGTGGGAATTGCAGCTTTTTTTTTTTCCTTTTGGCTCTGCAACACCACTTGAGTACACAAAGGTTTTTCTGTCGCGCTTTCAACTTTTTCTCGTGCCTTGTCTGACTCCATCCTCCCGACAGGAAGGGGTCGTTTCCCGCGTGCATCGGTCCATATCAGCCACCCCGAGTTGTGTTGACTTGAGTCGAGCAGCATCACGCCAAACCACCGTCGTCCGCCCAAGCGGGGGCGCTCTGTGTCCATCTGTCTGTCTCCATCTGTCCTTCGGAGGGCAAGAGAGGGGAGGAGTCTGGGCGGGTGCAGACACTGATTAGGGATGGGGGTGGGGTGGGGTTGGGGGGGGGGGGTAGGGCTTCACAAGGTCAAAAAGTGCCAGCATTTTTCCGCACAGACATCCGGCGTCGCTCAGCTGCCGGGTTTTCTCCTCCTCTCACCTCCCGCCTCGGTCGGATTGAGTTTTCCACGGCTCCCTCTTCTCAACTCGACCTCTCCGCTCTCCCTCGGCTCCACCTCACAGCCCCCCCCCCTCCCCCCTCGTCCTTACCCGACCTAAACTCCCCCCAAACCAACCCCGCCAGCTTTTTCCAGCCCAACTGTCGACATAAGCTTCATCATGTGCCTCGGCAGCCGACAGCAACGCTTCGAAGAACCCGGAGGCCACAACAGGAAGAAACAAACAATGCTGTCGCTAAGTATTTCCAAAAGGCTCGCCTGCGAGTGCGTGCGTGTGTGTGTGTGTGAGTGAAAGTGAATGAATGAGGAGAAGGGCGAGGCGCGGGGGAAAGCGTCGGCCTCTCCGAAGTCTCGGCAGAAGCGACACCTTTTCCAGCAGGGTGGCGGATGTTATGGGTCGGGCTCCCATTTTGGCACCAAATTGGCTCTATCCAAAGATGGAGCTCAGCAACATCGCACAGGACAAACCAGCTTCTGTTGCTGTTTTCGTTTTGTTTCTTTTCTTCTTTTGTTTCGGTTAAGATTTTATTTTTGAACGCGTTTTTACTCTTAATGTCAGCCACGGCATTACGGTCAATATGGTTACTCTTAATGTTGTTACTGTTTTTCTGTAAAAGAAGTTTTATTATGACGAATATTATTATTATTAAAGGACAACAGCTCTGTGTTGTAAGGAGGACAACGCTGTTCTTTTCTGCACTTTGGGTTTTCAGCTCTCCACTGCTCCTCTTTTATTCTGTCACCCCCCCACGTCCCACCTCCCCCCCCTCCACTCCCAGCCAGTGTCCTCCACCCTGCTCTCATGTCAGTGGCAGTGTATTGCATTGTGGGTAGTTTTTACCAGACATTTCCTCCCTTTCTTTGTACAGTGATGCCATGTATAGAACGCTATTACAATTTAATATCATTTTATTTGCTTTGTTCCTTGTTTTTCTTTCCTTCAGTTATTATTTTGTTGTTGTTTTTAGATGTTTTCTCTTTTCTTAAATTGGTATGGTTTACTGTTTGTTTTCGGTCGTCTTTAAGAGAACTGTTTGCATTTTGTTTTCCTTTGCTTTACAAATCTTGAGATTTCTAGCCAAAGGAGGACAGAGAGAAGAGAGGAGTTGCTCCTTCTGTCCTAGAAAAAAAAAACATAAAAGTGGATTGTTCTTATTTTAATATTCTATCGAGACACTTGAATAAGAGGAGTAATTATTTTTGTGTTGCTTTTTACAGTTATCATTTCAATTGATGTCGTGACTGTCATTCTTGTTGATGTTGGGTCTGTTTTCTGTTACCGGGGTGTAGTTGTGGCAGGCTATACAGGGTCAGGCTTTGGGCTTTGTCTGGGGTCGGTTTGGGTGCTACAGAGACTTAACACTCTTTAGAGAAAAGAAAAAGACTTTAAAAAAAACAAAACAAGGGAATAACTTGTAAAATAGCTAACATATCATCCTGAACATCACAAGGAAGAAGATGAGACAAACCCACTTCTGTTGGGAGGTTTTTCTTTTTGTGCTTTCCTGCGATCCTCCTCCCCGTCGGACATCACCTCGGAGGAAACTACAGCTGGAGTCGCCCTTCTTTCACTTCTCTGACGTTCCTTACCGATTCCCGACCCCCACCCCCCCCACCCCACTTCACAGACTGTTGGAAGTACCCGGGCGCTCCTCCGCACCGCTAAAAAGGGAAACATTTCAGGAGGTGGCCGCCGGAGTTGGAATCTTATACATTCTCAAAGGAATGCGGGGCCGCGTTCAGGGCAGGGCGCGCACATCTTAAAACACGTCTTCCCCGGTTTGTGCCCTCTGCTGACGAGCAGCCGGACGGAGGCTGCAGCACACCGGGGACCACAGCAGAGGACTGAACCGCACCCCCCCCACCTCCCTATTAATCGTATGAGTTCTGTTTATCCTTCAACACGCAGTACACTTGGATATTGAATTATTATTTGGCCATGAAGAGACTGTCTTTTTTCTTTTTTTAATGGCCGCATTTATTTGCTTGTAAAGGTCAGATATCTCAATACACGGCTGCACAGTTAGTGTACTGTAAGCTATTTACGCCAGAGAGCAGTAGACACGGTGTCGTGCTGTGCCGCTCCAGTTCTTTCCATTCGCAGCATGGCATTTCTTTTCCTCCCATCCACCCCGTTTTACGACTCGTTGGGTTGAGCTTCGCCTCGATCCGGAGTGCAGTCTGTCTTGTGGGACATAAGCAGCTCTCCTCCATTACTGATTACGTTATATCAGCGTTCCTCTTGGCCCTCACTTCCTTCTCTCCCAGGTCTCTTCCCCCCACTTTTGTCCCCCTCGTTGTTTACACCAAGGAGAAAGAGATTTAGAGGAGAAAGGATCGAGCAAAATAAGTTGGAACCTACTGTAACTGAGCGTGTCTTTGTTTTTTGTTCGGAATGGAAAGCAGGGCATGATTCAGACTGACCATTATTTCCCCCACCTCCTATTTTTCCCCTTCTTTTTCTCTGTCCAAACTCTTCCATCCCTGGCTTTTTATCTTTTTTCTGCATCCCAACAAGCCAGCTCTTTCCACCCTGTTTCTCTGTTTATATTATTTTCTTATCAGTTCTGTTTTTTTTAGACATTTTCTGTTGTTTTTGATGTCGTTCTTATGTTCATTTCTGTTGACTACAAAAATACTAAAGTGCAACAATGATTAAAAATATCAACCAAACTGAGATGAATAAATAAATATATATAAATAAAGAAATAATTTAAAAACAGTCGACTTCTGTGTCTTTGTGTGACCTGCAAAAAGTCTGAATGCATTTCGGACCTTATTCTGATGCCATTTTTATCGTCTAAGTCTTGAAAAGCGCCTAAGAAAATGTGGTGACATGTTGCTCTAAAGTCTGGGTCCATGGACTCTGAGCTATTGGTGAGTGAACTGCCTCAAACTGACTCTGTCCAGGTATCTATGGCTGTATCCAGCTAGACTGGATCACGCTAAAGTCATAGCATGACATTGACTTCCTTAATGTGATGCTTGACAACGAAGAGATGTAAATTGATTTTTTTTCTTTCTTTTTTTACCATTGTTTTTTAAATTCCTTCAAATACATTGATGTATATTTTGCAGTTATTTTTGTAATAGGCTGTATGATAGAACTTTCCTTCACTGTGGTTATGATCACAGTGAAGACAAGTAGATGGACAACTGTCAAAACTGTCAAATTTTAGTCTGGGAATTTATTTGAAAACGATGTATTTGTTGCCAAGCAGATTAACAGCCACATCTGTTCTCCTCCAAGGTCAAACTCTTTTATAAAGTGTAAAATGAGCACACAATTCCGCATTAACGCCTTTTAGTTGACTCGTTTTCAGGACTATACCAAGATGTCTAATTTTTTTGTAAAAACAGCCAGGAGTTTGAATTTTTGACTACAGTTGGGCCACGTATATTAATTCATTATCCCAGACAAGTATACCTAAAATTTTAGTCAGGATATGTCTTTTTTCAAACCATGACATGTTTTTTAATGGCAGTCCAAAAACCATTGCATAAAACTATCCATGTAATTTTGGGACGATTGAATAAGGGGGAAAAGAAAGGAAGACATAACTGCTGAAACGGGTCAAGTTGACCCAAAGACAACAGGAGGGTTTAAAGATCTATTCACACTGCTCTGATAACTCAGTCCTACCGCTAGTGGCTCATTCCCAATGCTGCTGTAACTATTACAGCTTGAGATTCTTCTCCACTATTTTCTTCTATTTCCACAACCCTTTAGAGACCGTTGTTAGAAGATGCTTAGAAGCTAAGGGGCAGTGTTAGAGCCTGAGGCTGTAGATCACTGGGTTTACAGAGATTATCGTAAACTTCTGCTTGCTTGGTACATTTTAAAAACCACACTAATGTGGGTCAAGGCTGTGGCATGATTAGTAATGACTAAGCCTAACTGTATTAGTCTGCCTTTGCCCATTAGGACTCTGAAAACTAAATCTTCTAAAATTGTTGTGTAACAGTACATTATATGATCTGTCATAGCAGCATTTGGACAGATGAAAACAATTTAAAAAGAAAAAAGACAAATTTGTGCTCTCTGGAATAACAGCATGATATGTTACACCAGTGGTGGGCCGTCAGGGCCTGCAAGGCCTTCTCTGCAGGCCTAAGAAAATATCTGAATCACAGACTGATGTTCATTATATTTTGTCCATGGAAACTTATTAAATATCTCTCAATAGTCTGTCCGCTTCCTTTAATAGCTCTTCCCCTGGTTGCGCTGCTTCCAGACATGCATTTTCATATAAAAGCATTTAACCAATCACATTTCAGCCATCCTTTGTCGCTAGGCAGGGTACAAGTCAAAGATATCTACCTGGAGGCCTTCACAATCCGTTCTGCAGCCCCCCCCCAACAGAAAATACATGTTGAGTATGCTGTTGCTTTAACCAATCAGATTTTAGGTTGGTGATGCCAGGGCCTTCTCGAAGGCCTTAGGCAACGTCACCGTATTCCCACCCGCTGATTGGATAGTCAGCCTACCAGCAAAAGTTAGCAAACAAACCGAAATATACTGTGGTTGTGTTGGTCAAATAGCTATTTTATGATTTGGTGTCAGATTTACTGTCAAGGCCATTTTCAAGATGGACCTTTCAAGAAAAGTAAGTGAGTAAAATGTTGTTGTAGGAGTAGAAGACTTGTGCACCCCTGAACTTTATACTGTATTTTAGGCTTGTCCCGATCCGATATTTGGATTGTATCGGCCGGCATGAGAAAATGCCGATCCAGACTCCAGATCAATTTTTTTAAAAGTCTAATCCCACACGGACGATCCCACACAGGACACAGGTCTGTGTCCTAACCATTAAGTTGTTATCAGAGTAAATCCCTGTTAAACATGAGTCTGACAACTAAATAAGTAGATAAATAACTTTCAACTCTAAGCTGGATCGGGACATCCCTACTGTATTTCTACATAATAAGATGATTTCTATAACCATACAATAGCTATTGAGTGGTGAATTGATTCAGACGAGGACTACTGAAGGCCTAGGTGTAAAATGCACGGTCCGCCACTCTGTTACACAGTCTTGGGACAGTTTTTTTCTCACAGGAGAGGATACATTTGGTATGAAAGGGACAAATAGCAGCATGTCGTGTACAACTGAAGCTGGGCATGTTCGTTTAGGGGTTCTGTCCCTTTAAGTCGGGGTCTAACCTGACCTCTCTGACCGATGCCTGCCTTGCTGGCTTTGTGCGATGGCTGCAGCAGTGTTCCGCGTGCCGCTGCTCTGGTCTGCGCCGCTGTACTGCAGAGGCTTTTCAGTCCAGAGCAGCAGAGCACAGGCAGAGGATGGGGATACCATAAACTGTCGCATCATTGATTGGATCGCTGTAACGGCAGGGAAATCACCTCCGTAGCGATCGTTCATTTATTTATTTTTGCCTGCTGCTCTTTTTATTGCTTTGTCACCTATATGTGCTCCTATCCAACACCAGATGCTTCTCACCACCCACTCTCCCGTTCCTCACCATCCTGCCCCGCACAACCTCTGCTCCTCCTCTCTCTTTTCCTCCTGCTCGTTTCCCCCACTCCCTCCTCCCCTCTTACTCTCCGCTCGTCGGGAGAGCAGCGACACCTCGGCTGCCTGCGTCAGCCGGCCCCGCGAAGCCCCCGCCAGCCAGTGAGAGCTGCCACTGGAGGCTGCCGTATCCTGCAGAGAGCCAAGTGCTTGTGTGTACGTGTGGAAGAGTGTGCGAGCGTACGCAGATGGGAGATCTGGTGAGTCAGGGAACGCTGCCTCTCATCTCTCCGCTGTCGTCGCCCTCCTCTGCTCTCTCTCCTCTCCTCCTCTGCTGCCATGGAGCTCCGGTGGGCTGAATCACGGCGACATCTGCAAAAAGGGCCGAGGTAACGCTCTGCGTTTGTCGTAGTGCTTCTGTTTTTTTTTTTGTATCCACAAATCTGCATGTATCCTGACTAAGCCCGTGTGTATCTTGTGTGTGCAGAGCTCCTCTGTCTACCGGACAGCCCTGATTGCCAGCACAAAAGCGTCAAGTATCCTCAACCATGCATGTTTGACAAGATTTACATGGTCGCCTCTTTTCAGCATGTAGAGTTTCTGCTTTCTTAAGAAAAAAAAGGTACTCGCACAGATCACATGACCCACACAGCAGAGATGCTCTATCCCCTCTGACTGTACTCGTGTGCACACCAATGCAAGCAGGTCTGTGAATGTTTTGTTTGTCCAGTGTTGGAGGAAAGTCTGCAAATCCAAGGCCGGCAGTAAGTTACTGAAGAGTGAGTGCCGCATCAGTGGGTTGGTGGTTTTATAGGCTTTGGTTTTACCTTTATTACCCCTTCTTCTCCTTCAGGCCCGCACTCGTTGTGATGGTGTCAGCCATCACAACTTATTCTCGTGTAAAGTGAATTCACAAGAGTCAAAAACCAAAGCCTGAAACATAGCATTGCCCCATTGAACTTTAGACAAGCTGGTTCCAAACTGGAGAAAAGGTTTATGCTAAAAAAAAAAGGAGATTAATTCAAAATACTTGCTGTTTCAAAGACTCTTCATCCAACCCAGTCACGATACACTTCTAGCATAGTTTAGGATTTGTTTGAAGATTGTCCCCAAGTAACATTATGATGCTGAATTTTACAAATGCAAAATTTTGCTGTGTTTTTAGGAGAGAAATCCAATATCTACACCTGGATTTTCCTCATTAACTGAACAAAAGTTTATCTCCATGGGTATGTTTTTGTGATTCATGGCAAATGCAGATTCAAATCTCTTTTCCAAAGTATTTTCCTGATTCCAATAAGCCATGTCATCTCTGGTCCAAGCAGGTAGATGCACATGTGTGTGTGTTGTGCTTGGGCAACTATGAAGAGGACGTGGACATCAGGCTCTGCGGTTGTGTTCTTCAACACACTGGCCTTGTCCTGGACAGGTTAGCACTAATCTATTAGCGCTGATAAATAAATCTTGTCAGATCCTGTTTTGTGATCGTTGCCCATTGCTGTTAAGCTGCTATCCCAAACCAAGCCAAAGACCTCGTTTAACTTCATTTTGTCCGTTATAGGTTTTACTAATCCCCCCAAAATTGCCCCACTTTGCACAAAGTTTTGAACAATGCTCCATTGTTGAATATCTTTTTAAAACTTGAATCACTATACTAAGGGAAAGCCGATACTGCCTATGTTTTTATAAATATTCTTATCACAATCTTGGCAATACGGTAAATAGATATTCGGAAGAAAAGGGGGAAGACATTTTCTCTGACTGGTATTATGACATGTTTGTCAACAGTGTGAACATGACTGCATTTCTAAAAAGTGATCTACCCATGTCAACATGACTGCATTTCTAAAAAGTGATCTACCCATGTAGCACCTCATTGTCATTGATTATGTCAGCTGCAGGCAGCTAAAGTCACTGGAGACACTTAATACTCCTGCAGCTAAGTCGGTCAAGCAACTGGCCAGAAGAAATGAGGGGTGGATTTAAACACATATGCTGACATGGCACGTTTCACACTGAAACAACAAAAGGCGCCATAGCTACAATAAATAAATAAATACAAATATTAGAAGAACACAATATGAAAATGTCGGGAAGCATAAAGAACAAACTGAAGGTAAACTGAAAAACGTATGAAGCAGGGTATATAGATTAGCTTGACTTGGCCACAAATATAAGAGAAAGCTGTCACAAAGTGATATATGATAACTAAGACACATAAACGTCTTTCTTAGGGGGGGAAAGCCTGTTTGGTTCTGTCTTATGTGACACTCAGTTGCAAAGTGATAGCCAGTGAGCTAATGGTGACGTTTGGAATCTAAATGCGAAAATTGCTCAATTTGCTAATTGCTAAAAATGGTAAATTAGCCTTGTGGTATGCTAATTGAGGGCTTGTGCTTGCACTTATGTAGTGGTGACAGATTGGTTTTACTGGTTTTATAATGTGCCTCTATTTGGCGTAATAGTGAGTGGTTGTCGGGCTAAGTATACTTAAAATGTTTTCATTTGCCATTATCGCCTACTTATACTACACAATACTTTCGTACACATAGGTGCAATTGAGCCCACGCCTAAAATTGACGGAAGGCACCTGGCGGCTGTGACTCTGCAGGAGAACATGACTCACAGGTTCAACTGCCAATCGGACGGATGGGACCCCCGCGCCCCTCCTTTGCTGACCTGGTACCTGAACGGGGAACAGATGCAAAGAGAGCCATCACCGGACCGTGGCCGTCTGCAGATGACGTCACAAAAAGATTCGGAGGCAAAGAGACCAGGGACCAATAACAACAGCACCTTCTCTCTTCGGGCCCGGAAGTGGGACAGAGAGCTGGTGTGTGTCGCTTCGAACCCCAGGACAGGGGAGAGCTACAACGCCACGGTCACACTTAACGTCCAGTGTGAGTCTGTGTGGAGATGTGCTGGGAAGTGGACCCACGTCCTCTCAGTTGACAGGGTGAATAAAGCCGCTCCTCTCCTCTGTGTGTCCCAGTCCAACCAGAGATCCTCAGGGTAAAGGCCCACTACAGTGAAACCTCAGACCCGGGCCTCTCCCTGGTCCTCTTCGCCTTGGTACGGTCCAACCCGCCCGCCACCATCACCTTCGTGGACCAGTCGGGCCAGTTGGTGGCCAATGCCTCTGACTTCCTCATCCTTGACTCACGAAGCCACCCCTGGCTGACCAATCACACACTGAAGGTCACACTGGGTAGCCTATCAGGGAACATCTCATTAAACGTCAGCAACAGCGTGGGAACGGTGCAAAGCAACCTCACACTTGCAGGTTTGTGATCACTAAATAAGCACAGCTTTAAAATCCACTCTATCCTGGCCCTTTTGAAGTAACATAAAGCAATTACTTAATAATTCTTATAAAAAATACTATTAATGCTGCTCCTCAGTTTTAGATGAGAAAATATATTAATTCTAAGTTAAAAGGTTGAATTAGCATCAACACTAAAATTATGGCCAATGAAATAAAGACAGTAATGTCTACCAAGGACACTTCAGACCAGCGCCTACATGCAAAACAAGCAGAGAAAACAGAACTAGACATGGACAGATTGCTTGGATGAGAAATTCTAAAAACTTGCAGTGGATCAAAAATGTGATAACTTTCCAGCTGTTGACCTAAGTCATCAACAAGATTAAACAAAACACAAAGGGTTACTTATTTTCATTGCTGGACATGTTCTTCCAGCAGTGCGGCCCAGGATGTCTCAACAAAAGAATGAAAACAAGATGCATTCACCTTATTTATGTAGTCTACCTTTTGCAAAAATAATCAAAACTTTATAACTACAGTTTCATGCTACACACCAATCAATATTTTCACAATTTCAACCTGTTTAACATGTTTTAAGTGTGCTATTTACAGAAAGAACTTCACTGATTTGTAAAGTCTTTTACGTTAACCTCAAACATTGCACAAACATGCAATGAATTCTAATCCGTAGTTGTTAAACTGTCAAGAATAGAATGGTTCAGCCTGTCTTTGGACCACAATTCTCTTCTATTTAGTCCATATGCTAATATAAGCTGAGATAATCTTCTCGTCAGAGTTGTACAGTGTCTGTCCTTTAAAAAAATGGACTATTCCTTTTAAATTTCCCATCTTCTCTCCCCAGAGTTCCTCCAGTCTCGCGTGGAAGTGCCCATGCTGGGAATAGTAACCGGGGGTGCCATGGCATTCATGGCCCTTCTCATCCTCAGCCTGATAGTTCTCTGCCTCATGCAAAAAAACAAGGGCAAGTCCTATGGTGAGATCCTGTGTGTGTGACAGTGGAACAACTTAATGTGTAGTCTTAGCAGACTAATACTCTTCCTTGTATTATGTTATAGATGAGCCAGTGGAGATTCTGATGACCAAGAAAAGGTAATAATCAGACTTGTGTCGGTAGGCGTTAGAGAGCAGTTAATAGGTACAATGACCATACAGAAACACTTTGTGAGAGATTAAGAGATCTAATCTCTTAATATATGATCTTACTTATCTTCAATAGTAGAATAAAATATTTATATCTTAGACCATCCTCAAAGAAACTGATGAAAAGATATGTTTGAGAAACACATACATTTTTTGGTGAAAATACAGTTAATTCGCTCCTACTTAAAGCTTATTTTAATAAGATGAGGTCAGCTGTTGTTTCCAGCACGGCAGCCAGGCTGACAAAGAGTCAGCATCAGTGAAAATGTATTTGTTCCTGTCTGGGCAATTAAAGGCACACAGGGCAGTTGTACGGAAGAAATGCAAAGAAGTGAATGACAATATGATCAGAATAACAAATAGATTGATATAAATGTAGTCCAAAGATGAAAGAAAAGAACAGACAACATATTGTTTCTACAAGGCGATTGTAACATGCTGTAGCTTTGACAGTTAAAACTATCTTCATGATATTGACGGCTGTGTTAGATATAGATATAGGCAGTTATTAAGAGGGGAAAGGTTCCAAGCAAGACAGTCTGCCTGTGGATGGTGGTGACGGCTCCTGCCGCCAGCTCCCTCTGCTTGTCGGAGACGGTCACCGCCATGTCCTTGGTTGCACCATCCCGCCATGGCACAAACTCCCTGAGCACAGATCTAGGGTCATGTGAGGAGCCCGGAAGCAGAGAGAAGGAGGATTGTATCACCATGGGTATTTCTTTCCAGGTGACAGTCTGTGTGGGTGGGCCTGTAGTAACGGGGGGCAGGATGATCTGAGGTGACAGAGACCCAGTGGAGGTGAGGAAGAGGTCAGAAAAAGGCGCTTCAAGTCGCAGTTTTTATTTTATTTTAACATAGATGAGAAATGGGCGGCATGGTGGTGTGGTGGTTAGCACTGCTGCCTTCTGGGTTCGAATCCCGGGGGAACCAGGAGCTTTCGGGGTGGAGTTTGCATGTTCTCCCTGTGTCTGCGTGGGTTCTCTCCAGGTTCTCCGGCTTCCTCCCACAGTCCAAAAACCTGCATGTTAGGTTGATTGGAGATTGGGGAAATTGCCCTTAGGAGTGAATGTGATTGTGAGTGGTTGTTTGTCCTTGTATGTCTTGTGTGTGGCCCTGTGATGGACTGGCGGACTGTCCAGGGTGTACCCTGCCTCTCGCCCGTTGACCACTGGGATAGGCTCCAGTTCCCCCCGCGACCCCATCAGGGAATAAGCGGCATTGATAATGGATGGATGGATGGATAGATGAGAAATCAGAGAACCAGAATCTGGTGTCCATGATAAATGTTTTGGTATCATTAATTGGGTTTCTGCTCGATACTCAAACTGGGTTCATAAGAGCCCCCCAGCCCTGCATAACATGGTTGTTATGGCCCGGGACTGAGCTTATCTTGTTCATTTTTAAAGTTCAGAACATGCACATGTGAGACAGAAGGGCCATTTTCTGGAGAAAGGAGGTGTTGTCTGACTTGAACCTGGAGAAAGAGTTTGAGGTCTTTTTAGATGGATTTAGGGCTGTGGCCTGCCACTTGGATGGCTCTGTGGATGGTGGGGGCAGTGTTCACAGTGGCCATGATCCCAATCCACTGCCAAACTGAGCGGAGGTTTAACCTCCTCCACTTTGGTTTTATGTCTCAGCGTGGCATTTTTTATGCCGCTCTTTGCCGCTCTTGGTCTCTCTCTTTTGACCTTTGTCATCTCAAGCTCTGTGGAGAATATTGGGGTTGTCTTTTCAGTTATTTGGTGATCCAGGGCCTATTGTTGGATGAGATGGTGACCTTCTTTGTAGCGATAATACTGTCCATCCCGAGGGTGATGAAAGAGATAACTGTGTTGTCGGGGTTGGAAAGTCAGGATGAAGGAATTATTAAAGAAATCACAACCCCCCCCTAACCCTATAATACAGTCTGCCAACATGTCGTTGGACCCAATCCCAGCTAGACTATTAAGGGACATTTATTCCTTTAATAAACAATCACTTTTACATCAGTCTACCCTCGTTAGTAGACTATGCAGCACATCATTTATCTTAAGACTAAACATAGATTCACATCCAACTTGACTTTTATTCCTTGGTTCTTTGAAAGGCTTGCTGCAAGTGGGCTATTTAATCACCTGGACAAAAATGGCCTGTTGGAGGAGTGTTAGTAAGACTCAGGGATTCGTCATATACATGGATAATGGTGTAAAGAATTTTTTGTTATCTCCCTCAAACTCCAAACTTTAGATGTACATCCTGTCCTGTTGGTTCTCAGTGCTGTCTTTGATCAGAAAACTCAGAGGCAGAGAGTGGAATGTCATTGGGATAAAAAGAACTTAATCTTTTGGATTTAAGTCCCATGTTTTTTGTCAATCAAGACTGTTGATAATAAAGTTCAGAATGGAGTTCCACAGGGTTATGTGCTTGGGCCGATACTTTTTAAAATATGTTTGCTTCACTGGGGCTCTATTGTCAGTAGACATTGCCATAATTTTCCATTTTATATTTATTACATCAGACAACAAACAACAACAACAAAAACTATTCTAATCCTTTAACATTCTCCTCAACCATTTGGTAGAGCACATTTTCCACTGATTACAGTCAGTCACTGAGCAACTGCAGTTAATAAAACTAGCTCTACAATTAAGTTTAGGTTTGTGATGCCTAAATTGAGCATGAGTCAGAACATTCCTTTTTTAAATTTCACACTTTTACCATAAAGTACGGGTAATATTGGTGTATTATTAGTGATTCTGATTGTTATTACTTCAAAGAAATGGAAAAAAAATGAAAATAACTATTTTCCTGTCCTTTTTGTAAGTGTAAATGTTAAAAGATTAATCAAATATATATATATATATATATATATATATATAT